GACTCCCCCCTGAAGGGAGAAGGGTAGAGACTCTCTACTAGAGAGGCTAAAGGGGAATCATTAGAGTGGATTAATTGTTTAAACTGTAAAATTTATTTTTTCCCCCTGTAGTTCACATAGATGTCAGCACTCCAAAAAAACAAAAAACTCGAGGGTCGACTGTACAGGGTGTAACTAAAGTTCGTGTAGGTAGGAGGGCTTAAGAGAGGGAATCAGTTTCTGAATCGAGAAATTAAAGCAAATTAAAATTGGTTTCTACGCAGGGGGAAATATTTTTTTGCCTCCTACACGAACTTTAGTTACACCCTGTATTTTTCAACATTTCATGTATTCTATCACTAAAGGAATTCACAAGTGAGTGAAACGTTGACCATTTAAACGGATATAGATTGTATCAATGATTAATGAGAAAGGTTAAATTTTACTGATTGCTACTAATTTGAACTAAGAAAATTATTACAAGAGCAGAGTTTAACATTGGTTAACTAACTTGATCAAGATCCACCATAGATACTCCATAGACCGCCATGAGAAACGGTTGAGCAAAAAAGACCACTCTTTTTAAAATAGCTTTTAACTAACAATGTTTTAATCAGAAAGTGTTAAAAAATATAATAATTGAATTTCAATGATAATCTTTATTTATTTAATTATCCATTTTTTGTAAATCTTGAAACACGTAACAAGCAAATCGATAAAAAATTAATGTAATTTAAGTTGGTGAAGATATCGTGACGACCAATTTATAAAATATCCAAATTTTGATTTGATTGGTGACCACAAAGACTTATCAACTAAAGATTGAACAGGTCATCTTTTGTCATCATCACAGAACAGGACCAATCTTACCAAAAATTGATAAGAAATTAATAAATCTATTTTTCTCAGACCTATGTAGTTTCTTGATGTTAACTGTGGCGGTTAAATGTACTGTCAAACCAAATACAGTACTTTCACGCATAAGTTTCATTTTGATAAGCGCCGTCTACTACAAGATACTTAAGTATACCATTGGTAATACAGTAGACAGCGCTTATCCAAAATGCAACTTATACGTGAAAATATTGTAACAGTTTGATTAAATTGCATTTAACCAGTACAAAGTCATGTAAGAAAATTAAAGTTTTGCAATAGCTAAACCATATGACTTGCGTGAGCATCTTTTCTTTTCTTTTGCTTGATTAGTTCCCTTTCAAATGCTTTCTTCACTTCACTGATAACGAAAACTGTTGAGGCCAAGGAAACTAATATTAATAAGTCTATCACGGTTAATGGTTCGGTATCAAATATTTTTTGTAGTGGTGGGGCGTAAATGACTAACATTTGACCGATTATTGAACCTCCAACAGCAAAAAGAAAAGGTTTGTTCGAGAAAAGTCCAATAGTGAAGACGGATTTAATCTAAATTCATAAGATCAGAAAAAAAATAGAATGAGAAGTTGAAAAAGTAGAGTAAAAATATATCATAACCACGGCAAGGCAAAATCGAATGACGATTAGGAGAAATCGCATAATTTTTGGGAAATGACAGTAATTTAAACAGATAAGCTCATCTTATCAGCCAATTATCAATAAAAATATAAAGTCTAAAGGAAAAAGATTCAACGATTCTCCTAATTTTTAATAGATTTTGCCTTGCCTTGTTTATAACTAACCTGAGATCGACAGCTTAAAGCATTGAACATGTCAAAAAATACAAAACAGGTAAAAGTCATGGTTGTATCACGAGGAGTTACATGATTATCACTCATCTAGAAAAAAATTGAGAAAGGGGGAAAATTATTTTTCAATCATTAATAAAAGAATGGATAGACAAGTGTTCAAACAACTTTAAAGAATTGTAATCGCTCAACTGTATCAAATGATGTTACCTCTTTCATAAAAATAAATAATGTCCCGGTAATAATTATACCCGCAGAAAGTAGAACATTGAGAATCAGATCTTTGGTAATCATAGGATGTTTAACATTTCGAGGAGGCTGTTTAAGTACGTCATTATCAACTGGCTCAACACCTAAACTTTGAGCAGGAGGTCCATCCATAATGATATTAATCCATAAAATTTGCATTGCATTTAATGGATTGGGGATCCTCATCAATGTTGATAAAGCAATCAAGGTTAAAGCAGCAATACTCCTAATAATGAAAAAACAGAAAATCATGGTTAAAGAGTCAATATAATAAGTCAAACAAAAGCGAATGAAAAATTCATTATGGATAACTAACGTGCTTAATTGAAATCGAACAAAGTTCTGAATATTGTGGTAGAGTCCTTTTCCTTCCTCAATAGCAGCCATGATAGTTGAAAAATCATCTTCAACAAGAATCATATCAGCAGCTTCTTTACAAACATCCGTTCCATTTTTGCCCATTGCTATTCCAATATCTGCTTTTTTTAAAGCTACTCCATCATTGACACCATCACCAGTCATACCAACTATGTTACCATTCTTTTGTAATGCTTTCACAATTTTCAATTTGTGACTTGGACTAACCCGATAAAAGACGGTACTAGCAGGAATTTTGACTTGCAGAGTTTCTTCATTCATCCTATCAATTTCTTCACCAGAAAGAGCTGTATTGCCAAATGCATAAAGACCCAATCTTGATGCTGTTGTTGTCAAGTAGATAGAAAAAAATACATCCGTTACACTTCATGGTACAACAAATTATTCAAATATAAAAAAAGTTGGACGACATAAGAACTACATGACATTAGAAATGACTTACCAATCGCACAGGCAGTTTCTTCAGAATCACCGGTCAACATTTTAATTTGGACACCACTACCATAGAGAGTTCGGATAACCTCAGCAGCTCCTGGTCGAGGAGGGTCGAGGATACCAACCATACCAACAAACACTAAGTCTTCCATTTTATTGCCATATGCAGTTGCCAAAACTTTGAGAAAAGAAACAGTTGAATGGAAAAGCAATTAAATTGACTGTAAATGGTTGAAGAATTTTGTTGCTGTTCATCAAATATTGTTAATAAAAATAGTAAGAAATTTTCGAGCGAAAGTTGATTTCTCATTTTTTACCTCTTAAGCCTTTATGTCCCATGACCTGTGCTTCCCTTAAAAATCGTGCTTTTTTGTCCGCAGTCATAGGCACTAGATTATCATTTAAAGAGTAACGAGTACAACTATTCAGTACCCTTTCAATTGCACCTTTAACAAAAAATTTTTCATCGCCTGTTGTACAAAACTTTGCAATACATTTTACAATCATCATTTTCTGGTCAGAGTTGAACGCGACTTCTTGAACACGATGATACTTTTCACGAACTCCATACATATCTAATTTTTGAGCTGCAACAATTAGAGATCCTTCGGTAGGTTGACCTCTTAAATGGCCCCCGATGACATCAGCATTATTACATATGCATCCTACTTCCAGAACTCGTTTTACTGCATTTATTTGCACCGTTGTATCATGAAGTTGATTATTAATCATTGGTTCATCATTAGAATCAAGTTGACCGATATAATTGCACTGGCCTTTAGAGTTGTAACCAACACCAGTTAACTCAGCATGATAAAGTTCTGAGGTGATTATTGTTGTTACTGTCATTTCGTTCTTAGTTAAAGTTCCAGTTTTGTCGGAGCAAATAATATTGACACAGCCTAAAGTTTCGACGGTAGGCAATTTTTTGACAATTACCTTCTTTTTGGCCATTCTTATTACTCCTAAGGCAAGTGTAACAGTTACAACAATAGGTAAGCCTTCAGGGATAGCAGCCACCGCCAAACTCACTCCGATATTAAACATTTTAAGTATTGGTTTCCCTTGTATCCAACCAAGAAACATGATAAAACCAATGATACCAAAGGAGTAAAATGATAACTGTTTTCCTAAGGAATCCATACTTCTTTGTAACGGTGTTTTAGGTGAATCTTCTTCTTGCATCATTTTGAAAACTTCACCAAACTCGGATGAAATACCAGTATTAATGACGATTCCCCTTCCATAACCACATCTAACTAAAGTTCCCATAAAAGCGAGATTCTTCATGTGAGATACACCATTCCCCTTAATGACTATAGGTGCTGTTGTTTTTAGACATGGTTCAGTTTCACCGGTAAAACTACTTTCATCTATTGCAAGATCAACAGCTTCAATTAACCTAATATCAGCCGGCACTCTATCTCCAATAGACAATAAGACAATATCACCAACAACAAGATTCCTGGCTAAAAAAGTTTCACTATTTCCTTCGCGCAAACAAGTGCATTTTGGTGGAACCAGTTTATTCAACTCCTCCAAAGATTTTTCAGATTTGTATTCTTGAATAAAGGCAACAGTGACGACAATAAAAATAGCCTAAATGAATTTTTAAGAAGTTGAGAGAAAAAACGTCAAAGATTAAACAACTCATAGCAAGATATATTAATAGAGTCGATTCTCTCGTACAATATTGCTCTAAATTGTCAGCAAAAAATGTCATTTTAACTTACCGCTGTAATACTGAATGCATCATCAAATTGTTGCACACTAATACTGACCACAGCTGAAGCCAGTAGTAATAATATAAGGGGATTTTTAAACTGTAATCATGACGTGAAAAAACAATAGAACAAAAAGATTAACAGAGAGATTAAATAGGAGAGATTTAATGAGACATTTAAAGGTGTTCATTTACCTTTTGCCTTTATGACTTGAATGAACACCCTTTAATAAAGAGGGTAAGGTCCTAGTTATAAAACATCATTTCACCAATAAACTAAGATTCAACCAGAATGGTTGAAAATTTAAATGTCTATTTAAACCACGCCAGTGTCCCCATAACTAGGACCTTAACAATAAGAGATTTAACGATGAGTAAAAAAATAAATATGCTTACCTGTTCAAAATACTTGGACCAAAGAGATTGTTGTTTCCGAACGATAAACTCATTGAAATCGTATAATTTTTGACGGATCTCAGCTTCTTTCCACGATAATCCAGTTTTGATGTCAGTTGACAATCGAGCAGCAACCTCTTCGTAAGGTATCACAGATGCTTCTTCTGACTTCAAACGATACATCTTTGTCAGATGAACAAAGAGTAATACATGTAGCTATATATATATACAGAGTGATCGGAAAGTTTTTGACGTGTGGGGTGGAGCCATATCTGCTTAGAAGGGTAGCGCTGATTGAAACATCAAACCAAACAGTGTCTCTGCGCGTAGAAGGGAAAAAAGCCCCTCACACCAGAAACTTTCCGAACACTGTAGTATTAGTTATACTCTTTGCACTCACCAGTTTCCATAGGAATATACAGGGATAATCTTGTTATTTTGGTTTAAAGCATCTGCCCAATGAATCTGAATCTGCTCATTTGATGGCTACTTTTTTTCAAATTCAACCAAAGTCTCAGCTAGCTGGAATGAAAGTATCAGCGCTAAGAGCTGACTCAATATTTGTTAATCGAATCTGATTTAACCTAAAATAATCTATCTTAGACTGGCATCAAATAATCTAAATAAATTCAGACTAGATTTAGCTAATATGAAGATGAAAAAGTGAGCTGACGGGTTCTCGTTTACTCTTACCAAATTCAGATCTCATGCTTTCTTCAGCAAATTAACACTACAGTAGGTAAAATAACGTTATTGCTGTGAAAATAGCTAGCCTTGGTTTGAAAAATGTGTAGTGGAAATAATAACATGGTTGTGTTTTTAAAAGTGAAGGTTCAGAATAATGCTTGTAGTTGAACATGCTACAAGATGAGCGCTGAATTTTTTTAGTCTATTTATTCTTATTGTTTGTTTTCAATTTTTAAACACTCTTCAAATCAACATGTATGCTTATACTCTTCGTTTGAGATTTATTCTATCTAAAACTGTTGAAAGTGTTTTTACCAAACGTTACCAATCCAGTCTACCGGCAAGTAAATATGATTATATTTTGGATCGAAGTGAATCTAATCGATTAAGGAATGAAATATTCGATGAGGAGAAAAAACGGCAATCCAAATTGATTCCTCGGATTGAAAAGATAGAAGTCCAAGTAAAGAATGTGAAACCCTTTGGAGATGCAACTCTTATCATGAATAAACATGCCTCCACACCATATCATTGTGCTCAGCATTTTTCTCAGTTAATCTCCGATAGATCAATTATAGCTGTAGTTGATGGTAAAAATCTATGGGACATGCATAGACCTTTAAATGACAGTTGCATCCTGGAGTTTAAACATTTTAAAGATGAAGATCCAACTGAGGTCAATAGAGCATTTTGGAGAAGCTGCTCTTTTCTCCTGGGCATGGTATGTATGCTAATTAAATTTGTCTAACTAATCGTTTTTTATTATGATCTCTAATTCTATCAATTTATTGTTTAAACGTTTAGGTTGTACAACGAGCATTCAAAAGTGAGATACCAGTTTACTTACATTCATGGCCTAAACCATCCATTCGATCTGGCTGTTTTATTTACGATGTTCAATTACCCAGTTTACCTGATTGGAAACCAGATAAAGAGGAAATTCGTAGCCTAACAGCGATGTTCTGGAAACTTAATGCTTCAACCAAGAGCCCTTTTGAGAGACTTGATGTTAAACCTTCAATAGCAAAAGATATTTTTAAGGATAACAAATTCAAGTCACAACAAGTAGATAAAATAGAAAAAGAAATCGGTGAAAATGGTCAGATCGCACTTTATCGTTTATCTGATCATATTGATTTCAGTGTTGGTCCAATGATACCAGATACAAGTCATATTGGCCGAGTGTCAGTTGCATGTGTTCATAAATTAGACAGTGATATTGAAAATTTGTATAGATTTCAAGGTGTAGCTATACCTTCTAAGCTTCCTATTCATTTCTTTCCTTATCGAATTCTTTTGGATCGCGCTTCAAAACCCAAGACCAATTTGATCCCGCAATCACAAACTTAGCTGTAAAACTACCAATGTAAAATATCTTTCTCATACATAAACTATAGTTCATCCTCGATAACCTTTGTTTTTCATTACTAAATGAATTTTACACATTATTCGACATTGAAATTTTAAGGGCAAATTCAAATTCTTTTATTATGATGAAGTTGTTTGTTTATGCCTCTGAGGAAAAAACTTGTGACCAAATTTTTTCAATTCACATGTTGATAAACATGCTGTCCTTGAGATTTTGCCAAATATTTTGAAAATTTCTTTACTCTTTCTTCAAAAATCTTTTATTTCCTATTATACCTGGTTAGTAAGCTTGATTGTTCAAAAAAAATCTAGTACTGATAGTTTATTATATTGTATTGTAAATAACAATTCACAATTTGCCAAGCGAATAAAGCTGAACGAAATTATATTGCTAATACTTAGAGAATTCAATATTTCGAACCGAACTTTGAATTCAATTCTTAAAATTTACTGACAGACTTATGGTTATCGGTTATTTAGTTTAATTAGATATGGATTATTCCAGTTAAATACTGATTATTCTCGATTTATATGATAATTTTAGTCTCGCGAGCAATATATTCATATTTAAAAATGAAAAAAATGAATTTCTGATTGGCAAGAAAAAACTGACTGATACAAGTTATCTTTCAATGCTGATATCGAAAAACTCATGATAATTAAAACTTACAACTCAATCAAGTACAAAATACAGATTTTGTTTTGACAAAAATGTTTGTTAGTGACATTGATCTCAATTAAGATGGTAAAAATAAACATTTCTTATATAATCTATCACTTTATGAATGAACATAATTCATGAGTGGAGTAAGTTGCTTTGAAATCGAATAGAAATTACCAATGATTTTAAATCTATTGAGTGCATTGAAATTTTCAACTTTTTCTAATAAAGAGTTTAATTAAACTCCTTGAAACTAAATAATCTGTAAGTGACTTAAAATATGTAACTTACAATTTTAAATTTAGTGATTTTCCATCAAAAAAGAAAGCAGAAAAATAAGACGCTCACCAGTTTCCATAGTAATATACAGGGATAATCTTCTTATTTCGGTAAGCTGTTTAAAGCAATGGTAATGAATCTGCTCATTTGATGGCTACTTTTTTTCAAATTCAATCTTTCAACACTCCTTCAGATTTGACCATCATTTATTTTGTGGCTGTTTATTTTGATTTTATTTGTCAACATAGTTTCTATTAATTGATTTTTTGTTGTTGATGCTGTCTTAAATTAATTCTCAACATGACTGCTATTGACAAAATGTATGACAACTACAACATCCTTGTAGATGCTGGAGATAAAATTACCGAGGTAAGTGTTTTTCTCATCAAATGTGACTTGATACATTGCTGGTTTTTTTGCCGGTTGTCATTTCTTTTCATCATATTATATTTATTTTAGATATGAAACTCATCCTTTTGTGTTTAATTTTTCATTTTATTGTAGCACGAGGACAAATATCTGGAAATTCTTAATTCTGTCAAAGGATCACCTAATGAAAAGAGGCTTGCTTCGCAATTTATTACTAAATTTTTCAAACATTTTCCAGCTCATTACAATTCAGCGATTGATGCTTTACTTGACCTTTGTGAAGATGATGATATAAATATAAGGTACGTTACTTTGAAGCTTGTTTAAGCTTTATTTGTTTTTTTCTTATTTTCGCTAGTCTAACTCATTTTTGTTACCATTGTTTGAAATTTTATAGGAAGCAAGCGATAAAAGATTTACCTTCAATCTGTAGAGACTGCAAAGAATATGTTCCACGAATTACTGATATACTGGCTCAATTACTCTTAGCTCAAGATGCTACTGAACTACAAATAGTTAATAATTCCTTAATTACTGTATGTAAACTCGATCCAAAAGGTTTTCTGGGTGGTATTTTTCTTCAAATTGAAGCTGGAGAAGATATTACCCGAGAGCGTGTTATCAAGTTCTTAGCTGCTAAAATAAAAACACTTCCAGAGGATACTTGGACAAAGGAAGATGAGGAGTTTATTTTGGCAGAAGGTCGAAAGGTAAGTTAACAATTATTTTACGTTATTATTTACATTATAGACTAACTGACACGTTTCTTCTGTCATTGCAGGCATTACAAGATTGTACAAAGGACGAGTTTGTGTGTCTCCTTAATCTTTTATCGTCTCTCAAAATATCTAAAACAATCACAGCTCAACAAGTTCTTGTTGATATGATCACCGAGCATGCTGAATTAGATGCACCACTCAACGTAAGTTTTCATTCAATTTGATGTCGTAATTTTTGTTTTACAATTTGATTCCATATATTAAGTCATGTTTTTTATTATCTTTCTATCTAACAGCCAGCCGAAACTGAACAGATTGAAAAATTCACAATGTGTGTAAGAGCTGCGATTCCGCACTTTTCACCCTTTGTACCTTCCAATGCATTTGTTCAATTCATTTGCTCTCAAATAATTCCTTGCATGACTGAAATTGTCTCACTAGCCATTGGTAAGTAATTATTTTAAAGCATTTCATCGAATTTTTATTAATTATTTTTTTTCCTTAATTTTGCAGAGAATCCAAACATTGAAGTGGAAATTTTACAGCAACTAGCTGAATTATCTGCCTTTATTCAACCTACCAATACGAATCTCCCAATCAATTTAGATGAGTGTCAAGAAGTAGTTTTTAGTAAACTTTTGGAATATATGCCATCACCTTCTCTGTCAACTGATGTCGAGGAAAAGTCAGAAGAACCAAGTCTTCAATTATTCCCACTCGAGTCTCTTATGTTTACTCTTTACACATTAAGTGTTATTAACCCTGAGTTCAATTCAAAAGTCAATGAGGATAGAATGAAAGATTACAAACTTCGATTACAGTATTTAGCTCGACTCATTCAAAGTCACATCAAAAAGGCAAAAGAAGTTCCCTCAGCTGACAAAAAGGTTGAAAATGAAGGCGATGATGCTCTATCGAAAGCAATAGCTCTAAAAACTGCAACCAATATAAACACTTTGGTCAAAGAACTTTTCCACCCTAAACCAGCCAGTAAAAGCAGTGTAACTCTCAGCTGGAAACCAACCAAAACAAAGTCAGCGGCTATCAAACGAACCAATTCAACTGCTGATACTACTGTAGCCCCGACTGCAACAAAGTTGGAAGATGCGACAACCAACGCTAGTAATCCTAAGAGGAAACCCATCACCGCTCCTGAAGACTCAGAAAGTTCAGACTCAAAAAAACGTCAAAGGCAACTTTATGCGCCTCCAAGTGGTAAATTCAGCTACAATTTCCGTGGAGGATATTCAAGTAAGCATAATTTTATATTTTAGGTTCAATTTGTGATTAACAAATTATTTATCCATATTTTTCAGATAATCGAGGAAGAGGTCGTGGTACCGGAGGTTTTCGAGGAGCAAACAGAGGCCGAAACAATCGTTACAGCAAAAGATATTCCTATTAATCAATCAACTCATTTTACTGCCCATATCAACTAATGATGGCCCATGAAATGGAATGAAGTGAATTTCTATGAAATTCCTTTGCCTACAAGTGATGGTTGAACCCACCTAACTTAAAATCACGACCATTGACCTATGGAAGAAAATTATGTACGATCGATGACAATGCGAAATTGTTTTGAATGATAACTAAAAATTCACTTTGTAAAACAGACGCATTTTATAATTATTTCATTCAAAATTATAATTCACTTCAATTCAATATTGACGACAATCAATGAATTAGTGTGCTCATGTATTTAACACTGATTAATTACAATTGTGTTTATACATATTAACTAATTAACAATCTATTTAGTACATTTTATTTCTTTTATATAAACCATTCAAGTGAAAATCACCCTCAATATCAATAGGTATGTATAGATATCCGTAATGCTGCTTTTTTAAAAAGTATAAGTTAATTTTATTGATTTATTAATGATTATTGTAGTGAAATGATATTTTATGGTACAGAAACATATGAAAGACAAATCAAATGACCAAATTTCCATGCAATTGGCCTTCAATTAATAAAAAAGAGCATATTTTGGCAAGAAGTTAGTTATCTCAATCAGCAATATCAATTGTAGAAACAAGGGGACGAAGAAGGAGATTCCTGAGGCCATCCGTTTCAGACCAAAATGTAGGTGTTTCACTTATTTAAAAATCTATATTTAAATATATTGGTGAGATTGATGTATTGTATTTTTTTCACAGAAAAAATTATCAAGTTTAAATTGCTCGATTGGTCCACACTAGAAGGAACCGGGCCTCAGAATGATGGTGCTCAGACTCTTTCTTTTTCTTCATCTTTTTTCTGGCGCTTTTGCTTCATCGATTATTTTCTCAATCATTTCAACAGCTTGAGTGCCGCTATCGGAATCTTTCATACTTTGTGAGATTTCTTTAATTCGATTGTGCATATCTACATCTTTTAAAGTTTTTTCAATGCAATCTAGAAGACGCTCTTCGCTAAGCTCCCAGAGATTAATGCGATATCCAATATTCTTGTCAACCACTCTTTGTGCATTATCATATTGATCGAAAAAATAAGGAATCACAATAAGTGGTTTAGCGTAATAAAGAATCTCCATTAAACTATTATTACCGCCATGTGTTATAACTAAATCAACCATTTGGAGAACTTGTATTTGATCAAAATAATTTTCACCCCACATATTGTCAGCCAAATCAAGAAAGTCACCACGAAAACCTTTTGAAATGATAAATTTGTGAGGGGCTTTGGCCAAGATACTGATTATCTCTCTCATTAACTTCAAATCATTTGACGCTATTGATCCAAGTGAAAAATAGATTAATTTGCCTGGTTTATCAAGAAAGTCTACTGGTACTGCAATTGTTTCTGGCTCAGCTGATCTAACAAAGTAATCAATTCGATGCCAGTTTGGTTCTTTAGGTAAGCATTCTTCATAATCTAATAGAGCTGGATAATGATAGAAGCCAATTGATTTTACAGGAAGGACTTGGCGTAGAGGATTGAATACTGGTGGTCTTTTGAATTCAACCAACATTTCATTTGTCTTTTCAATGTTAATTGAATTGGCTTCCAGAAAAATTTGTCTTATCTCTTCCCAAAGTGTTGGATCGCTTCTCGTAGATAAACCAAATGAGTAAGGTGGACCATTATGATACAGTAAAAGAGGATTTGCCGATTGTAAAGATATGACAGGATGGTCTGTTGCAAATAAGGAACCCGTAAGATCACACCAATCTTGGACAAAAGCATCAAATTGGTGTTGGTGAACAGCAACAATTTTACGAAGAATCAAGTCAAGTTTACGATAATCTTTCACCAGAAGTGCTAATCTTTGTTTATCCAAATCAGTGTAATTTTTAAGGCGCTCCAGAGGATCTACCCGGAAACTATCAAAATTGTCATCAAGCGCATTCAACATGGAATCATCACCAAAATATCCATCAGAAAACGGTATAAACTCAAAATTACGTGCTTCAGCTGCTTTCCTGAATTTTTTCCGATGAGTGAAAGTAACGTGATGTCCATGTCGAGCTAGTAATTCACCGAATCCTAAAGTAGCATTAACTGGACCATGTCTTGAAAAGATTAAGATGAAATTAGAATTGTGTGTTCAATGAAGTCCACTTGTATAACTTACTCATTCAGGGCGGTCAAAAGAAATCTATATTTTTTCCTTGACATAAAAATTTATTGAAGATTGATTGAAAAATTGTTTCAAGACAATTTCAACCTGTCATTAACTTCACCAAAACTTGACGCTTTCAAGCTCAAACAAACCAATGCAACATTTAAATTTAAATAACTCATTCAGATTAGGTTTAAAAGGTTACACAGGTTCAAGTTCAGGGTTATATTTACTTTGACATTGTACCATTTGCGATGCATTTTCGAACAAAGACATTTGCGTTCTCAACCTTCTCCGGTAACCAACCATTCGCATCATAACTTACAGATTTATCCAATTTTCATCCATTTCAACTGCACCACTTTCCTTCATAAGAACCGATGAGAAATGTAAAATAAGAGTATTTTGTTGATTGAAGATTCACCTCAAAAACAAGAACAGTAAAAAAATGTAGAAGTAAATGAGAGGGAAAACAGCATTTAAAGCAACAACAGAAATGGGCTAAACGCGCATGAAAAGATCAAAACAAGCGCCGAATTCAACCGAAATATTGTCGGTTAAAATTATTATTGATTCAAATGATATTTGTCAAATATGAGTCAAGATCGGTTAGTTTAAAAGCTATGCAGTTTATCAATCACTATCCATCTACAATCATTAAGAATAATGAAGCTATTAAGAGTTTTTACTTTAAAGGCAGCCCAGGTTTAACTCTGGTTACAATTTTGATTATAACAACTAATCACAATCTATTTAGTACATTTTATTTCTTCAATATAAACCATTGAAGTGCAAGTCTCTTCAAATCATCCTTAATCTCAATAGGAATGTATAGCTATCCGTAATGCAGCTTTTTTCAAAAAAGCATAAGTTAATTTGATTGATTCATTATTGATTTTGAAATGATATTTTGTGGTAAAGAAACACATGAAAGCGGAATCAAATGATCAAGTTTCCATGCAATTGGCCTGTAATTAATAACAAGATCTTATTATGGCAAGAAGTGAGTTATCTCAATCAGCAACATCTATTAAAGAGAAAAGGAGACGAAGAAGGAGACACCGGAGGCCATCATTTATCGATGCAGACTATTTAAACGAGAGTCCATTCAATACATGCCACACAATAAGCTTGCTTTTATTGACCATGTATCATCTATTGCGTAAGTAGATTTTCAAAGGGCGAACAAATTTCAATCCTAATTTCATCTTGTCTTTTCATTTTTTGGTCTCAGTTATTATCCCATTGATTTGGTCAGGAATGTTTGCTTCAATTTACACGGATGAATCTGCACCTTCCGTCTTGCCAGAATTTTATGATTTAATAAACACAAAAGGACAAATAACCAATTTAACAATACATTCAAAGAACTCGATTGGATCCATGATAGTGAGAACTAATACTCTTGTTGAACTTGCTCGTAGATTTTGTAATAAAGGCATTCATTCATGCATTCTTCAAAATACAAAACCTGACGATCCAATGTAACATTTGGTGTTAAAGCTTTCTCAACTGTAAATCCATTGATGCAAAAAATTTAAAACTCGCTTCACTCTTGTCTATGTTAACGTGATTTTTGAGCTATTATTGTTGTAAAAATTTAACCATTCAGAGGGAAGTACGATTCAATTGTAAAAATTAATCTTCTTCTTCATAAATTGTTCACCTATGAAAATTAAAATAATTGAGAGCAAAGTAAAAGTGCAAATGACTTGCAAAGTTGAAATAAATCAATCTCTTTATGTCTCTACCTGCATTTGATTGGATTCAAAAAACCAACCTACATGATGATACAGATTTGTTTTACACTTTGCTGTCAACATTTAAACATTTTTCGAGATTAAAATGATTTTGATGTAATATAATCTCATGTATCAGTTATCCTAGCACCTATAATGATTATTTTAATTTTTCATTTAGTTTCCATTCGGCAATCAAAATTATTAGTTGGGTTTTTTCACTTCATCACTTGAGTTACTAGAGTTACTTCAACTCACTAGAGTTCACCTGGGATTCACTATATAAAAATAATGTTTGATTATGTGAAGTTAATATTTATAAGAAACAATTTACATGAAGCTAGCTGATTCTTGAAATAAAATAATCTCAAGATGAAGCATTTTAACCTAATTAATTTTGTAAAAATGTAAAAATAAAAGATTCATAACTACTAGACTTGAGTTTCATTGGATAATGTTCGAGGATAAAGTGTGTGTTATAAGATATCCAGAAAAACAAGACTTTTAAACTTCCCTTTCTCCTTCTTTCTTTCTTTGGTTTTGCTAGTTTTGTTTTATTGTGAGTTTATTTTTCTTTAATTAAATCTATCTAGGTTATTAAATTTATTGCTACAGCTAATTTAATCTTGGACATGGCAACCATGTATGTTAAGGATGATGTAGGTATGTTATCAAATCTAAATTAATCGACGATACATTTATTGGAATAATAGTCTTATTTATTCGTTGACTCCTTTCCTATTCATGTGTGCATGGGATAGTATGTGTGGTTATTGTGCCAAATGTTGTTTTTTCTGCACTTTAAATAACTCATTTAATTCACGTTTTGGGAACGAGATAAATTTGATTCGAGTTTTAACGCATTGGTTTTCCATGATTTTGATGTATTTTTTATAAAATTATTTTTTCGTTATTCTTTTGTTGAGAGCCCAAGCTAGATGTTTTATCTGTAACTCAGCTGAGTGTGGTCTATTTGTTGGCACGTTATTTTCAATCTAACTCTTTTTATTCATGAAATATCGCCACATTTTTTTTCTCTGTTTTCTCTGTAGGTAGTACTATCATACCATCATCTCAAAGACCAGACGGGTCATGGAGGAAGCCAAGAAGAGTTAAGGAAGGATTTGTTCCTCAAGAAGAGGTACCTCTCTATGAGTCTAAAGGCAAGCAATTTGCAAAAGAGCGTGAAAATACTCTGCCTCCTGGTTTGGATCCCGAATCATGGGAAAAAATGAAAGCCAATCAAGAGAAAATGGCTCGTAAAAAGAATCAAGATGTTGTAAAACCGAACAACCAAGGTAAAGCTAGCAACAACGCTAACAGCAATAAAGGAAATAATGTTAAGAATAAGGACGCTGGTAGTAAAAACAATGGTAAACCTACTAAAGGTAAAAATGTTAGTTCTAATACCACTGGAAAATCAAATAATGCGGTTGAACAAACAAACGAAACCAATGTATCTACAACATTATACACAGCACCTTTGATAATCCCTGGGATAACTGGAGACGACAGTGAATGGGAGACAGTCATATCAAAGAGAAAGAAGAAAGCAATGAGCAAAGAAGAAGCCAGCAAGGCTGGAGGAGCTCCTGGTGGCAAGGAATCGACCAATGTCCCTGTTAATGCTATTAAACTTAGCAATTCAGTTAGAATAGTTGAAACGGAGAAAGGAATTAAGGTAACTAATGAAGCTGGGCAGCCATTGACAACAGATCCGCTCAGAAAGCTGCGAAATTTGAAGAAAAAGTTGAAAGACATTGAAAAACTCAAAACCATGGACCCTAAAAAGTTGGAAAAAGAACAAAAAGAAAAGATCAAGAATGAAAATGAAGTTAAAGCAATGATTCATCAATTAGAATCATCACTCCATTTATAAAGATAAATCTTGGAAAATTTGCTTATTGTTGATCAAAAGGTCTATTTTTTCGCTGACGGCAAATAATAATGTTACCAATCAACCATATAATAACAACCTTCAACCAGAACACTGTTCTTCTCTTCACTAGCCTGTAGTTAATCAGCTCACGTTTGCAGCTATTTGTGTAATTATTTCTATAAAATTAGACGAGTTTATAAACTAATCGTTTCAAGTAATGAATAACATTAAATTGCAACTCTTAAATTTACAAAGTAATTCACGAAAAAACACTCTACGGTCATAACAGAAATAATTAGTTTTCTAATGTTGGATATTAAACTGATAATCAACTAACTTTCATTGACAATAAAATCAGACTAAGCCGTTTCAATTTTCTCGTTTCTCGAAATTATTAGATACAAAAAAACTAAAACTTCTGATCAATTTGGAGATTAAATGATTAAAAGATCAACTTTGATTTAATCACGTAGAGCTATTTTGGTCATAATTTAACCATACAGACTGAAATACGATCCGATTGTAAAAGTTCATCTTCTCCTTTATTAATTGTTCAACTGTGAAAAGTGAAATAATGAAGAGCAAAGTGTAAATGACTTGCAAAGTTGCAACAAATAAATCTTCTCTTTATGTTTACCTTCATTTAAATTCATACAAAAACATTAACATGATGTTCATCATTATCATCACTATCCCCCACCAAGTATCATCATGATTATTGGTGTTAGATTTTTTTACATTGCATTGTTTACATTTATACATTTACTTGGGAGACTAAAATGATGATTTTGATGTAATACATAAAAAAAGAGACAGAAAAAAAAACAATGAATAAACCTTCAATCTCATGCAATATCAATTATCAAAGGCAGGTACAGTAATTGTTTCAATTTGTGATTCGGTTTCCATCAGGCAATCAAAATTACTAGATAGCACTTGTAACTTTTAACCAAAATAATTATTGTTATTAGTCTAAAAAGATATTCGTTAATGGTTTGATTTGTAGTACCAACTCATGATTTTTCAGCAAAAAAAAATTCGTACAATTTTGCGAGATGACATGAAAGGGTTTTTGTTCTTTTCTCTCCATGATAAGTCTGTTTTTTTTGTTTTTCATCCAGATCTTTGTTTTCCATTTTGTATAACTTTCTTTGTTTCACCTTTATTTGGAATTATAGTCGTTAATTTATCATCGTTATTAAAGCTTCCTACTCCTTCGTTTTAGTTGTAGCGTTGATTTACAATGAAGGAAAAACTTGAGATTTTTGACTAGAGTTCATCTGGGATTCACAATTTATGCCTAAAAATCTATTAACATGTGATTGTCAATTGAAATTCCAAAGGAATTTGTATTGATAAAGTCACAGAGAATCAAAAACATGGAAGAAGATATGATGATGGTAAAGAGAAATTTAGATCAAGTTTCAAGAGACAAATAGAAAATTAAAAGGACAGTCCATCTCATTGGGCTTTCTTGTTTAGTCGGGTCGTTAAATGGTTAAACAATCATATGTGACAATTGATTTGATTCCCTAACATAGACTTGACATTATTCCGCTTCATCACCATCAAAACTTTTCTTTCATGTTGTAAGTGATGAAATGTTTAACCGAGTGCTTGATTCGCTTGAGGCCATAGGCACACTCGATGGTGATGGTGTCAAAGACCCATAGTTACGAGTTGTTTGAGATTCCGGAGGCACAATGCCGTTGACATTAAGATCAAAAAGCACAGGAGGTAGGTATGAACATGCACAAAACTCTTTTAAATTGGTACGTTTCGATGCACGACGAGTTGTAGCCTAAGAGAAAGAGAAATAAGAAATTGTAAATTCAATGAGAAATAATACCAAGAATGATAACCTTTTTGCTCCATTTGATCATCGTAAATCTGTGATCTTATAATAAAATTTTATGATTTTTATTAAAACGATTTCGAAGATAAAAATAAATCTAAAATAATTCATAGCACTCAATTAGGTCGTGATCACAAATGGTGCAGTTATGATCACAAATTAGATTACGAAAGATGATAACGGAGCAATTGAAAGATTACGAATTATACTTACATTGTAGGTTAAATGATTGATATTCCAGAAACAATGAAAAAAACAATGACCGGAAAAAATTATGGTAGCAATTATAACTAACACTAGGCAAACTTTGGTTAAGCCACTTTGCCCAGTTCTTAAAAAGCAAAATGTAAATATCTGAAATATCATCATGAGAATGGCAATATGGAAAAAGGTAATAGCCGTTGAATGAATTCGTCCATTGATTTTACTCGGAGTGTAAACATAGTAGATATTATAACGATCAACAATGTGTTTAACCACCATATAAAGTAGACCTAATGAAAAAGAGAAATTGAGAAACAAATTAATATCTCATTAATATTACAGGAAAGAGACAAGGAATAGTATCAAAAACTTCAGTGACAGAGTAAAATAATGGCTTTGTGATGGAAATACATTTATTTAAGCTAATAAGATGAAAGCTGATAAGATGAAATAAGCCTTAATAAAAAGGTAAATCACCCAGGACTAATTAAACTCTCAAGTGAATAAAGCTATCATCTGATAATTGATTTTTTTCAATAATGACATCGTACTCGAATAATCAACTGAATCAAATTGACTTTTCTCGATGGAAGATCATTTTAATCGGATCAAACAGTTAACAAGTCATTTACTGTAATGAATAAATGAAATAAAAATAAAGATTCTGTCTTGTGTTTGTCTTTTTTGCTACTGCAAGGATTGTTACTTTGCTAATTAAGCTTTAATTCTGTGAAATTAATTATTGTAACATCAAAGTAATTTGGAACTAAGTGAATGGATGCATTTGTGATTCATTAATTAACCCAGGACTATTTAAAACTAGTTGATTTATGGATCATTGAATTTGCAGCTGAACTTTGCGATTGAAATACAAAGGTGAGTTTTTAAAATTGAAAATTCAATAAATTAATCAACCAATTGATGAATTATAGTGATAATTTATAAAGTATTGGGAAATTGATTATTGAAATTGAATGTTAAGATAACCTTTTATGACCTTTCTCATGCTAATCCTAATGTTTTGTTATTGATAAGTTAACGATAATAAACATGCAACAATAACCTTTCTGTGGTCTTTGAATATTGATTGAAAGACATTTTCCAATAAAACAATACATAAACAATAAAGTAACTTATGATATTAAGATTTGATATTTAACTTACCGCAAGGAGCAATTAATGGACAAGAAAGGCTGTATGTTACAACCATACAAAAAATAAGCAGAAATCTTGGATAACGAATGCCAAATTGAAAATCAAAGATTACTTGTTGACGAGCGTTCTCATATTCAGCTGGAGTCTTGGATGAGAACATGTAGTAAAAGAAGTAAAGAAATAATTCAGGAAAACGTAAAAGCTCCATTGCATTCCCTAAAAGAGTTGATTGTAGAACATAGTTGACGAAAAAGGCTCCATTATCTACAGGGAATAAACATTCCCAATTAAATTTGTTAAATTTTTTAGTTGCTAATGATTCAAGTAAAGCTGATGCACTGAAAAGATGAGAAAAAATAATATTAATATACTTTGTTTGAATTTAACCACAAAGATTTGAAATGCTTAGTGCTGTAATGTGCAACAAACCTAGTTAAACCTAATGATGGTAAAATGATGACCATCATAATCAAAAATAAATAAACCTTCCACATGATTGAGTGATTTAAATCTGAAAGGGTTTTGTAAGGCAAATATTGAGATGCTAAAATAACAAATGAAGGTAATATGATTGCAGCGATAACCATTAAAAGCGGAGCAAGATATTCGGCGGCAAATGGAGTCTGTAAAAATAAATGAAAAACATAGCAAGTAATGATTTGAATTTAAGGAGAGAGAGAGAGAAAGTAATTGATTTATAAGAGATTAACTTCATTCTGAGTTAAATTGACATTTCCAATCAATAAGTTGGCAAAAGATTATTTCATAAAATGATAATTACCACTGCATATAAACCAGTTTGGATGGTTTCCTGGATTTTGAGGACAGATAAATATGATAAAACGATGAGAGGCGTCGAAAGGAAAAAGAATAGAACAAATAAACATAAATGAACTATGATCCGACGCATCCAAATCAGCTTGTAATCAACAGCAATATCATCCCTGTAAAGATAATTGAGTTGAGAAATGAAAGTTAGTATTAACTTAATGTTTGTTGTAAACTTGGGTCAGTGTTATTAAAATAACCCAAAGTGGACATCGATTTGGCCAAACTAGTCTTACCAATTGATATCATCTGGATATGGTGCATAGCCAACTAGCCAGCGAGAAGTTTCAAATTCATCAGAATCTTGATAGAATAATTTCCTGATAGCAGTTCCCAGACGAAAACAACAATTACAGGGAAAAAGTGTACATGATTCTTCTTGATTCTTTCGTAAAGCTCGATACACTCTATTAGATGAAAAATAAAACAATAACAAGATAATGTAAACAGGGAAAATAGTGAAAAGAAAAAAAGGAAACAGGAAAAGTGATACTTATTTAGAGTAATTAGATATTAAGGAACAGGATTTTAGCTCCAATTATATTTATAAACACATGTTTTTACAAATACAATAGCAGGAGGTGTAAAAGCAAGCAAAGTGAAAAATAGAATAATCAATAAGCTTACTTTTGAGCCATCTTTTCATTCTGGAAAGTTATGAATGCTGATCCAGAGGGATCTGAAATACATGATCGAAACTCCTTTTCTATTTCTCTTTCTAACTCTTGTTCACGGCCTTCATAGTAAGATATACCGTCAACTTTATCACAGCCACAACAGCTATATGGTCCAAGATGGCCCATAAAATAGGGATAAACATCACATCTTTTGTGATTTTCGTTCAGATACTCTTCACAATAGTATTTTGCATTGGCTACATTATTATATTCAAGGTGAAGAGTTTTTAAACGACGAGTATTGTAAACAAACTGGATTCCCTCAATGACAACATCAGGAAATAATTGATTTAAATGAGAAGCTAAGCCATCTTTAGATCTTTTAGATTTAGGTATCCGACGAACGTAAAGGGTTCTTTTTACAATGCGAAGTTCATCTGCTTTTATACGCTTTGAAAAATGACACATAAACGCAATACCAACAGGTAATAAGAGTATTGAAATTACTACATGAGCCCATAAGAGATTCTCATTATCTCCAATATTAGATACAGTAGTGCGACCAAACGGTTTATTCCAGGGTTCTGTGAATTACCAAATAAAACAATATAGTTTTAATAATAGCCAAGAGAAAAAAAACCAACAATTGGTTTTGTATTTTTTTTGTAAAAACAAGCTTCTATTGTAATTATTATTCTGACTTGTATATTTTAAGAAATGTTATTGTTGTAACATTAACTGTTTTTGAATATGTGCTTTTGTTATCAGTCTCTTTAATTATTGTGGTGTGATATTTACCTGTATTTCCTTGAAGATTAATGGGCAATATGATGAACATACAAATGAAAGTTAATAATGTTAAGAAATAAATGATATATCGTTGAAAGATAAGGTATTGGACAGCATCACTTCCTTTCTTTGCTAATATATCTCGGTCCTTAATACATAAAATATCACATAACCAATAACCTATCTCTGTTGTTGACTAAAAAGAGAAAAGAGAAAAAATTAAATTAGTTAAAGTTTATAGATGAATTTATTAATCAATTGTATCGAACGAACATCGGATTAGTTGATTTTGTAAAATAACCGTTGAAGCATGCCTCGAAAACTTGATGAAACAACTGAGTCAGCAATGACTACAGCAAAAGGAGGTAAAACTCGAAAGAAAGGGATCAGTATTTTACCTTCATGGATAAAACACAGTGCAATGGAACGAGAAAATGAAGCTGGAAATTTGTTCAACGCTATGAACACTTTTGGATTAATATTATTGGTGACATTCAACGTAATTGGTAAGTGATTAATGATTATACACATCCATTGTTGATACCCATAATTGTATATTTAGTTTTCAATCATTGCTAGACTCCATAATTACTAAATAGTCCACATCAATCTTAGTGGGTCAAAATAGTTCATCAATTATATTAGTCAACATTATATCTAGGAGTTTGTAGAAATTTAGAGACTTTTGAAATCCCTGATAAATCAGTTTGAGATATTATTGATTGCTATGTTAACAATTGTAGTTCTTAACTGTCTTTTTCTCATGACTTCATCGGATACATTTGACAGTTACATGATCTAAAGACTGAAAAGATTTGAATATCATCTTTCATATTTTCTCATTATCTTTTAATTAACCTTGTTAACGTGTAAGCCATAAAAAAACAAGCTAGGCAATTAATATTAATAGCTAATTATCTTGTTAGTTTAACTTTCTTTTCTTTTGAATCTCATTCATTTTTTTCCGTAGCATTGGTAGTTCCAGTGGTTTGGGCTGGTATCTTGGGAACTACGTACTCTGAAAGTTTAGCTCCTTTTGTTGATGCCGGAGCATATATAATTGTTGACTCGATAGGAGCCCCAATCAATATTACTAAAACTAGCAACATTATCAAATTATTGATAATTAGAGTCAACATGATAGCTGGACTAGCCAGTAAAATTTGCAAAAAGAATGAATTTAGCTCCCAATGTCAACAATTGAATGCCACTTTAAAGTCTAATTAATGAGTTAATTGCACATTCAAGCAGGAGAACGAATCTTGTCATGAACATCTATTCTATATGTGTCGTCTAATTGATAACATTTTTCTTTCTTGCTTACATTGCAAACTATGGAATTTTCTTGGACAGTTGCGTTTCCAATAATAAAAACTGGTATATTAGTCATTACTTATCCGAAATATTTAAGTCCTGAAGTATCTAACAATGTGTACAATCTAGTCCAGTTCAATCTGTCTGTATCAGATCCTGATATTCTTGGTTCCTTGATTATAAGAATCAACTATTTGAACGGTCTTATTAATAGAATGTGTGGCACAAAGTGCGATTAAATTTTGGTCAAACGAATCTACAAATATCCATCAACATGATGAACCAAGATATTATAGACTAACAATAATTTATAAAAGTCTGCAAGAAAATATGTGTTTAACTAAACAATTATCCTAAAGATTTTCACTATTTCTCTATATCAAGATGTCAACAATGAATGTATATTCTTAAAAATCAAATCATGAGCAACTATCAATAAACGGTTTGTGAACATTGTCACGTTGAAAGGCTAATTCTGATTTCATGTTCAAATAATCCGATGAACCTACGAGTTCGTTATTTCTTCTTACCATAGACCGGTCAAAAAAAGATCTGGATCTTCTTTCAGTAGAAGCATCATCTCCTCCTCCAATATCGCAGTTCACTTGTTCACTAGTTGGTCGACTACTATTGCTATTGCTTCCATTGCTACTGTCATTCTTAATTGAATTTGATGAACCAGGCGTGCTACGGCGAGCTTGAACTGACAGATGAGTTTCATTTTCTAATTCTAAGTCACATTGCATATCTACACTTGTCTCTATGTTAACATTAATTTCATGTCGTACTGACATATCGGCTGCTGTAGGTGGCAAGAGAAGATGGTTATACTTTTGATGCTCATGATCATGATGGTCCGTGTATATTATTGGTCTTTTTGGTTCACGGCGATTCTCTCTATCTCCATAAATAAATTGAATCCAGCTGTAAAAGGATTAAAATTCATTATTGTAACAAATTAATTAAGCATTTGATTTCAATTATATGTGTTCTTGTTTAGATATTATGTAAAACCACATAATCAATAAAAATAAAAATAAACCTACCCTTTTTGGGTTCTTGTCAGTTGACTAGATTTACGATTCCATGCATTGTTACGTATAGCAGAAAACAGTAATATCATAGACTGTAAGAGAATAAGTGAATACAGAGATTAAAAATTAAATTAATTAGCTATTAAAATGGTGGTGTTGCCAATCTTTTTTCGTAATTTTATGGCTGAAAAAAATTATTCTAGTTGCTAGAGATTTACAGGAAATGCTTACCGCAAAAATAATTGAATTGATTATTAAGTTAGCGGGTATTCCTTCCCATCCTCTATCAAATTCATAACTGCTTATATTAAGTGAAAATATTTGACCACATTTAACATCATTTGGCAAAGAGAATGGTGTTGTTGCGGGACGATGGTGTCTTGAGCTAGCCATGCGAAGTTTGTTTTCACTAAATATAACCAGTGTCGATTAGGGTGAAACCCAAAATTGAGATAAACCGTTGAAAGAGACAGAAGTAACAGCGGTGGAGATGGGACACAGAGAGGCTCAATATGTGTAAACAGATAATAGGGATAAAAAGTGGTTGATCAATTGATGAAATAAAAGTGGAACCGTTTAGGGCTTGAAGCACAATAGCATTGATGATGTAGTCGTACACAGTGAGACAAAAAATCAAGATAATTCATATTATGATTAGTTGGAAATCATAGCTTTATCTAGAGATAATGCATGTTCTTAATCATGTGAAAGATAACTTGATGAGTACAATGTTGACCAACAGTAATTAAAATTTACACAAATATCAGGCAATAATAACACTGTCACTATGCCAAAGTAACAATGTTTAAAAGGTAAGCTTTTAGACAGGTGAGGAATACAGGTCCAAGAAGAAAAAAGTAGACAGAAATAAATAGAGAAAAGAGAGGAAAGATAGAGAAAGATAGAGAAAGAGAAAGAGAGAGAAGAATATATTTAAATAATTAAGTCAAATCATTCACTAAAATTAATTAATATCACCGTAATTATTACCAAAAACATAGTAATAATAAAAATTTAATTTGATTACAACCAGAAAGGCCCAACACTGACACTTAAAGACCCTAAAGAAAAAGGCTTACATCAGTTTCTTTCTTTGCTCTCTCTTTAACCCGCCTACATGTTTCTCCCCCAACTAACCAGGGTAGATTAAAAAATTTAAAACTAACAGCCGATTCTGTTGCTCAATCAACAATAGTTGAAATAATTAATTTACAATAGTTTTTAATAACAATCTAGTCTTTTAATCAATTAACAAACCTTTCCTGATCGCTATAAAATCACCCAAACGACCTCTTACCAAATGACCAGTCCAAATTTTAACAGTATCTTTAATCAAAAATTGTGAATGTTAACCCATAGTCAAAAGATACAAAAATGTAAGACTAACCGAATGATCGAATGTGTTAACTGTGTCCACCTCAACTAACCAATTGACCAGGCAAATGGACTAATCTAAAGGTACGTCATTTCAATTGATAAAATCCTCAAGTAGATAAGCAATTAATGTTTCAACAATATTCTTTCATTATCACTCGTTCTGATCTTCCTCCCAATGTTGACTTCTATCTTGAGCGCATTTTATTCAACATGGGGATGTGGCTCAGTGGTAGAGCGTTCGCTTTGCATGTGAAAGGCCCCGGGTTCGATCCCCGGCATCTCCATTCTTTTTGCATTTTTTGATTGTATTCATTTAGATAACAGCTTTCAGTTGGTTAACTAGTCTATCAACTCAAGTTATCAGATTTTCAACTTATTTTCTTGCTTATAGACTCAAGGATTTTCTTAATTTTCGTTGTCTGCATGCAATATTCATACGATTTTTTTAAATTCTAGGGTTGATCAAGACCATGGTTTCATGTCGCACCTAGAATTTCACACAATTATATAAAACCAAAGGGAAATGGACATGAAAACAATAACGGGTAAGTCGCGGGATTTGCTTCAACTTTGCTTTTTAACGATTATAAAAGCTTTACTCAATGTTTTTACGGAGAAAGGCGTAAACATTAAAACATATGATTTTTTGGTTAGGTCAGTTTGATCAAGGGGCTGTTGGAATGGGTTTTGTGTTGAGTCCAAATTTTCAGGTTAATTTGGTGAACAAGGGCTTAGGTCGGCCTGGGGCCTTAATTAGCTTCATTTAATTCAATTGTTCATAAAGAGCGCTCTTAAAAAACGTCTACCATTGGATGATTTTTAATGTTTACGCCTTTCTCCGTAAAAGTAAAACCTTACCTATAAAAGCTTTTCTCAATGTTTTTACTTTCACTTAATTTGATTCAGTTACAGAGATGAATTTCCGTCCGTTATGGTCAACATTGTTTCAAGACTTGGCAATGGGTTTTGTGTTGAGTCCAAATTTTCAGGTTAATTTGGTGAACAAGTATTTTGGCCAAAACAATGAATCTTGGACACAATAAACCCAAAGTAAATTTTGGGTTGAAACATTAGTATCCTTCATCACAGGTTAGGATGCTATTGTTTAATTATTGACATTGTTCCAAGTAATGGCAGACATGTCGTTGGGTCCTTTATTTATCATCGTTACCTCTTCACTTTTCACTATGATTGGCATCATTATACTTTACAATGTGATGACATTTTTCTTCACCGTTTCCGATACAAGAGATTATATTAATGGTGAATCAATCAACAATCCATTTGAAAGACAAAACCGACGTAATGATGATTCAATGCCACCCTCGCTGGCTGAATATGCAAACCTAGCATTGGATGAAACCCAAGATCGGCAATTAAAGAAAAACAATCAATATTACAGCTGGGCAACTCTGAGATGATCAAAAGACAATTATCTGTATTTCAACCTCTTGAGACAATTTGTACAACTTATTCTGTAAACTTTAACCCTGTATCCATATAAATTGTACTGTGAAATTAGATCCATCTTGTTAAGACAATTTGCTATTTGTTTAATTCACTCATAAAACTGTTAATATAATACCTCATCGTTACCTTCATTTTTCAAATGTCATGTTCATCATTAATTTAATTTTAAACCTCAGATGATCCAATCATTATTCTTACAATATTTGGGTTTTCAAAATAATCTTAAACTCAAAGATTAAACAATAATCTTTGCTAAAACTTGACTGTACTCCAGACTCTTGACCCGCTCCTTTCTCGATTCAAACAAATTATAATCTTTAATGATTTGCTGATTTAATGATCTGACAATGTAAATTTTTCTTTAACAATAAGTAATACAAGGTATTCAACTCCTACGTCTATTTCAGTCGAGATACAAAATTATCGATTTTTGGTTTCTTTGGTAACTCTTTGGGTGTGTTAGACTTTTAATCATTTTTTGTTGCCCATGCAAACCATCAAAGAGTAAGACAGTTTACTCTTTGCTTGCCCACCCTTTCATTAAGCTTACATATCCACTCTCACTTTGTCAATATGAAATTAACATTGACAATTGGTGTAATCACCGTTACCTTAATAGTTAACCCGCAATAACATCATAATCATCATCATCATAATCTTTACCACTTTTGTTAACATCATCTTCTTCTTCTTCCTATTATTATTGTCTTCTTATGGTCCGAGTGAAAAGCAATCCTCACACTCAATTCATCAAACTCATGTATTGATTTAATTTGTTGGTTCATTAATTATTTTTACCTTGTTAATTTATTATTAGTCTATGTAACTGTCTTATTTATCTTAACCCATCTCTACTGGTATCTCGTAATGACTATCAACTCTACAAGCTCTCAATTAATTGGCCCTAATAATGTGAGAAAACAAAACAACAAAGTCAATCACTCTGACAATCTATCAATTTCACCAAATCAACCATCAACACCTATAGTATTAACGGTAGCTATGTCAAGTTCAACAACAGTATCACCTTCAATTTTCAGTGTCCGTCACAATCAAAGTCGTTTATTTACCCTTAACAATGGGTCAAGCAACTTTTTTGGAATCAATGACAGAGATATTCCCATACTTATTGGAGCTGCTGCAGGTGAGAAACATTAACATAAAGGCTGTTCAAGTCTTTTCCAAACGTTGAAGACTTGATGATTGGTTTAAGATAACAGATGATTAACCGATCCTTTTATTAATTTCATGTTCAATTTAAGGAGCCATTGGGTTAATCATAATTATATTAGCAGCCATATTAGCGTGGTATTGCTGTCAATATGGAATCCGTCGTCAAAAAAGCTCTTACCGTAAGTGTAAACAAATGAATTGCTGCTTCAAATTTCCAATGTTTTTTTGCTATTTGTACTAATTGTTTTTCTCGTTTTATCAATTAGGTTTAGATGAAGAGAATGAAAAATGGGCTTCTTGTTCCAACTTTGGATCTGGAGTTTTCGCCGACAATGATTCTGTTATTTTCACAGGAATAGAGAACATACCAAATCAGTGCGTTAAAGGACATAACATAAGGAGATCATTATCCACTCAAATCCATTTGGTCAATGTAAGTCTGGATTGTCCACTGATTCTGACTCTGTCCTTGGAGTCACTGATTCGATACTTAATTTCGTCTGGATTTAATCTGAAATTAGAAACACATGCAAAAATGTTATTAGAAGAGACTTGAACATGTGTACAGATGATACAAGTATTTGTTTTTGACAACCTAACCATGATCGATTTTCATGACATTTCAGTTATTATAATCTTTTTTATAATCTACTTTTTGTAGCCTAACCGTGATAAACAATTTGATTCGATAGCTGCTTTGGATACAATTAACCCATCATCCGAACAAGGATATTTAAGCAATGCTGAGGCAACTAATCAACTAAGACAATCTGAATCTGCTAATGTCAATGTTTGCGATACTAATAACAGGTGTAACAACCAGATTAATGATAATCAAGTCAATAATTCTAGCAACAGCAATAATGTAAATTATAATGTTGAAGATGAAGATGAATATAATCTTGATGATAAGTATAGATATAACAGTAAAAGTCAATTGTATAGTGAGGTAGTCAACGCTTACAGTGATATAACCATCGATGGTACTAATTTGAGAACTCGTAGTCTTCCTTGGAAAAAAAATTCAACCGAAGCTGATGAATCAAACAAGCTTGCAAACAATCAGACTAAGGTGATCATTTAAATCTAATCCAAATTTCGCACTTTTATTTTCGCATGTTTCTTCGCACATTTTTTCTGTTTACTTATATTGTTATGGAACAGTTGTTTTACATTATTTGTTGTATTTTGTATTTGTTTCAATTTTTGCCCTCTTTTTGTTTAATTTAATTTTGCACTTTGTATCCTGATTTTGTTTAATTGTTGACTAATGTGCTTTTGTTTTCCTTTTAGCTCAATTTCACCAAAAAGCGAGCCAACCGAATGAGAAATGACAGCGCTGCTGCCATTGCCCTGAACCGGAGCGGGGCAACACCTACCCATTCACCTTATCTCACTAAGGAAACTGATTGTTTAGTTGATAATGATTCATTGATTGCTAATGAAGCTGTTGTGGTCTATGACGAACGAACTGTCCTTTGAACTGGAGGTGATATTATTAACCAAATTATTCCAACTGTGTTACTTAAGATTTAACTCAAAGCATTTCCTATCTCAAAAAATATGATGTAAATGTTAAAACGTTTTGTCGTTGAATGTAGACTAAATTTTTATTTGAGTAAATCAATTTTTTTCCTAGTATTTGAAACAATTAACAAGACTGATGAGAGGAAAGACTCATATTTTTAAGCAATGTACAATTGTAAACTAATAAGATTAAATTATTATTATTATTCAATTTTTTTCTTCAACATCGAATGTAAATACAGTTAATGTCAATGGGTGTAAAAAAGGCAACGATAATTCATATTATTAAATAACTTGTTAAAATAAATCTTTGTTGTAAAAAAGGTAACAATTTAGTTATTGTCTTTGGCAATATTATGAGCTAACCAGTTGATATTAGTCTTCCAGCTATTTTTTAAAGCTTCGTCAAATTTTGAACGAAAATGGGCCAAAGCTTCTTCTTGAGTTAAATCCAGAACCAAAGTTTCTCTCAGATAATCTAAATCTTTTACTGATGATAATTCAGGGATTCCAGTGGACAACATCATGGCGAAAAGAGATAAAATGAAATGTCCTTTTTTCCATAGAATGGTAAATGCTTGTTCACAAATTGATTGGAATGGTGCAAAATCGCCTCTTCGACTTCCACCTGCCGTAATAACATAGACAAAGTCATTTGTCAAGACAAATGGAACTCGTTCTCTTCGAATTCCAAATTTTTCTTTAAATTTTCCCAAAATGTGACCGAAATCAATGTGCAATATTTGTCCGTTTGATTTAATCAGAATATTGTCACTGTGTCGGTCAGCAATTCCTAAAACATATGTAGCTACTGAATAGCCAGCACATGATAAGGTAAACTGACGGATTGCTTTGGTTAATTCAGGTTCGGTTGGATTGTGTGATCGTAACCAATTAAGAAGTGCTGCTTTATTAAAAGCTGATGTGGCTTTCATTGAGCAACTTTTCTGAATTTTGGCCAATGTTTGAGTTGAAGGAACTACTTGAATCAAACCAACACCTCTGTCAGTGGCAATCACTCGATATGGGGTTAATCGTAAATCAAGACCTTCATCTTTCCATAACTTATCCATTATACGAAACATTTGAAGAGTTAACATGTCTTGTCGAAGATCTGAAAATAATTTGTAAATAAAAAGCACAAAATTGCAAATAAGAAATGTTAAGTTCATTTTGACTAAATTAGGTTTTAAAATTAAGTTTACTATTGAAGTTAATGTAAACTGATGAATAAATTATTAAAAGGTTTACTCACCATCACCGTTTTTGAAGATAATAGAGACATCATCAGCTCCTTGGTCAGAATTGTTGAAAACAAGCCAAAGAGGTTTCATTTTACTGTCCATTAATTTACAGTTGTCAACTTTAATTGTTGATAATTTAATTCTTGGATCCAATGGATTGGTAACATCTTTAAGTGACTCTTTGTAATATGATTGTTCCAGAATTTCATGCATTACAGTCATCAAACGTTCCTTTGATTCCTTTCCTCTAGTTGATTCTCTTTTGACAATTTCATTCATATGTTTAAGTTTATTAACTGCTTCCATTTGGCGAGATAAATCTTTCATGTGGTCAATTGATCCTCGACAATATGCTTCAAGAAGTAAACCAAAATATGTTGAAACGCTTGGTTCAGCCATTTCTGATCTTAACAACCAAAACAGCTGGTGGCCTAGTCTTCGATTAACAAGTGCTCTTTCGAGAAGAAACATAGCCAAATCACAGTGAAGATACGATTCGTATTTCAACGCTTGAACCAACTGTAGTAGATAAAGTGATAAATCATCATCAGACATTGACTTTAAACAAGAAACAGCATAACTACGAACAGAACAATCAGCATAAGCATAATCAAGTAACTGTAAAGCCATTTCAGGCTCAAGTTTAGGCCATCTATGAAGTAAGCGTAACATGGAGCAAACAGATAGATGGTCAGACCAATCGACACAATTAAGTAAGTATGGTAATGCTGTTGGTAAGTAAAGAGACAAATCTTCACGAAAATACCAAAGAAATTCGCGATCCAATGAGGCCATCTCTGTCAAGGGGTCACGAGAACAAATTGATTTCAATTGTTCCAGATATCGTGAACTCGGAGAATGATCACCTGATTTCCTAGAATCGCTTGAATTAGCAACCGGTGTTGATGCCAAGATTGCTTCCAGCTGAGGATAGAAGATAGCTGATTCAGGATAAGCCGAGTATTTTGGAAAAGTAATTGTCAAACAAGTTGCCTCACCACAAAATGGATTTGGTAAAACAGTCCCCAATGGATTAAAAGCATTTCCTGATAAATCATCCAAAGATTCTGGGTAAGGCCACATTGGAAGAGTATAGCTTCCCGATTTTAACTGTCCACGATAATCAAACAAAGGTGTATTGGCCCATTTTAAATGATTAGTTGTTATATCACAAGCAATGGTTGATTTAACTAAAAAGAAACCAGAGCCTTTACGTGCACGAACCATGATCTCATAAAGAACCAAACACAGTCTAGTCATCCGGGGTACATCTGACAAGGGTATGTCAAAGGTCAATTGTTCATCCCATTCGACTACATCCATGTTATTATCTTCGTCGGTGGAAGCGTTTACATCTGAAGTTGATAGTGAATGCACAAGAAGGGATCCACCGTGAAACAAGCCAGCTGAAACAGCTAATCGGACACCTTCTGTGTGATTCATCCGGATACATTTGTTGATTGTTATTGAAAATTTTTCATTTATATCAAAAGATGATACAGGTTTGGTTTTTTTGCGATAAGTTCCAGTTTGAGTTGAATGTAATGTTGAGCTCCGATGTCGAGGTTCATTCACAATTTTTTCACTGACTGTTAGAAACGCCATGTGATTTAAACATTGAGATGGGAAATAGGTATCAAAATGCGAATCATACAGATGATAGAAGAAAGTAAACGGAAATGTATTGAATATTGTTAATGTTAATAAAGTTTATAATACTTACCATCAATTTCGGAGTTAACAATTATTATAAAAGACGGCTTCAAGTAATTGGCAAGGGATTCTCGCACATACTGTTTTAATATGAAATAATAACATCAGGTTTGTTCATCGATGAATCATAGGATATTTGGAACCGTTACATAACAAAGAAACACTTCAAGGAAACCAACTTACTTTGTAACATATTAGAGGATGATTATCAAGAAGATACTCTTCTTGTCCAAATATTTTCAGGCTGTACTTATCTTCCTCGTATTCAGTCTCAAATAGTTCAAGAGTTGCTCTTATTATTTCATCAATTTTAGCTCGATAAAAAATGTTGAGTTCAATGAAATCCTGTCAATTTCAAGAAAAAAGCCAGCAAATTAATAAACAGCTTAAAAATCGCTCCCTGTAGATGAAAGCAAACAAATCTGATTTTTGGGAAAAATTCATTAGAGATGAGATTAAAAATCAATCCTAACCATTGATACAATGTACATCCATGATGTAAGAGTCAGAGATATTGCTTTCATTGTTAAACATCACTTGTACAGGAAGAGCCAAATAACAAGTTGAGTTAGGCTTTACTTTTAAGGTTTTATAAATGGCTTAACCAGTTAGATCTAAAAATTTAAACGAGATCTGTTTCGGTAACATCCGTTGATTAATCTAACGGCAATTTAAAAAACTAAATTTTCCTAATTTTTCTGGTAAAGCCTTGTCATCCTCAACTATTTTTATGGTTTATTTACCTTTGATTTTATACGAATTTGAATGTCGATTGTTTCTTTGGATAGATGATCTTTCAAGTATAACGGTATACCGGGATTTGGTTCTATTCGGACAGGATATTTGTATTTGACTTTATTCATCCAAGACTCTTCTAAGCGCTGTCTGGCAATCTCCTCACATCGATGTTTAACTCGCCAACGAAAATCATTAATTTCTGGATTTTTTAAAGCATCAAACTCATGTAAACCTGTATTCATTGAAATGAAAATGTTAAAAATAAGCTAAAATTGAAAAGGTAAAATTACTAATTACCTTTACCAATAAGAGGTCCAATTTGAGCGTTAAGCTGTTTAGACGCTATATTACCTTTCCTTTCAATTAGACGTAAAATTTTCATGAAAGGTTTAACATCAGCAATTGATCGATCTTCATCAACCTCTTCTTGTTCACCAGTTGTAAAGTTAACACAAGTAAAAACATAACTTTGTTTGTCATAAAGAGCTCCATACATTGGTAAATCCGCCGCTAAGTCAAAAATCTCCTGTAATCCAATGAAAATAAAAAGCTTCAGCTGAAGTCACTGGTGTTAAAGCTTAACCGATACTCACCTCTTTTATGTCAAAAAGTTTCGTCTTATTAGAAACTGTTAATGTGGTTATTAACCCATTAGGAATTAAAATGGTTATCTCAATCTCTGGTTCATCATAAGGGGACAACCATTCATTTAAAATATAAGAAGAGTCACCATTTAAACTGAAAGTAGACATTTCAAGTCGAATTGTAAATTCACTTGATTTGTCAAAATGGTGTTTGACAAATGTTCATCTGATTGTCAATTTTACTTCGCTCACTTCATTCAAATCAATAGTCATAATCAAGAGGAAATCAACAAAACAGGAAACTTGACTCTGTATTTCCGTCACCAATCCATTAAACTTAGACCTAAAATTGTACCTATCTTAACATGAATTTATTGCAAACGGAATCTCAGTGTTTATTAAAAATTTTCAAGAACCCAAAACTTTGCCTACAATTGGATGAAAATTGAATGCAAAACCTCGTTATCTATAGCAGTTTTAATTTTCTCTTTTAATAAATTTATTGTTGGCTTTGATTATTTTTTGAGAGGTAATTGAGATCAGATTAAAAGGGCAATTAACAGTAAAATATTTACTAGCAATTTAAATTGTGACTTTATTTGAACATTTTTTCATTTGCAATTTTTTAACTCTCCCTGTTAGGTAAGGTTACTACTGGCAACCTCATAGCCTGGCTTTCCTTGCATTGAATGTAGAACATTCAATGTAAAATTTAAGAGTTTAGAGTTGAGAGTTTCTTTCTGGTTTCGCTGTAAATTAATTAATTACTATTATATTTAGCTGTTTAATTAATTATCATTTATTCAAAATATTATCAGGTAAGTTTATAACATTCTTAGTCGACTGTTAAACTGTTTCTTGGTTAAAGATTTATTTTAATATTTGACTCTTTCTCTTCACTTGCTTTCTCTCCTCCTCACTTATTTTTTGCTCTTCTCTTTCCGTATCAATAACCATTGCTGGTTTTCTTTGCATTTCTCATTTTCTCATGTTTGATATCTTTTTCATTTATTTTTATTATTAATTTGGATTATTTTTTCTCTTCAATTTATTTTTCTCTATTGCAGTAACATGTCATCCAACAGTTTATATTCACCATTATCCTCCGATGAGGACTGCGATAATACTGGCCAAGATGTTGAGTCCGGTCGTCATATTGATCATGGTTCATCTGTTGTAAAGAGAAAACATTCCTCAAAACATCATAGACATCATAAACATGAGAAGAAAAAACACCGGAAACATAAACACCGTCCTCACTCTTCGGGTGCGATAGAGCGTGGTGATGTCTCTTCATCTTCAAATAAACACAGACGTCATAAAAAGGATAGACATAGGAGTAGAAGGAATGAAGCCGAGGATGATCTCGAAGAGGTTAATGATGACCAATACGACCCAAAACCTAGAATATTGAGCTCGAAGCCTCTTGTACCAGAATATGACGATATCTCGGATACAGATGACATTCAATCTCAATCTTTTGATGACCAAAGAAATGTATACCAGCTTGATTTTATATTTTTTTCGCTCATGTTTTTCTAATTATTTATTATTTTTTTATCTTTTTTCTATAGGATGATGCCGAAGAGGGCGAAGTAGGATGTGATGCCGAGGCAAAATCAGTTGTTAGCTCTGTAAAAGTTCCTGACAGTAAAAAGGGGGACGACCCAGACTCACCTTTATCGCGTATAAGTAGTCAAAGTCCACCGTTGGGTGAAGAAGAAATCAGTCAACCTTCATCACCAGTCCTTTCGAAAGCGGCAGATAAACATTCAACTCGTCCAACTCAAAGTCCTCGATCTAATAAATCAAAAGCTGTCGAAATAACTTCTCCAGCCAAAATTTGGATGGATAAATCTCCTCCTTTTGTTGATAAGCCTAAAAAATCAACTGTTCATCTCTCCCCTATTGATTCCACAGAGACTGATGAATCTAGAATCGATTCAGAAGATAGAAAGAAGAAACCTACTAAAAGACATCAGCTACCTCCTCCTCCTCCGCCACCATCACTAGCATCAGGACCACCATCTCGGTCTAGAACACCTCCTGCAACACCACCTAAAGAGTTTAATAAAAATGATAAGCGTTCGAAAAATCCCAGAGAACCGAGATCTCGGACGCCTCCTCATACTGATGTAAGAAGGAGAAGATCTCCCAGCCCTCATTCTAGTAAACCATGGTCACCACCTCCGCCACCTCCACCTCCGCCTTTATCATCGTCTTCAGCATCATTTAGGCGACGATCTTGGAGTAAGAGTCCACCACCACCATCTTCTGATTCATCTGGTTCTAAACGTCGGAGAGATAGATCTCCAAGCCCTTCTAGACATGTTGATAGAAGTAAAGATCGTGATCGCTCCAAGGAATTTTCAGATAGAGAGAAATCGCCCTCTCGAGTTAAGTATCCTTCAACCACATCGTCTTCTCGCAAATCTTCGCATACTAGGTCACCTCCAAGAGACAAGAGATATTCTGGTAGAGATTTATCTCCTACTCCAAGGAATCGGGAAAAATCTCCCAACAGGAGATCCGAGCCGGCACCAAGAAGTAGTAAAAATTATTCAAGTCGTTCATCTAGAGACCAAGGACGGGGTAGTAAATATTCATCTAATGGACGAGGTAGATCTCGTGATAGATCACCGCATGAACGTGCTAAAGATGTTTCTCCTTACGATAGACCCAGAGACCGTTCACCATATGATCATCCAAGGGATCGTTCTCCTTTCGATAGACCAAGAGAAAGATCTCATGAACGTAATAGAGATCGATCACCTTATGATAGATCCCGAGAAAGGTCACCTTATGATAGATCAAAGGATAGATCTCGTCATAAATCTCCCATCTCCAGTTCCAAGCGGAATGTTTATGATAGGTAACTATTTTTAAAATCAATCATTTTCCTTCATAATTTTTTTGCTAATTTTCAAATGCAATTAGCTTAAATAGCTATTGCTTAGTTATTGAAATTATCTCTAATCATTTTTCTCTGTTATTCTTCAGGGATCGATCTATTTCCCCTGGTCGTCCTAGATCACCTAGATCACCTAGATATCGTAGGACTCCTGTCTCACCCCGCTCTAGAAGAGCTCCCCTCTCCCCTCGATCCCCTCCTTTATCTCCAAGAGCCGGGCGTCCTCATCGGTCTCCAATGTCTGCTCGTTCACCTCATTCACCCAGACCTGGCCGTTCATCAAGACCTGGATCAACATCGCCATCACCACATCGAAGTCGAGATAATTATGATGATGTCCGTTCTCGTCAAGGGCTCTCTTTAGATAATAGATATGCATCAACAAGCTTAGGTGCTGAATTGATGAAGCACTCTAAGTTTAAAAATAAAAAGCCTGGAGAACTTCCTAATGAAATGTCGCCTATGCCACCTATGCCTCCTAAACAGCAGCTTCCAATTTCGTCTCTGCATACACAGCAACTTTCACAACAACCTTTAAACCCTAACTTAATTCATCCCGGAACCATCCTAACAGATCATCCTCATCATCTTCATCAATTAACACAGCCAACATCTCAGTCTCAACAATCATTACCACAACCAATGTTACAGCAACACAATGGCTTTGAAAATATGAGAGCATCTACATTGTCTACATTACCTCCATTACCACTACCAAACATGGTTGGCTCGAAATCATCTCAACGAACAAACGCAGTAAATCAGGCTCATCATACACCAAGCTCACGTTTAACTCAATTACCATTGCCACCAACTTCTGGAAATCCTATTGAGCCAGTTGAAGAGGACCAAAGTAAACCAGTAGTTCGTAAACGACCCCGTGTTATCAGTAAAACATATCCACTAAACCAGGATCAAAATCCTCGTTGTGTTGATGTATTCAATATCATCTCACAAATAGGTGAAGGTACTTATGGTCAAGTTTATAAAGCCCAGGATAAGAAAAATAAGTAAGTTTATTATCTCTATTACTATTATAATTTTATTTTATTGTACTAATGTTTAATTTTTTGATAGGTCTATTGTGGCACTAAAGAAAGTGCGATTAGAAAATGAAAAAGAAGGTTTTCCCATTACAGCGGTAAGTTTTGTTCAGCTGTTAATTGGTACATCTATTATAATTGATTTTTTATTTACTTTTCAGGTTCGTGAAATAAAAATTTTAAGGCAATTGAATCATGAAAACATTGTCAATTTAAAAGAAATTGTGACTGATAAACAAAACGTTTTAGATTTTAAAAAAGATAAAGGTAAGATAAATCTACTTTTTTCTCTATACAGTTGATCATGACTCATTGTCATTCTATTTTCCTATGTTTTGTCTTAAAGGTGCCTTCTATCTTGTTTTTGAATATATGGATCATGATTTAATGGGACTTTTGGAAAGTGGTTTAGTGAATTTTAATGACGCCAATATTGCTCATACAATGAGACAGCTAATTGATGGTCTTCACTATTGTCATAAGAATAATTTTCTGCATAGGGATATAAAATGTTCAAATATTTTAATGAATAATAGGTAATTTCACATTAATTTAAATCATATTTCATTTTCATTTCATAAATTACATTTTTTATTCCATCCAGAGGTCAAATCAAATTAGCTGACTTTGGTTTAGCTCGTCTTTTTAGTGCTGAGGATAAATTACGGCCTTATACAAATAAAGTGATAACTCTTTGGTACAGACCTCCGGAACTGTTACTTGGTGAAGAGAGGTATGGTCCTGCCATTGATGTTTGGAGTTGCGGGTAAGAATCATCATAAATTTGGCTTTTGAATCTATTACAGTATTAATTTTATTCATGAATTTTCATAATCTTTTAGGTGTATTTTAGGAGAACTTTTTACTAAAAAACCAATCTTTCAAGCTAGCAATGAACAAGTTCAATTTGAAAGCATAATTAGAATATGTGGAACTCCAAATTCTCAAACATGGCCTTCCGTAAGTTATCGAAAAAAACTTATAGACATCGGACATGGTTTCATTTGATTTTAACTCTTTTTAGGTTGTTTATCTTCCATTGTGGAATACTTATAATAAGTCTACAAAACCGTACAAAAGATGTTTAAGGGAACGTTTTCATTAGTAAGTAAAAGATAGTTTTTCATGTGGGACTTGTTTGACTTAATTTGTTATTATTTTTCTTCTCTAACAGTATACCTAAAGGAGCTTTAGATTTATTAGACGCCATGCTCTGCCTTGATCCAGCTAAAAGAATAACTGCTGAGGAAGCTTTAAAGTCTGAATGGCTTCAAAACAGCACGATGTCCCCACCAAAGTAAGTTACTTTTTCGACTAACAATAAGAGCGATTTCCAAATGATTGATTATCAAGTATTTGAATTGTCCTTTTTAATATTTACCGAATAAACAATGACATTTCAAAACTTGATTGCTAAAAATTAGCATAGGCTCTTGCATATGTTCTCATGACAAATGTTCCTCTATTACTCACTTGGAATGGAACTGTGATGAATTTGTAAATCATTTACAATGTTTCTTAATTTTCTCTTTTTTCAGTTTACCCCAACATCAAGATTGTCATGAAATGTGGTCTAAACAAAGACGTCGAAAGCAACATCAAACTCAACAGCAAGCATCCCAACCTATTCCTCATCAGCAATCATCTCAAACTTCTCAATCGCATGCATCATTAGCCGCCCAAAGCTCATCTCAACAATCGTCTACATTACCTCAGGCCCAGTCAACAAACTGAGGATGTTTATATGCGAAAATTAATTACATTAATGATAACCTAAAAAATACTATCAGTCCTACCTGACGAAAGGATGATTAACTGAACTTCAATGACAGCAAAGCGAAGACAGAGGTGTCCACACAAATATTTCTATTTAAATCTAACTACAGAAAATATTTATTGACTGGTTATTCAACAGCAATTGTGTTGTAAAAAAACTTTTCGGGTATCGATGATGAGTTTCAGTCAACATATTTTTTTTGATAAACAAGTCTAAAAATTTGAAAATCCAAGTAAGCTTCCATTTGCGCCTTCGGTTCCATTGTTATGTTTTTAGAATTGTTTCCGCTGGAAAATTGTCACCAAGTCAACATCTAATCTGCTTAAGAGTCAACAAAAGACCAGCTCCGGTTCCACTTGAATCACTGTGGAATTTAATTAATAATTCGTTATCTTTGAACTCATAAGTTCCTGATGACCAAGAAGAAAAAAGAAAGAGAAAAAAGATGTGAGAATGAGAATAAGAATATGAATGGAAAAGAGAAAGAAAATTATTTGAATTTATTCATTCATATTCATCTTAAAATTATACTCTATTCTGAATATAAACTTTCTTTACTTGAAAGTTAATCTTTTAGACAGCTTTTTACAGCTAAACCATATTCTTAACCCTCATGTCATCTATGCTAATTTATATATGTCTATATGATCAAAGCATGGAAGATGAAGAGGGCATCAAAAGTGATTATTTGTTTTCAATTACTTTTTGGAAACAAATCAACCATCCAAAGACTGATTAGTTGGTCCGACAAATTGACATTTTTCACACTTAACTTAAACATTTAAAGAAACGAATCAAAATACTATTAAGTGGATTCTTTCATTCTTTTGTTCATTGTTGACACATTCTCGGAACTTCCTAATGTAGTTGATTACACTAGCACCCAATAACACCCAAAATCGATCTATCGAATCACAAATAAATTATCATCAAAACTGTAAGTTCTTGTTTTCTCTCATATTAATCATTCATGATTTATTGACAAAACGTAAAATCAAAGTTAATTTAGTTTTTCTCTCTCTCTACTCCATCTCTTCACAAAAGCTAATTAGATTGTCATTAACTATCGTTTTAGATCATAACTTATCACTCGGATTTTAATTTGTTTAATAAACAAACTCTTTCCTTTATAATTCATTTTGAAAGAGTAAACAGTAATATTGAATCATCAGCTGTTTACTTGCTTATAGTTTCCCTGGAAATGCTGTTTGTCTATTGCTAGGCATTCACTCAAGATTCATCGATATATTTAACGATCATCTAAAATTTGATTATAATTTGCAAGAATAATTATTTTTCATCTAAATTGATCGTAAAGTATTTCGATTGTTTTGATTTCTCGCATCTATCCAAGTATATGATTAGATAAATTAACCTTGTATTAGATTGGACTTTTTTACAATTAGCTCAATAGTATTAGAAAAAAAACAATCTTAATTATATTGTCCGATTTCCTTTTGACATAATCAAATACAATTCAATTTAGATCTTTTCAACTCTTTCCAGCTCTTGATCATGCTCTTTTAAAGCTTGAAATGATCATTACATTTCAATTTCAACTTAATTTTTTTAAGTTTTATGAATGAAGAGAAAAGAAAAGATCAAAATAAGTATTTTTAAGCCTTTCAAGGTTATCCTTAAATCCTTGAAAGATTCAACAATCAAAAAATATATTCTGATATATTTTTAAAGGTTGGGTTGATTATGTCATATTTACCTCAACACTTAGATAACTTTACAATAACTTATCATAACCATCAATATTATCAAATGCTAGTGAAACTCAATCTTGAAGCATCTTCTCACAATTAGCTAATTAAATTGGCTAACCCTTTCAACCTTGATTTCAGCTTTATTCTATGAAAGAAGTCAATTCTCACGCATTGATGTTAATTGATTAGAGAAATTGTTTTTTCATTGAATGTGAAACAAATCTCGTTTGTTTCCGATTAGAATCTTCACTTCATTCCGATGATACTTACTAACTGAATCAGAGGGTAATTTGCCACAAACTTTGATTCCTTCAATTTCCAAATGATCTTTAACACAATTTGGTGATTCCTCTAAATCAAACAAATTAAATTTAACTTCCAAGGCGCAAACATCATAGGAAGCTTTTCGGACCAGATAACCACAGTCAAGATTATCTTCATATGAACCTGAATCTATTCCTGGGGTTGATATTTGGAATGATGTTCGGTAAAATATTTGTCCTGTGCATGATTCGCCTGTTGATATTAGACGTCTATTGATTGATGAATAACCACAGTTTGCAGTTTCTTGTTGATAGTCAATTCTGAAGCCACCATAATGATCAGTTGAATCAGTTTTAAAGGTTAGATCAATATGAGATTGGTCAGCTGGGAAGTCGATTGTTATCACTTCACCTCGTCGATAGCCACAATAGCGTTTACCGTCAATTGAAAGATGATCGTTTACACAAACTCGTCTTTCCCATGTTCCCACCGAAAAGTCTGAGAACATGATCGTTACTCGGCAAACTGATCTGCTATATTTTTCTATTCGATAAATACAGTTGACGTTTGCTGGATATGGTGCTGGATAATTTCCACTTCTAAAGACTCCTTTCATCGTATTTGATGAATCACAGACGTTGTTGACTTTTTGATCTCTTTGATCTTCTTCAGAAACTGGACGGAAGCACGAATTTCTTATTTGTGTTACTCTTATTTCAAATCCTGGCCTATTAGTTTGTCCATCAGAGATGAAGTTGAGCCGTAAATTATCAGAATTGTACGGAAATCGAAGAACTAGAAAAAAAATTAATGTAATTATTAATTCTGCGTAACTCGTCATCGTTATCAAAGTTATTTTTAACAACCAGTCAATATTTAATTATTTTCTTGACCTTTTCAATTTGGTTTTAATATTTTGACTAATGTTTTTTTTATTCTCTATTCACAGATCAATATTTTTTTGCAACACAAAGTGCTTTTTCGTTTTTTTCCAATACTAAACCTTGATTAAAGGCTTTAAGGATATTATTAACTGTTGAAAACTTACTCTTATCTGGTAGAAGCCACTGACGGCCACAATATTTTTCATTGGTTTGCTCAATTTGTAAATAGTCCGTTCGACAGTCGCTTGTTTTTTCCAAATCCAAATTGAGAAACTGGAGTTTTACTTGGCAAATATCCGGTGATGATCTATGAATTATATATGAACATCGACTGTAGGGTGGATAATCTGATGGATAGTTGGGACTTGTTATAACAGCTAGTTGATTGTTGATCAATTTGTTACACAATTTTGCCTCTGATTGCTCTGAGACAGGTGAAAGTGATTGAGATGTTGGAGGTGGTCTAAGCAATCCTCGCCTTGATGAATACGGATCTGGTATTATTGGTGATGGTGCTGGTGAACCACAAGGAATTTGACTTATCAATATATCAAAACCAGGACTTTCTCTGTAACCATCACTTGAAAAAAACAGCGTGATTGAGCTGTTTAATGTTTGGGGGAAGATGAAACTCTCTGAATAATGTGATGTTTTTAGAATTTTTAATATTTTTTTTGGATTCCAAACAATTGGTGACCGCAAAATTAGAATCAAAAGAAAAGAAAAATCAATCAGCTATTAGAAGATAAACACATTTAAATAACAGTCAATATTGATTGTTTCTCTCTTATTTGGCAAATTTTTTTTGTGCAGCTGTGATATCATGGATAAATAATCACGTTTGTCCCTCTTTATTTTTAGAGAGACCTAACCTCTAATGTGAAAACCTTAATTCATTTCTAAAAGTAAAAGATTTAACATTAACTGTTTTACTGAGAAAAAAATATGTGAAAAGTGTTAACTTACTTCTTCCCGTTATGTCCCCACACAAACGATCTCCGTCTGGAAGATGCAGGTAATCTTTATTACAAAGGCCATTCTTATCTCGACCCTGTTCCAGCGAGAAACGGATAAAGTCCATTACAAAACCACAAGTGTTTGGAGTTGCTTTTTCAATCGTGTAAACACAATTTTCTTTTGGACCATAATAACCAGGATATCCAGGTGATCTTAGACGATATCTACTTGCGCTTATTCGTTGGTCACATTTATTTCCTAGTCAGCCAGTTCATTAAACCAGTGAAGAGAAAATTAATCAAATCAAAGAAAACAAAAATTAAGGAAAATTTTACAAGACGACGAAAAGCAAACTTTTTTTCATCTATTTTTCACTGCTAAAGCTGATTGAGAAAATTTCAATCAATTAATTTCTCATAATCATGAAAATTGAGGAGCACTTAATCATCAAGCATTTCTCATCATCAACTAATCATCGACACATCATTTACTTATATTGACATTCTTGGACCGTCCAAGGAGTTTAATGCTAACTTGATTAATTCAACCTCAATCCAATTTAGCCCCTTAACCTCTTAAACGCATCTTTAATTCTCAACTCTTTTTATCTTCTAGTTGTTTTGTTCATAGAAGATACAAAAAAAGAAAGAAAATATTCTTTCTTTTCATATTATGTAAAATGTATTATATTGTATTTTAAATGTGAATGTATACCTTTTGGAGCTCGATAAATGTCACAAGAATATGGTATTTGACGTATTTGTATGTTAAATCCAGATGCTGATCCTTTGGAATCACTTTTAAATGTAAGGCTCATTGAATCACTGTTTGATGGATAAGTGAACGTTCGCTTATCCTTTCTGTAGCCACAAAGTCGACTTCGATCAGGCAATTCAAGGAAATCAGAAGAACACTCGTGTGATCCCGATTCAGTGTAACCATCTGAAGAAACCGAAAATGAAAGGACTTCCAATTCAACTTGACAAACATTGATTGCAGGTCGACGAATAGTGTAAATACAATGCATATTTGGAGGATAATCAGAGGGCCAAGAAGGAGATCGTATATAGCCATTGAAAGAAGTTATTGTTGTATCACAAGTTTCTGATGGTGAGTCAACTGAATATTGCCTGGATTCACGGTTGATGTTAGGTGTGGATCTAGGTGGAATCACTGAACCACCAAGAATATCATCAAGAACTCCACATGAATTAGGAACTTGACGTATATGTGCTAAAAATCCTTTTCTTGTGCGCTGATGATCGCTTCGAAATATTATATTCAATGTATATTCACCATAATTGAAATAAGTGACATCTTGAAGGAAAAAAAAGTGATAATAATCAACCAATATCAGATGGATTAGAAAGTATATTGAAAGCTTTTCAACTCATCCTTAAAGAGTTTCTCTTGGAAACTACTGAATTTCAAGCAGTTGAATTAATTTTTTTAAAAACATCATTGATCTCAATCAATTTGAATCCATGACTATTAATTGCTTATTACAAGAGTCTTCCAACATGCAAACATAAAGTATACGTTAAAAGTATAGTGTTCATCAAAAACTAAATTAATTTTCAACTCATTTCAATCAGCCTTTCCTACAATCTGTCTCTTCTGATTCTATTCTTGTCTCTATCAACTCCAATCCGCTTAACTTGTTATTGTTTGTTTCATTAGGCTGATTGAAATAATAATAATGATAATGTTTTTGGTGCCAAAAATATTTAATTAATCTTAAACATAATTGTAAATATTTGTCTCTGCTCTTTTTTTGGATAATCAATGAGATTTTGATAAATTCACCTGTTACTGGTTACATCCACATTCTGGTGAAATAATGTAATAAGATTTTAGTAAATATATTTATACAAAATGTTTTTTGCCTTTTGTCAATAAAATGACTACTTTTGATTACTTGTAAATCAACATTTGCTACATTCATTAATCAATTGTTATATTATAATTGAGAAACAACTTACACTTAGCATCAGCAATTAAGGTTCCACACATTTTTGAACCTGATCCAATATCAAGATAATCTGCATCACAGAGAGGTCTTGTGTCTTCCAAATCAAATTCATTAAGACGAACCTCGATCCGGCAAACATCATGATTGTACCGATGAATTGTGTAGACACAGTAAGTTGAATCAGGATAATTACTTGGATAATTGGGTGATTGTATCCAACCCTCCGATCGGTGAATCTCTGATCCACATGAAGATGAACGTTTGAGTTTAGAACCTAAAAGGTCCGCTGAGTTAGTGGATAATGTTGATGAAAGAGGTTCTGATGAACTTGATGATGATGAAGTCAATGAGGTTCCATTTGTGAGTGGTAAAGCCTGATTAAAAAAGATGTAAACTACAGTTATAAGCAATTAAATTGTAAATATAATCCAAAACCAATGAAATGTATTTGTACATTGAAAATTGAAACAAGTAGCCAGTAAATGATGAAATGAAGACAATCAAGAGATGTAAAATTATTCATACCAATGGATGTCCTAAATTAAGTTCATATGGAGCTGATAATTGGCAGTTTATTGATGAAAGGTAAATAATTTGACTTAAACAATATAAAATAATGTAAACAAACGTTGAATAACTTTTCATGTTGACAGTGAAAAGCATACAAGATGTTGAATGTCAAATTTTGGATGAAATTTTGTTGTTGCTACTTCCGTTGTCCATTCGTTTAATTGAGAGTTTAATCGTTCCCCGAGACTTTTGAAACTCAGAAAACGTTGTTTTGTCGGTTGAAAGATGATGAAAAAGATGAATGAGCTAAATGAAGAGGAAGAGTGAGCCCTAGAGATTGAATGGAGAAACGAATGATTAGAAGGAAAAGAGTAATGAAAAAATTCAAGGCTATCTTAAGCTACCAAGCGTGAAATCTTTTTTTTATTTCTTGAATTCTATTCTTATAAAAAGGGAAAAATGTAATTCAAACAGAAAAACTGTACAATTTGATAGTAAATAGGGGAGAGAGAGAGAGAGAAAGTGAGAAAGAAATAGAAAAGGTAAGATGCAGAAATGGGAGAGATACAAATCAAAATTATATGTTATGTTTGAAACCATCTAATTCAGATTATACATAAACATGGGATCTATTGCTTCGAGTAACTCCTTTTTACACTAATTCAACTCCTAGCCATTCCCTCCTTCTTTCACCAACACATTTGTCCATGGGTTCAGCTTTTAACTTTATACAATGGTAATGGTTAAATGGCAGATAGGAAATATCAATTGGTTGATTGTAACTTTATCGTACAGAATTTTCCTTTATCCAGCGATAGTGGTAGCCAACACTTGTATAAATTCCTGGAAATCCCGACATTGCACATTTATAGCCATATGTAACGATCCCAATTTGCATTGTTTTTGAATAGTGTTTGATAGTCATTGGTCCACCCGAGTCACCCTTATAAAAATAAAATGTAGACAATAAAACAGTTAGTGATTGACTCAAAAACACAATAAATACAAGAAGAATATAATTTGAATTGAACAAAGACACAAAATATGCTAGTGATTCTTGATATTTAAACAATCGAGATACAAATCAACACCACGACTATTATTAAAAACATAGAAACATTTCCATGCTTTAATATACAAGTTTACTGCATAAGGAATGGGAATATTTCAACTTACCGAGCAAGCATCTTTACCTCCTTGAGGGTAACCCGCGCAAATAAATTCATCTGTTAATCCAAACGGAAAGTGTTTTCGAAACCTCGCGTAGATAGGGCCACATTCATTTGCACTGATTAAAGGAACGGTTATTTCTTGTAAGATTCTGGAAGCTAAAAAGAAATAAAAAAAGACTATTAACCTATGACTCAACCTTTACCTCTTCTTTTGTTAAGCTTTACATTGGAGCCTGTTGATAATGTCATTCCTAGATGACACTTTCGTCACAGACTTTGCAAAGGCTTATCAATTTTATAATTTTTGACTTTATAATGGAATGAAGTATAAATGTTTAAATACTTACGATTAGACCTGTTACCAAAACCGATTACTGTTGCTTTTTGTGTCTTCAACATTGAATCACCAATAAAACCATTCGATAAACATACAGGGTTTACCCTCCAATCAAATCTTAACGGACTATCCAAGATGACTAAGGCAATGTCATTGTAAACTAATGGTTGACGGTAGTCTGGGTGGATTATTAATCTATTAATTTGGAGTCTACGTCCTTGATTTAAGTAAATGGATCCTACTGTAAGTGTATAATCAACTGGTTCCCTTTATTCAGTGATTCAAACATAAGACCAAAGTAAGTCGTCATTTATTTATCAAAATTTTACCTTTACCATCTTTTTGTTAGCATATAAAAACTTGGGATATTTACCTGGAGAATGTGAAACAATGAGCTGATGTTAAAGCAGATCGTCGATTGATTATTGTTGCTCCACAAATTGGCCTGTTTTTATACCAAAGAGCAGCCATCCATGGATGAGTACCATCTCGTGCAGCCAAATAAGTCAAAGCTTGAATAAGCAATTGCCCCTGATCGTTAGGGTCTCCTGGAGCATTTATAACATCCAAGATATCTCTATTGGCAATTCTGATTCCACACTCAAAGTCAGTTGCAAATGGCCCATCTCCAAGCCAACTATTGTCTGCTCGAAAAACATTATACCTCGATGATGGCAACTCATCACAACAAACTGTCAAATATTGCGTAGATAACTCACAAACATCAAAGCTGACCTTATTACGGTAAAATTGTCCACACTCTTCCTGGCGATAACATTTACCTCGTCGACCATTTGATTGGATACAATCAGGTGCTGAAATGTCAGTCAATTGACCGCGGAACTGTCCAGAGACCAAAATCGTATCAAAAATGTTCAACGTAATGGTGAACATAACAAAAAGGGAAAATGTTGACATTGATTTCAAGGTAAACATTGACTTTATAACTGTTGTTGAAATTTTTGGTAATTTTATTATTCACAATCTATAGGGTTGAGAGATAGCTCATCGATATAATAAATATGGCATAAAAACAAATTGTGTTTAATGATGACCGAGCCAATTATCCCATTGTCTTTGCTATTTCATTAAATCAATCAGTTCCACTGATTTATAATTCATAAATTTTGCTACCATTCAAAAAATGGATACATTTGAATGCGCTATACTCCAACAATTATCAAAATTGACCGGAAACATAGTTGTTTCAGTTATTTGAAATTACAACCGAATAGATAAAGTATTGCTTCAGATTAACAAGATACTGTGAAACAAGCGAAAAAAGGATCAACAAAATTTTACTTGATTACTAGTCTTGATCATAATCATTGAAATAAAGGTTTTTGGTTAAATTATTAATATTAATGTTTTCTCTTCTCTTTCATAGTTTGTACAATTGAGCAAGTTGATGGTGGATGCTTTGTTTATCAAATTGTTTCACTTTGTTGGCAACAGAATTGTAATTTATACTGGATTCAGGCTTCAAGTTGAACTCAAGATAAAGGATAAAGATTATGGTTACGATTCAAGTCACCCTTCAAGTAGCAAGTCTTGGTTAAATTAAAGATGAAATGGATTACCGTTGCTTCAAATTTAATTGTTCAACATGGACTTTCAAGAATTTTATCGATTGAAAGAAAAGAATTTTTCTCCACTGATTTGATCTGATAAGCTGTTGAGTGATGAGACTAAAGAGTCAACCGATTAACATGGCATAATTTGTTTTCCCTGGACCATCATGTTAAAAAGCTTAAACTGTAACTTGAAATCTGGAAACGGGTAAACAAGGCGAATGGAAAAAGATGCAAATTGGTGAAAGATTTGATGATAAGCACTGTTAACCCATCAGCATCTTGGTGCTTGTTTACATATTTACAGACTTGTTTTCATCATTCACAGTGACTGCTGGTTAATAATCTGGAAAGATGGAAAGATTAACTCAAGTCTATTTTGTCTCTACAAACTTACCATGAAAGATGAAACTCTTTTCCCTCAAGGTGTTATCCTTTTTTTCATCTAACCCTATTTTTGGCAGTTCAATTAGCATACCATTTAAGTAACCTTTCATCCCAATGCCAATCCCAAGACGCTTCAACATCTAACCATCAAAAGCTATCATCTTCAACATTAACTCCTGATTAGTGGTCAAAACCTTATATTCACTTAAACCTTTTCATCTGTAAATTGTTCAGTAGGACAGCGGAAAAAATTCAGTTATTGAATACCAATGACTGTTCAACACTTCATCTGTTACAATCTCATCAATTGTTTAGACTTTGAAACAACGAGTAATCTTAATCAACTTTCAATGCAAAAGAGTCAATGATTGTTGAAATTAGTCAACGAGTTTGGAGGACGTGTGAAACACACAAAACCATCGAAGGTTGAACTCAGTTGGTATTATTCAAGTTTTTTGGATTCTCTGGATTTGGAGGAATTGATGGAACTGTAAATTTACATTTACAATCTCTATTTAAGGTAATGTTGAAAGAATCCTCTTTTTCCCAGTTTAATTGCGGACTACAATGTTTGTTAACAATTAATTTTCACTCTTTCTGTTTACTAGATTAACATCTCTATTGGTCATTATAATCATCCTTTTGGTGCCCTTCTCAATAGTGCTTCTGATGTCGTATTTTACATCGAGGTTGATAATTGTTCAATGTTTTTTCCGAGGTCCTTCATTTCACTCATTCAAGTCTCATTCACTTGATTACCAAGTTAATTGTAATTCTTGTTGTGTTTTAACAATTGAACTTCCTTCTTCGTTGTTTTTCAACTCATTTTAAACATTTTTTCATCTTCTCCTTGCCTCTGGCTTTCGCTTTACTCTGAATCCTGCAAGATCAGCATTCTTTACTTTTGGTCACTTCAATTTACTTTTCCCTTTAGTTGCTCAACAAAACTTGACCATTGACCTAACCAGTTGACCATAGTGAGTTGAAAACAAAAGTGTCTCTCTGTTTGTCGGCCCAACACACCAAGGGGTTAACCTTGAAACAATCAATCTGATTCAGAAGAAATATTTTACTTTCTTTTTTCTTCTTCTCTGGTTTCCTTTCCTCCTTTTATTTCAATAACTTTTGTCTATAAATAATCTAACCTTTCCTTTTTGTACAATTTCAGACTTTCAATTGAGATTCCAGAAATATCATTATCATCTTTTATCATCGTCATCGTCCTCAGCATCATTTCCCTATTAGCAACATGTTTTCAAGTATTAAATTGTATTCAAATTTATTCTCGCCATTCACTTTAACATCTCAATCATGGCTTCATAAAACTCAGTTCATTTTCATTTATTATTTACATTTCTACACATTTAATACACAATCAAGAGTCAATTGCATTTTAATTTTGTTACATTTCTTATTAACTATTTACTTCATTGTGAAAATTGTTGCCCATAATTCAACATGATAATTAACTGTTTTCATTTTCATCTTTCATCATTTCATAGGTTAATCACAATGAGTATAAATAATTCAAAGCTTTTATATGGATCGTTGACTAAGATAATTAATGCAACTATTAAAGAGACATTAGCTGTTAAAACTGATGATTTAATAAAAAATTCAATTCCTATTCCAATTTAGTGAGCTGTGAGTATTTAAATACGATTTTTTATGAAAAACGTTGAAATCAAAATCGACTGCAAATCTTATCAAATAAGAGCTGCTTTTTCAGATCAATTCATGTTTAGATTTGTAAATTTTAATATATTATCTTGTCTTTTTTAGGTAAAATTCAGGATGATTCAAATTTCCAATCTAGAATGAAATGGTTGCATTTCATTTGTTCATTTAATACTGGAGCATAATCACATGGAAGACATTTTGCTACAGAGAATGTGTAAACCTATAGAAATGCTGATGTATCTAAGCTCTATGGGTTGGCTGGAAATATTATTATTATGTGGTTTAGGATGAGGATGCCAAGAAAGAGAAGCAGAAAGAAACATCTTAACATCTAACAAGGAAGACTGAGGGATCAAACATAGAGATTAAGCCTTCTGTGCAGAAGCTATTGGCTTAAAGTCAAAGCATAAGCTCATCCTCCTACCTATTAGCTTCTTAACCCTCATTGTAGTCATCTAACTCGACTAGTTCAATATCTTCAATTAAAATGGTTAAGACCTCAAGTTGAACATAAAGTAAACTGTAACGACAACTAATTGTAAACTGTAATTCTTTCAATCTAATCATGCAATTTCCATCAATCAACTGGCCTGATTTGTTGTCCTTTTATTATCCATCTAAATGTTCCTGTTTTTATTGTCCATATTTCAGTTCTCAACTTGAATTGAATGATAAAAATCCATTGTCATCAACATCATCTAATCAAACTTGTGAAAACATTAATAAATCAAAGCACCGTTTGGATTACAGTCGACTAGCTCAATCCATAATTGAAGAAAGTTCATCCAAAGAGTCAACAAAATCTAATCATTTAACCCAATCTCGTCAATTGCTATCATCAACAAATCATCAAAATCTAGTCTCGTCTTCTTGTTCATCTTCATCATCGCCATCCATTTCACTTTTATCATCAATAAACCTCCCATCTTCAACTCCTTCATCCTTAGCTTCACCAACATCATCAAACCTAGTCAATCCATCAATACTAACTTCATCTTTACTGACAGGATGGTTCAATAGATCAGATTGTCGTTCATCAAGTCAACGATCCTCCTATTCTCGACCAAAGAAACAATTCATTTGCAAGTATTGTAACCGTCATTTCACCAAATCATACAATTTAATGATTCACGAAAGGACTCATACAGACGAAAGGCCATACAAATGCAACATTTGTGACAAAGCGTTCAGACGACAAGATCATCTCAGAGATCACAAGTAAGCTCAATTACTTTCAATTTATGTTTAACATATAGAAATGAATGATTAATCTGTATCAATCAATCTGGAAATTCAATATTTGACTTTATCCATTGTAAAAATTGTCTTTTCAATATAAAATTTACACAAAACCTTTCTCAAATCAACAATTGAAATGATTACATTTGATGAGTTGAACAAGTAAAGGTACGAATTATATTAGCAAACCTTTTGTGATAAAGCTAATTCAATGTTTACCATTGTCTTGAGTCCATATTAATGTCTATTACCTTCACTTTGAAAAATTAACTTTTTACTAATTGTGCTAATTTTGATGCTAATGGCAATGTTATTTAGTTATCTTACCAATGACGAAGTTTGTGCAATAACATCACAATGAACAAATGCCATTCATTGTGGCATTTAATGTTCTCGTTTTTTCTGTTTATTGCTTACATTCAAATAAATTGTCCTCATCTTCATCTCAATTCCTTGAAGTTGCTAACCTCTTTTGTTTCTTTAATTAACCAGGTATATTCACTTGAAGGACAAACCGTTTAAATGTGACGAATGTGGTAAAGGCTTTTGTCAAAATCGGACTCTGGCTGTTCACAAAATCGCTCATCTTGAATCAACTCGAGGTCGAAAGGCTTCGCTCAAATAACAGTGATAATGATTTGGCAAATTATCTCAACTACCTCATAAATTATTAACCATCAACGGAAACATTGACTTGGCTCATCATTGAAAACATTCAACAGTTAATTAATGTGTTATCACCAGCATTTCTCTACTTGCTATTTTAGTCAATAATTTAGTCAACTTTCATTTTTAATAATCTGATTAAAGTTACATTACATTTTTTCATTTGTTAGTCAAATCCCATTTATTCAACGTAAAATGAATTTGCCTGTAAATTCTTAATTTAACTGTTGATAGATTCAACTATTCTTATAATTATGAATAATATGCATACAAGACGTCGTTAATTGACTTCTGTCCTTAATCACAGTCTTTTGTAACGAAAGATTAAAGTTTATCGCAATTGAATCAAAGGCTGCCATCTAGCGAAGTAAAAACAAACTAAGATGGGAAAAATATTTTCTGATGCTATTCATATGTACAGAGAAAAGTGAATTTTTTTGTTTCAACTAATGTTATTAATATTTATTCAACTAGTGTTGTTAAAATTTGATGACCATTTTAAGTCTTCAATGATCACTTTTTGACCAGCTATGAGTGTACATTGTTCAAATATATTTCAATGCAACTTTAGAATTGAAATTTGATGGTTTATCAGAGAATTAACTTATTTTGTAATTTTCGCTACTGTGCATCAGAGATATCTGAGCATTCAGATATTGTATTATCAATAGATTTTTGATTGTTGCTTATTTTCGATACAAATTCGGAGTCAACTTTGCCCTATTCTTTGACATCTGATGTTCACCTTTAGTCTGATTTTAAGACACAGAAAATTAGAATCCTATTCACATTTCCTATCGGACTTTCCCTGTGACCGTGACCTATTATCATTTATCAATTTCATCAACTAATCGTTTCCACGAATAGTAAAAACAGGATCACAGTTTACTGCTTTACTCTTAACCATACATATCTTGAGGGCATAAATTAGGTTTACCTTCAACTAATTTTGGTCACATTTCAGGCAATTTCAGAAGCAATTTGATGTTATTTAGTAAATTTGATGGGTCAAAAATTAGCAACAGTGAAAGCTGATCGTCCAATCTTTAGGCTGGAAAAGGTATTCATTTTACATTATTATTTACATTTCCATTAAAATTGGACATATTTTATTTGGTCAATTCAAACATTAGATAATTACAATTTAAAATGAACGATTTTGAATTTGGTATCATCAATCCAAGCTTTACGATTCAAGTTTTTGTTGATTTTCTTTCTTTAATCCTATCTGGTCTTTTTTTAATTTGAATCAGATTGGATTCCTTAATCAGTCTTGATGACTCTGCAAATGAAAAGCAACAGAAAAAACATTTAAAGAATTGTTGAATGAAAATTAGGAAGATTCTGATTATCTTGAAACCGACATGAATATAAATCTTGATGATCATTGATAAACATCGGTCGATATCTGAAATAAAATGATTAACACTTGATCTCACCTTGCTTGAACGGTCAACAAGTCTTAAGAGTAGATGAGCAACTATTAATAGCTATGAGTAATACGGTAATCCGATGGCTCAATGGTGATCAGAAATTTAAATAAAGCAATGGTGATAAAGGTTAATATGAAATCAAGAGCCAGAAGCATGATATTTCGTTGAAAGAAACCAATAATCATACCAAAATGGATCATCTTGGACCGACAATAATTTTGGTGGCTTATTTTACAATGAAGGCAAATCAGATCATTTTAAAATTGTTATTAATCACAATTGACACAAATCAAGTTTAATAGTAGATTTGGAAACGAATGAAGAAATAAAGAATGGAGAAGAAACTCCAAAAATGTTCAGAAAAGATAGTCATCATTAAAATGGTGTTTGATGTAAACAATCAAATTATGTTGAAGCAATTTACACTTATTGAAGATCGGATAGCAAATGGTGAAGTCGATTGACTGGTTGATTCAGCTTTTGTTGCTAAAACTTGCTACTAAACCTACGGTTAAAGGGAGTTACTAAATAAAACTAATATATTAATGATATTTTGATTATTATTAGTAGTGCTATCATTAAAAGTGACTTTAGTCTCACTCTTGTCAGGGCCAAATCAAGTTTACCATGAATTTTAAGTTTGCTTAACCTGAAGAGTCACAGAATCGTTTACCTTTTATTTCATGGTAAAGTGATTCTTATGTTTCTTTCAGATACTCTTGGTGGTGTTGGTGGGTAATAGTCTTGATCTCAAGATGAAAATACCAAATTAACATCAAGGATATGTTTCAATTTGATGGCAAATTTGCTTTCCAATATGATAAACCTAAATGGAAGCTCAATTTCAACCAAGCCTGCGGCACTCAACCCAAGTTTTGAGTTAATAAAACTGATAAATACCCAATCAAGTAGTGCACGCGGCAGAGGTAACTGACTAATAAGACACCAACATCAGCGTTCTGTAAATATTTGCACACTTTCGTATAAAAATGTAGACTTTGTAAATGACAAAATGAAAATAACCTTACTAGGTCTCAATCCATCAACTCCAACTCAAATTACTGACTTTAAACTGTTGAGGCAGATATCGATACTTGAATTTTAGACAAAAAACGCAAAGAGGCAACGATTTTGCGTTTATTTTTCTTGTGCTCGTGAAGACTCATTCTTGCTCTTATGCGCTACCAGTTTGGGTTGACTGGGTAAATGATTTTAGGTTCATTTAGTTAATTTTTTCTCGGATTTAATGAGCCATCGTGAATATTTGTTAAAGCCTTGTATTCGGTATTAGACTATGATATTCTTGAGTTGGTGATGTATTGAAATTGTACTTGATTCTGTACTGTTTTTTATTGTATTGTTGTAAACCAACTGCTAATGATTCTCTAGATTGTTTGCTAATATAATTATAATTGTGGATAATTTTGTTCTAAACTAATGCATTTTAGGCAAGTTGGTTAAACAAGGTTTCAACATAACTTATTAAGGAAAACAAGACAATTTGATGTCATTTTAATCTTTTATTATTATATTTATTGACTTAAATGTCGATAATTTCAATATTTTAATGATTTTGGACGTGAATTTTGAATTAAGTTGCCTTGGAATCGTCATTTACTTTAATCACAAAAAAAACTAAAACTCAGTGTTCTTGACCAAGTATTGGACTGTCATTGAATAAGATATTGAAAATGTTGAAAATAAAGAAAGCCGTTTAAAGAAGAAGTTGTTACGACAATTGATTTAACAGCTTTTGATTTGAGAGAAATGTCGAGAATATACAAATTATTCACTGATAATTGAAATTGGTTAAAAAATGTTTAAAGTTATTTAAGACTTAAACCAAGTCAACATGGACTGGATCAACATGTTGAGCAGCTTTATTCTTATGCTGAAAATATCTGAGAATGTTTTTATGCATTTTATCCGATCCTTTTGCAATGAATTTGGCCCCTAGTTCGGCTAATTCAGCTGGAAATGGGAAAACAATTATATCTTGATCTTTATTGTGAGCACTGGCCACAGAATCAATTGTTAAAAGGTACTTGAGTTGCAATGCATAAGCACTTTTATCAATGGTGGCTGCAGCATCACGAATGAATCTGGACGATTTTTGCTCTCCAGAGGCAATGATTATTTTAGCTGAAGCTTCTCGTTCCGTTTCGGCTTCTGTTGCCATTAGCTTTTGCAATTGAGCCGGCAGTCTTACTTCCTTCCTATTGATTGCCACAAAAAACAAGTTAATAAAAGAAATAGTTAAACAAGATTGAAATCTGTGGCTCCATATCGTGTAATCAGTTAAAGTTAAAACTGTCTATTAATGAATGTAATTCAGCTGAAAGTTGAATGAATAAAATTAGTTATCGACTAACATTTCAACTCTTTCAACATCCACTCCCCATGGTCTGGTTGCTTCTTGTAGATTATTTTCAATCTTGCTTGATATAATAACCCTTTCTGAAATTATCTCGGTCAATGTTTTGGTTGCAACAACATTCCTTAAAGTGATTGCGGCTAAACGTCTTGTAGATCGTCCAACATCTGATACATTAAGAATTGACGCTGTTGAATCAACTATACGATAATATACAACTGCATCCACCTTAATACAAACCAAGTCTTTGGTCAAAACCTGAAAAATACAGAAAAAAAACAAATTAATTTGGTTGTCATGAAGAGAACACAATTTAAAACTTGATAATTATAGCCACTGTTGAAATCGCCATAATTATTATGGCGATTTTATTGCGAAAGATTAAATCATGTAAGATATAATCACAATGATTTGACGCTGAAAACCGGACAATGAATAAGAATCTACCTGCATTTAAATTTAGCCACGTAAAGAAGAAATTGATTTTTACAAAAAGCAATCTTCTAATTAAATAATTATGCTTCGAGGCTCAACAAATTATTTTTTAACATTGATCAACGGCGTGAATAATCAACATAGGTGGATGAAATAATCTTTGTTTTATAATTCTCAATGTTTAGTTTTATCAACATGACGCTTATAAAAAATATCGCATCAAATAATCTAATGACGGCTGAGCAAGAACAAGTTTACTTTTTTTACTTTCCTCACCGAATTGATTATTTAGCTTTGACGTTAATCATGGACGCAAATACAATAAAGTCACAGGATCATTAAACAATTTCTGTAAATCTAATTTACTAGATGACAAAATGTTTACGAATTGATGGCTAAACCGAAAGTTTAATGACAACTTGTTAAAGCACTTACCTCTTGAGGTGGAACGTTGAATGAAACTGTCCGTAAATCAACCTTGCAATAGGTATCGATGCAAGGTATAATAAAAATAATTCCTGATCCTTTGGCTCCATCACCGACTAAATTGCCCAAACGAAGAGTAACTGATCTTTCATAGTCTTGAACAACCTTTTGATTAAAATGTAACAATTAAAAAGTCTATTCTAAATCTGCAACAGCTGAAGATCTGTTAATGATTGGATCGGGATCGATATCGGGATTAACTTTCAAGCTGTAATTTGATTGACATACGATTTCCCTGACATTATTTATTTCTGATTTTGATTTTATTTAATTAAGTTTTAAATTATAATGATTTAATCAGGAAGTCTTCTCATCTTTAACCAATTGTATAATACCTGTCTATTTGCCTTGAAAATCTGAGATGTAACTTGTGAAGATGAGACGGTTAATTGTAGGCTACAAATTGTAAGGTTTGTAATATCAGGTTAGTGACCATAATAGAGACCATTGGACTAAAGTAAATTATATGTTTCCTTTTCATGTAGTTGTTGATTGTTACAAGGTTAATTAATTCTTAATAATATTCTTTCTTCTATGGAATTTTGTGAACCAGGTTAAAGAACCCATTTCAATCGTCTGGTGTTATTCATTTTAAAAAGAGCGGCAATTTGGTTCTCCATTCAACTTAAAGGTATGCTATTCATGAATTTTGTTTGCTTTTCATTTTTTTTCATCAAATTGTCATTATTGAAGCAATTCTGGTTTTCTCAATAATTTCCTGGTTTTCATGTTAAATTGTCAATGGTTGAGGTTACAAAAAGCTGTACAAATAGGTTTGATAATACTGTTAAAATTACAATCTGATTATTTCAATTCTTATGGAAAAGGCAATTTATAGAAAAAGGAAATTGTTTTTAATGGCAAGGTTGATTAAATAAATTACCTTGAAACAAAATAAAAGTGAAAAAGGAAGAGTTATGATGATTAAAATTGAAGATATAACTGTTAGAAAGTAAATGCTTGTCTTTTGAAGAACTGGTTGAAAGAAACAAAAGCGTAAGCAATTTGAAGATGGCAGAAAAGATAATCAATTAATAACAGGTAAAAGTTAACTAAACACTTTCAAAATAATTGTTACACTTACCTGTCATGTGACGAGTCCGATCATAAAGATTCGGATAAACAGAACCCGAAATCATTGTTGACCGAAATTGCTTATCTCCTTTCCCAGAAACCAATCAATGAAACTGTTCACATTTAGAGTCAAAAGTATCGCTGCACAGAATACAAATTATTGAACCAACTAATCAAAATTTGATTTTAAATAGATTCATTGGTATCTAAATAAGATGAAATATACCTTTGTCACCAAATAAATGGATGAATGTAAAAATGAGGAACCAAATTTGAACCCGATTTGAAAGCAGCCAACATTAGATTTGCTATTTTTAGGTTTCTTCAAAGGGGAACATTTTATTTTAAAGATTTTAACTTTTCTAGTGACTCTACTTTTTGGTCTTGATTTATTTTTGTACAGATCATTCAAATGAACTATCATCTCGGTGCTACTCATGTTTCATCTAATGGGGAATCAATCAAATAAATACACAAATAAGTGTTCATTATAAAACAATCTATTCATTTTATTGACTTACCCAAAACTCACACATGAAATCACTTGAATAACTAACTGTATTGTACTGTAATCTCTTAAAGATTTATGACTGTTCCTTCATGCGGTTGAAATATATCAACATTGGTTAATTTAGTTGGTAGTTGGAGATCGATCTACAAATCAGCTGAAAGGTAAGTCCATTCTTATTTATATTTCTGTGCTTCTACGTTTTTGGAATCAGCTACAATCAGTTGAATATCCTGGTTGCATATAAACCTGGTTGTCATCCGAAAAAGCAGCTGAATCCTTACTTGAATCCATTGCAAAATTCCCGTGTTTATTTTATGGTTTTGCATTCTAATTTTTCATTATTTCGTATATTCTCTTGCCCACAGATCAAACAATAAGCTAAATCTGTAAATCTGAAGTAACCTTGGAAAGAAATATCTGAAAGGCTGGACCGAGATATTCAAATGAATCGCCTGGACCATAGATCATGGCGAATCACGATCAAAGTTGAAATACAAGTATAACTTGTAGATAATTATTTCTAAGGACAACCTGTAAACAATCAGAGAGAAAGTTTGATTGAGAAGGAAGGTTTTTTGCGTTCAATATGTACACCTGAGGTACATTCTTATCTTCTAGCGTGGTATCAGTTTCTGTTCAAGTATCACCTTGAAAAAAGAGTTGCTGTTACCCTCTAAGCTTAATAAATTTAGCAACCGCAGGAGCTTTTCAAGTCATTGTGTAATCAAACCTGTTGGACAACGACTTCCTTGGTAAAGCTTTGCCCAATTGATCTCCTTTAATCATTTCAGTCGTTTAACTCTGATCTGAAAATCATGTGTTCAACTCATGTGCAGAGTTATCCTGTTCACGAGCCTCTAATTTCCCCATGAAACTCTCTAATTTCAATTCAAGATGAGCTAAAAACTGAGACAAATAAGAGCGGGAGAAAATAAAATGATATGAGCTGAAGTTATCAAATTGGCTCATATTTTTACAGCTGTTGGTTTCTTTTCAAAATTAGATTGAAATCTTTCAAGCTAGTTCAAATTAACTGGTTTAAATTGGTTCCAATTGTCAATCCAATGGCAAGGATTTGAAAACATGTCATTAAACAGGGAAAACAACAACAATAATCATTCATTGCCTTAGATTCCTGTTAGAAAATCTCTGATCAATTGCATATCTCTTAATGGTCTTTTATATTTGTCTCATTATAATGTTGTTTGCCCTGTTGTTTACCCTTTAGCAGGTTACCCTTTAGCAGGTTAAAATTCAAGTACATTTAGCACCATGTTAGCCCTGAGACTGGTAAATGTCTGGTAAGTAAAAAATACATGAAGTATTCAATGCACTTTTTATGTTACTTTTTGTTTCAGACTCAAATTTGATTACCTCCTTAACACGTTGTTGACGCCTTTTTTCCTTTAAACAGCTTTCTCTTTTGGTTTCTGGTATTAGATACCTTTCCACAATCAAATAGAAGTCAAATTTCATTTTTATTACCATTAATCGTATTGCTTTCAATACAAACATCTCCATGTGATTATTGTAAATCCTTAACAACACGGAACCGGATCGGATGGAAACAAAAATTTCCTTTGTTATTGTAACCTTATAAAATTGCTTCAGTTGGATGAGAAAAAGAAAGTCTTCTCTTAAAACTAGAATGAATCATGAATAGAACGTTCTGGCAATGATTTCAACAACAGCCCATCTCCATCATCATCATCATCTCTGGATACTTGTAGTTACCGGTTATTGTTTAACATCATCGTCATAATCCTTGGAAACACTTTACTTCAACTCTAAACTGGAAATATTCTTTATCATGGAAGAAAAATTTTATTCCAAGGAAATGGATTACATGTTGCTGAATTATAATGTGATGACCAATTAATTTAAATTTAATCACTGTCAATATTTTGTTGGATTTATCTTCTATTACCAATATTTTAAAACAACACCAGTATCAGCTGTTTACCGGTTGGTAGCTATTTTCTGGTAACCAATCAAGTGACAATCAACCCGAATTACTCATCATTTGGCTAAAGTTGAAACCGTTTCTTTCAAAGGATTTTTCTCATCATAATTTTGCCACTGATCTAACCTCACAGTTAATAAGGTAAATCAAAAACAAATTATTATCATCAACATTGTTTGTTAATTTTACTTTGTTTTATTTGATTTACCCAATTTTCCCTGTACCCAGTCCCTTCTCCTCTGTCCTTTTACCAACCTCATTTGTTCAAATTGTTTTGTCTTGAATTTGCTATAATTAGTTGAGAGCTATCTTTACCTTAATATATCCAACCTTGTCAATTAGTATTTAGGCCAAGGTGTTTGATTATGTCTATTTATTAAATGGAAACAATGGATCAACCATTTAAATGATTGTATTGGAAATAACAAAAGTGGAATAACAATAATGAAAAAAAGCCCAAAAAAAGAGTTGAAAAAACTGAAAAGACAGAGCTTGTTGATTCAATTTGCAATTAACCTTACCATTGAAAACTGATTTAAGGTAGTATTTTAAGATTTAACTAGTAATAAGAAGTGCAATGAAAAAAACGCTCTCAAAATGATGTTGATTTTTTTCCCTTCCTATTATTGTTACAAAATTTGATCAAATTATCATTTGTCAGTCAAAAGTCTAAATTGCTTGATTAATCGTTATTAACTTTTTTGCACCTCTTTTTTCAATCTAATTTTTCAATTCTATTCCAAGTTCAAAGACTTGTTGATATGATTAGTGGCTGTTGACAACTCATTTCATTCCTATTGATTTACTATTCAGTTAGTCTTCTCGTTAGCTTCTTGGGCTCAGTATTTAATTAAACATTAATTTTCATGTTAACCTTTTAATGCAATGAAAATCACTGAACGTGTTAATTTAAAATCAGATCAATGCTACAATTGATGATGGATCGATTAAACCGCTTTTTTAATCAAGGTTAAGTGTTGCTGAAAGACTAATTGCTTCATATCATCTGACCACTTGAAGGTTGTGATTAATATCGTGCTGGTTAATAATTTGATACAATTTCAGTTTCACTCAAAATTTGGACTCGCAAGGAAGGACTTTTGGTCCACTTTGACACATAGACGTTTGGACATTACAATCATTCTCATTTGTTTAGAACCAACTTTCATATGAACACAACCAACATTCAAAAGAGTAAAACCGACTGACTGTAAAGACACAGAGCTTTCAAAACAACAAAACCAGCTTTCAAATGACCAAAACCTACTTTTATAAGACAAAAACTCTCGAGTTAAAGAGTAACTTTATTCAGGGTATGCAAAGACGATTATCACTGATTTTTCCAATGAACTTCCATTGAAGATGGTAAATCACAATTAATAAGTCAAAATTTATCAAAATGTTAACTTATATTCCAATATGCCTCAGAAAAGAAGCAATTAACAATTGACGAAACAGTCTTAACCCTGAATAAAGATGCTTCTTTAACTCGAGAGTTTTTGTCTTATGAAAATGAGTTTTGGTCATTTGAACGCGGTTTTGTTTGTTATGAAAACTCTGTGACTTTACAGTCAGCCGGTTTTACTCTTTTGAATGTTGGTTGTGTTCATATGAAAGTTGGTTCTAAACAAACGAGAATGATTGTAAGACAATAACAAGTGAAGATACTTTGAACAATCAATTATGCGTTCAAATGTCTATGTTAAAATTGGTTGAAAAGTCTTTCCATCGGCATTGGGACAATTTAGCTCCATATTTATCTAATTCATTTGCACAATATACTTTTATTAGGTCCTTCAATAATTCCGCGTGAAAATTATGTTCTTAAGGTTACTGCTGGCTATTAATATGATTTTTTGTAAGCTACAACACTGAAGGCTGATATTATGAAGTTTTATTCAAATCACTAAAATGGTTACTGAAATATTCCATAAAAAGGTCAAAAAAGCACACTAAAAATACAGTAATTCACCGCTTCGAATCAAGAGTTGAAATTTGCTAAAAATGGCCTGTTTGGCCAAGATGAGTTGCAAATTTGTCAGAAAACTTTTCGACCCTCTTTGCTAGCATTACAGGGACTTCTTTTTGAATTTAAACCTAAAAAAATTCTTTCGGGGCGAAAGTTATTGCCAAAAAATACGATTTTGTCGCCAAAAAACGACAATTTTGAAAAAGGCCTAATTTGCGACATAGGGTGTAAGTGACGCTCTGTCCTACCGATAGCAAGCCCTTAATGGTCTGATGATCAATTTGCTGTAGACTCAAAAAAATCAAACCTGAAGAACATAATTTTCTCGCGGAATTATTGAATGACCTAATATGTTTGATTGTTTCCATTTACTCATTCCATTTCTTAATTTAGCCAACATTTAACCATGGATAAGCTGATATCAATTGCTAATTATTGCCATTCATGAGTCTGAAAATTTGCAAGTCAATTTGCAAAATTTTTTTAGTGCTGGTAGAGTTAATTGTCTATCAGGGAAGTTGTCAATTAACTGTTAATATCTTAATAATCAGTCTGCTTATTTTCAAATGCAAATTCACTTTGTATTTGCTTTAAAAGCAAACACATTTACACTAACAAATGATTAGTTTATGATGATAAAAATGGCAATGTAAAGGTAGATGTGAAGGAAGGTCAATCAATTGTAATCAAGTATAGATGATGAAGTCACACTTTACTGCTATTGTTGTCATTGAATTTAGTAATTCAATACAAGATAATCAGTTGATTATTCAGTTAACAAACAAGATGTAAATGAGAGAGAGACAGACACACACAAAAAGCTGAAACCTCCAAAGACCGGATGAAAAGACAAGATCAGTGAAAATTGTAGTTGCAGGTTTAAATCAACAGCATGGCTTGACTGGGTGAACATGAAAACAATATCAATTATGGTAATAATCTTGAGTAGAGCAATGGATCACTAGTCAAAAATGAAAGTAAAATCAAGTGAATATTTCAAGAATAACATTTATACGGAGAGAAAGGAGTAAAGGAAAAAAAAGGACAACAATCATTGAAAGGGAAGGAAAAGCGTTTTTTGCTTCTCTGCTGTAAAGGTTCTTACAAAGTTATCATAAAACCTTGAAAAGCTTCAACGATTTTGACTATGCTTTTACAGCTTCCTTCAACCCCTTCAATAAGCAATCAACATTAGCCCAGCAATGATCACGAGGTTACTTTTTTTGTAAGCTGTTTGATGATAATGTAATGTAATAACTTGAAAGAGAAGTTGAAGAGAAAAGGCAGAGGAAGAAAACTAAAATGTTCAGTCAAGGTGGAGATTTGAAAAGAGTTAAAGATGGTAGGAAAGAATGATCTGAGGAAAGATGAAAATCTAACAGATCATGTATTGATAAGTCCAAAGGAACACGTCATTTGTCTTTTCTTTTTCTAACTCCCACCCTTTGGTTCAACCCTTTGTCATTCCTCTCTTGATATCCTTCTCTATCTTCAAACCTTCATTTGATAAATTGTGATTAATCAGTTCGATCTTTTGTAAGAAAATGTTTCTAAATGTCTGCTGTATATACTTTGCTTTTCCTTATCTATTTATTCATCTTTAACACTCTATCTTTCAACTGTTTCTCATTTTGCTTTCTTCAACATTTTGTCTCTAATTTTTGATGTTTTTGTTTTGTTTTTTATTCCAAATTCTGTAACTAGATTATTTACATTGGTTCCAACATCTGGTTCTACACCGTTTTTCAACACCAGCTCTGGTTTTGTTTCGTTTCCTAGTTGAGGCTCCATTGTTTTTTATCCAAAGGATCATTATTTTGAACGCCGGCCATGGGTTATGATCCATCACTGTTTGTCTCTAAGGTTGATTCCGAACTAAAATGTCCAATCTGTCAAGGTGTTGTAGAGAAACCTGTTCATGGAATCAATTGTAATCACATTTATTGTTCAACTTGTGTCCGATCTTGGCTTCGTCACTCTTTAACTTGTCCATTGGATCGATTACCATTAAATGAATCTCAGTTGCGACCTGGTCCACGTATTATTGTTTCATTATTGAAAAATTTGGAAATTAAGTGTACAAATTATAACCGGGGATGCTGTTGGATAATGAAATTGTGTGAATTGGACCAACATTTAACTTGGTGCGCTTTCAAGGCTCCATCGAGCGAAATAAATATTAGCAATAGCAATAGTAATAATGTCAATAACTCTTCTAATCTAGTTCCTAATCCTGACAATGAAATACGCCAATTGAGAAACATTTGTGACAAACGATCGGAACTTCAAGAATTAAGAAACTTGGTTAATCGTCTTACCTGTGATATGGAAAATATAACAGCCTCTGGTGAAATAATAACACAACAGGTAAAAGAGATAAGTGATAAAACTGATTGTGTGATTCGTTATCTGCAATATGCTCAAAGTCAAATGATGAGAATCTTTCTATCTCGAGAGGAACAAGAACAACTTATGTCTAACCTTAAATTGGACAATTCTCTGGTTAATTGTACAGTTCTTAACCTAAGTGAGTTTATGACTCCTGAAATATTAATGGAATACCTGAGACAGAACGGAATGAAACCAATTAAATGTATCATGGGTCCTTATCCTTTTAATCGATCACGAAATTTTTGCGTCACCGTAAGATTATCTGATTTGGATAAATTATTAGATCCTGATTTGTGGCCCATAGGAGCTGCTCTAACCATTACAAATGGTCGCAATAAATCACCTTTAATCACTGGTAAACGATCCAAAAATATGTCAACTCTATGCCTTGAGTCGGGCATAAATGAATAACTCTGGATCTTTGACGACACTTTCGAATCTTGGAATGAAATCAAAATTAGATTCAATTTACTTGATAATTAAACAAATTTTTTGTTTCAAATCTGTTTCAATTGTAAAAGATAATTTCTTACTTTCATAAAATTGATCGCGAACTAGGAAAATATTTATCAATGTCAATTATATTGTTATCATTAGAAATAACAAAAACTCAATCAACTAAAGTATCGATCATTAGCCTTCAGATCGCTTTCAATTTATCCATTGTACTCATTATTGATTACCTTGGAGGAAATATTTGATTAAATTCATCCGACCAATGATTATACAAATGATATTAATGTAACTAGGATGGCTATTTTCACGATTGAGTAATGACGTTTTAATTGAAATGTTTAATTTATTTTTGATTAGATTGTTTGTGATTTAAACAATGTATTTTGAAGCAATTAAGAGTTTGATTTCTCAATTTTAATCCACGAATCAACCAATTGCTACTAATAGATGGCATCGATGGCCAAGTTAAGGAATTAAATTTTAGTTTTTCAAATTTGGCGGTGAAATTTGGAGCTAGTAAGTTACTATTAGTAACCGGTTAGCCACAGTTACTTTATGCTAACCGAGATTAAATAATAAAATTTAATTAAACTCAATTTGTTGATGAATTATTTTATCATTGTTATTTTATCTCTGGTTGAGGTATCTATTTATTGAATTGTTCAACGTTAAAGATGTCTTAAATCAAGTCTCATCATGGATAGTATTGATAAAATGTATGGCAATATCCTTTTTGATACTGAAAATGTGATTGGTGAGGCCAAGAGTAAAGCTGTTTTGATTGAAAAAGTTTTAAATGATCTCAAAAACCTCAATAATGAATTTGGTAAACGTAAATCATCATTGGAACCACTGTTGGAAGACATTGAACCACAGTTGAATCGTCTTGATGAGCTTAAGAAAATCCGAAATTTATTGGTTAAATTTCAAACGTTAAAAACTCTGCACATCAATCTGGAGAAGTTGGATAAACTAAAGACAATCAAACAAAATGAAGTTGAAACTCGATTGATGAACAGTGTAGATATTTACAAGCAGCTAACAAAAGAGTGGAAATCTTTAGCCAAAGTTAAAGATGACAACCCATTCAAGCTTTACTTGAAGGAAATGATAATGTATTGGAACGAACAGATTCGAGTCAAAATTGAGCCAGTTTTTGAGTCTATCTTAAAATCTGTTGGTTGGCCTATTTTAAAGTCTAACTTATCGAGTTCTGTTGCAGAACTATCACTATCAAATGAAAGTTTATTCAGGTTCAAGCAATATTTCATTGCTCTTCTTGAATTGGATGTGCAACATTTATTCAATGACAAAGAAATCTTACCAAATCTGAATGATGGTAACTTTTTCAATACCATTTCAATTTGTTTACCCCTTCAGCTGATGGTCAAACCACTTCGCAAAAGATTCACGTATCATTTCATGACTAATGTTCGAACTAATCAATTGAGTAAAGTATATAAATATCGTCATCTCTTTATAGACTACTTTTCGTTCGGAGGCTTAATCAACCTTTTGTTCATTTTTTTCTTAGCCTGAATGGTATTTAACTCAAATTATGAATTGGATTAAGGATCACGAAAATTTCCTCAGTGAACATGTTACGGTTCTATTCAAGGACCAAGAGACTGAATTTGCATCGCTGAAGGTAATTTGGTTTATTGACATTTCTGGATGGACTTTCACATTAGTTTTTTGTTTTATTTTTAGATTCAATTTACCTGTGCTTTGCTTGAGCTTGCAGCTGACAAGTTGGCCAAAGATCTGACTAAACTGTCTGCTGATGACAAACTTTTTTCTCATGCTTTCGATGAAGTTCTATTAACGCAGCGAGAATTGGAAGATATCAATCAAGATTGGCTCTCATTGTTTCGTGAAAATTGCAACCTTCTGAGTTTATTTGCTGTTGAACCTTACTTTACAAGACTTAGAAACATTGAGCGTAGAAGTATGTAATTAACAGAAATTTCTTATTGATTTGGATAATCAAAATGATTATTTCGTTTATTAAAAGGATCAATGGAATACATCGAGACAATAATATCTTCTGAAACGGCCTGGAGTCCTCTAGTTACTTCAATTGATGATGAAGACGAAGATGAAGATATTCTCAAAGTACCAGAAATTGCAGACAATTTCATTTTAATGTTACAATCCATCACAGGTTTGTTCATTTTTCTCTTGTTTTATAAATGAAATACTAATATATCTCTCATTTCAATTTCAGATCGATTCTCTCATTTATCAAAAATCAGTCATCAATATGCATTTATAGTTCTTGAACTTGAAATGTTAGCAGATTTCCATTTGCGATTATCACAAATTTATCGTTCGCTTGACAGCGAAGGACTTAATCAGTGGCCCTTTACTCAAAGATTTTTTTCAATTATAAACACCCTTAATTATGTTATACTTTTGCTTAACAATTGGAAAAATCTTCCGGTTAGTGATCTGAAAATAATTCTATCTAAATCGAAGTCAATTCAAATTTACTAATCCTATATAATTTTATCTTTTCTTTTCGAAGGTCTTTCAAGACATGTCTGAATTCTCGCTGAAGGATTCAATTTTTGAGGATTCTCTTTCCCTCTATAATCATATGGTTAATGAGATGAAGAAAAGAATAGTTGATAGTCTCATGAAATTGATAATGGAAAAAATTAAAGCTTACGCATCCTTAAGGTAAATTTCCTTCATCCGTTAATTTCTTAATCACAAATTTTCCTTTCATCTTATTTTCAGATGGCATTGTTTTACACTTTTGGATGATGACATGCAATATATTTCTTATCAATTGTTTTACTTGATTTCTAAATCACTTGAATTATTGAAAAGAAAGCTTTCCCATAACATTTTAGAAGAATTGATTGAAACCATTGCCGATTCCATTAAAACTGCAATAATGAAAGAAGTAATTTATAATAACAGTTTCAATGGTGAAGGAGCTCAACAATTACATAGAGATGTCAATATTAATTTATTTTCAGTGTTCAGAGTTTATACTCCTAATCCTGAAAGTCTTATTATTGAGTAAGTAAAGGAAAAAATGATTATTTCTAGCGTGTAATTTTCACGAATTCATTTCCATCAAATTTTAATTCTATTTTTATACTTTTTCTCATAGATTGGTCGAAGCTTGTCAATTATTAAATTTGGCCAAAGGAAATTCTCTTTTATTACAAGACACGTTAAGAAAAGGAAATGTTTCTGATGATATATTGAAAGATTTTAATGTTCACCATTTATCAGCTAAAGTTGCTCACAAAATATTATCTAAACGACTTTACACTTGAATTGAAATGCTGAATGGCTTGTAAAATTGATGCTGATATCTGATATCTAATTCATATCCGATAATTGGTTTTTATTTAGTAATAAAATTTCTACAAAAAAAGTCTATTTTCTATGTATACTGACCAAATCTAATTTCGTGTGACATTTGATAATTCATTTCTTCTATTTTTGCCTTTAATTCTTTCGCTTTATCCAAATCTTTAGGCACTACGTCTCCTTTCGATAACATTTGATAAGTATTGTGACAGCAAATGTAGTTTGAATAGTCACAGCCAATTAAACCATATTCAAGAGCTTTTTTCGCATCTTTTGGTATACTTTTTTCACCAAATAAAAAGTATTCATGAAGAGTCTGACAAGCTTGAGGTAATTTTAGTTTACATGCTTTATCCAACATTTCTATCGCTTTTTCTGGCTCTGGTTTAATATCTTTTATATCGTTAGTTTCATTATTCGCTCCTGCTAACATTTGACCACCATGATAACACGATAGGGTTGGATCTCTTGGAGTTAATCCTTTTGTGTCATAACAACCTTTTATCCAATAATCTCTGGCTTTAGTATAATCTTTCTCCACTGCCTTACCATAAAAATGGAAAGAAGCTAATCTATCACAACATTTAGAATAATTCAACTCGTCACATCCCTTTTTGTAAATATCAGCGGCACTTTTGAAGTCAAATTTCTCCTGTTCGAACCACTGGCCAAGTAAATAACATCCTGAATCAGAAATAAAAAATGAAAAAATAAGTACAATACAAGGTTGATTTTTGTGAATTTTATATCACTTACCTTCTGGATCTTTCTCGTGAATACAGTTAAATTTATATTCAATTCCTAAATTCTCGATGAATTCAGCGACTTCTTCAGCAGTTTTTAATAGACTGGACATTAAACCAACGAAGTCAACTATTAATTATAATTACAAAAGCAATATAGCAATGTTCTCATACAAATCTTGTAATATCTTGTAAAATAAAGACTACCAGTCATGTGTTGAAAGTAAACATGCTTACATAAAATTGTCAGCTGTAACTTGATTCACATGCTAACTCAATCCAACGGTGAACGTTTAGTTTGTACCAAAGAGTAAAGGAAGTACCTCCTCTACTCTTTGGTTTGTACGCTTATTCAATAATGGTGAAAATTTTGCACAGAATTTCGATTTTAATAATTAAAAGTAGGATTACTTCGATCAGATTCTATTTTGAGATTTGTATAATTATTTACTCCACTATGTTTGAGGCTCTATCATTTCATTGATTGACTAAACTTACATAACGATAAAGGCATATTCAAAATGATTGTGTTATAAAATTTTTAACGCGAATCAAGTTTTTCAGGTTGAGTGCCAGTGAATTGAAACTAACGGTGGCCAATCGATTCGTCATAGTAAATACGAAAATTTATCACACAGAATAATCAATAGAATCAAATATTTAACCAGTAAATATTTTACTCCACTTAAAAGGGGAAATACGGTTTTCTTGTTTATCTCTGGTTTTATAGCAACAGATACAGATACAGTACTGATCCGATTCAGGTATTAGAGAGTAAGCCAGTAAAAAATACCATAAATTACTTCAACCATAGAAGGACCGAAAATGACATTGATATCATAATAATATCCAATATAAAAGGCAAAGGGTCCTTCTTGAATCCAGATCCCACGCTATCGATCCTGATTAAGGTCCTTGAAAACATCGGACTGGTCGTATTGAATTATTATTACCATTACTTTCTATGTGATAATTATACTGTTTGGTGTGAAGGAAAGTATTATATCATGACAATTTGGGCGTAGTGTGTTTGCAATTAGGACTTCTGGAACATACCAAATGTTGAAATATCAATTCTGATAAAAAGCCAGCAATGTAATGCTATTTTATTTTATCTTTTGATTATTGAACAACCTTCACGCATTAATTCCTTTTAATTTTACTTTCTCCTTTCTAGAGCAATAGTATCTCATGTTGAATGTTATTTTCAATGCACCTAAAGTAATCTAATAACGAACTGATTAAATGTTATTTTGGTAAGCTATAAAAACGTTTGCTTTCTAGTTGAAGCTTTCATTTTTCATTAAAAACTGGATTTTTATTATTGAGGATTACAACCAAACCGTCAATACAACTACCAAAATGCTTGATGTTTCAACTGTTCTTGTCACTGGAGCAAATCGAGGACTTGGTCTTGAATTTGTTCGTCAACTAGCTTCATCTGAACCTAAAATCTCGCATGTTATTGCCACATGTCGAGACCCAGATTCTGCTGAGGTAAGAAATCAATGTTATTTCTTTGTACATTAAGATACAATTCAAGTAACTCTTTGTGATTTCCATTTTTATTATCATTTAGGAATTGAAATCGTTAGCCAAAACCAACGATAATGTTCATATATTGAAACTGGAAGTAACTGATTACAATTCCTATGACGCCTTCTATGCTGAAGTTGAAAAAATTGTTGGTGAATCAGGTTTAGACCTATTGATAAACAATGCTGGAATATTGATCCCTACACCTCTTGATGCAGTCACACCCGAAGAGTTCATGAAAAATTTCGAAGTCAATGCTGTCGGACCTTACGTTTTAGCCAGAAAATTAACTCCTCTCATCAAAATTTCTCAACGAAAGTTAATTGTTGCAATCTCATCTACCGCTGGAAGTATTGAAAGAAGTAGTGCAAGAATGGGAGGTTTTCCTGCTTACAAGGCCAGCAAGGTAAATTGAACATTTATTCAAATTTTAATCGAGTCCACATTACAAACCTAAGCCACAAGAACAGAGTATTTCCCATACCAAATGTAAAATCATTGAAAACGGGAATATTGAAGGCTTCTTTGATTCTAATAACAGAAAATTGATATTTTATAAGAAACAATATTTTTAATCGCAATATTTATCGTTCTTTTCCAGGCTGCACTTAATATAGTTACTCGAACCTACGGTGATCATGTAAAGAAGGATGGTATCATAAGTGTAATGTTCTGCCCTGGTTGGTGCAAGACTGATCTTGGTGGACCCAATGCAATGCTTGAAACAGATTTCAGTGTTTCCAATATGATAAAAACCATCTCGACTCTTAATGCTGATTCTAGTGGATCCTTCCTTAATTATGAAGGAAAGCCAGTGCCTTGGTAGTCATTTAATTATCTAAATAGATTGTTATTACAATTATTAAAACTGTATTGAAATTAAAGTTTCGATGATCAATAATAAAACTCAATATTCAGATACTGACAAAAAATCGTTTACTTTATTTAAGATACAAAATAAGCCTTGTTTAACATGTTCGCATCTAAAATTAAAGAGTCAAGATAGGCATGAAAATAACCAGAAATGAAGATCCTCAACTAGATTTGAGACTCATCACTGACTATTTGATCATAAACAATCTAAAAGTATCTATAAATAGTCAATTTAGGTTTGCGGAAGGGAAGCAATTCTTCGGAAATGTAGTAATTCTGAGCAATCTTGCTATTTATCTGAAACTTTACCGGGATTCCCCCAACAGCTAAGATAAAGCTTGAAATTCACTACAATATTCCAGATGATAGCTAGACACCTTGGTTTATTGATTGAAACAAATCTAGATATTACATTCATTTATAAATGATAATAAGTTAAAAGTTTGATGTAACATTTGTTGAAATTTCACTAATTGAACAATCCAAAAGTGCCTTGTTCAGATCAGTTCCATTTGAGTTTATATAATTATCTAGTTCTCTGTAATACAAGCTATACAATACATTTCATTGATTTGAGTTGTTACTAAAAAGACACAAACCACACAATTGTCACATTTTATGCACACATTGAAACAAAAATGAGCGACAAAGGGCGAAAATTACTTTCTTTCAAATTTTGACTCTGAATGTTTGTAGAGTCATAAAAACTGAGTCCTTCAGTGCTATTAAAAAGTTTCTCTTATTGATAGTTTTGGAGAAAATGTAGTTCGAAGTTGAAACTTTGATCGCTTTTTGTGCAATTATGGAAGCAGATTTTTTCATGAAACTCATAGTACTGATGGAACTTTTGATTATCAATCAGAAAACGTACTTATTCAGAGAAATAAAACTTTTCTTTTTCTGTAAAACCAATTAGTTCGATTTTTAGTTGAACTGACCGCATTCGGTTACCATAAGAGTTAGCGAGTTGAAACTTATTACTTGTTTATGAAAACTGTTGACTCACATACTGGGTTAAATACTTTTTTCAATTTAACAACAGTTCTTTTGCTTTTGCCCATTAGCCTAAAAACTTTGAACCTTAATATTTCGAGAATGGCATCAACCACAATCATCATTCTTTCACCAAATTAATTCTTTATTAATTAATATTTTATTTCAATTCAATAAATTTCCATTAGCGCGTTAGGTCATGGTTTTTGGTTGGAAAATGTACAAGCAACAACTTATTTAACAAACTAAACTCATCACAACCCATTTCTTGGTAAATAAACCAATTTTCTGGTTAAAATTGCAAATTAAATGCAAAGAGTGTTGCCAAAAGCTCGAAAACTTGAGTTGAAACTGGAGACTTAGAGGGTTTGTAGAGGCATAAATCCTGAGTTCATTAGTGCAATCCAAAAGTTTATCTTATCGATAGTTTTCGAGAAAATCTAGTTCGAAGTTGAAACTTTGAACGCTTTTTGGACAGCTATGGAAGCATATTTTTTCATGAAACTCAAAGTACTGATATTATGATTTATAGCCAACAAGAAAATGCATTTTATTATATGAAATAAAGTTTTGTGTTTCTGTAAAACTGTTAAGTTCGATTTTAGTTTGAACCTAGCTCTTCCTAAGGCCGTTATAGTAAGAGAGCTCAAACTTAGCATTCGGTAATAAAATTTGTTGATATGCACCATGGACTGTGTACTTTTTTCAATTTAGTAATAGTTCTCTTGATTTTGGCCTTTGGTCTTAAGACTTCGAACCTCAATATTGCGAAAATGAGTCCACCTACAATCATAATTCTTTGACTGGTCATTGGATTTCATTGGTGTCTATAACATAAATTACTTAATACCTAAGAAAATCTGAGTTTATTCATTTAATAACGAATATTCTTCTTACACATCATGTGTAACCATTTACTTTTGTTATCAAATATAAAATCTTACAACCTAGGTAATGAATTGTTATTACTTTTTTTGTGGCCTCTTGAATAATCTATTGATTGCATATACCATAGCTCATAATAAAATCCAATGATCAGTCAAAGAATCATGATTGTAAGTGATGCCATTAACGAAATATTACGGTTCAAAGTTTAAAGACCTAAGGCCAAAATCAAGAAATTCATTGCTAAATTGAGAAAAGTACACAACCCATGATGCATATCAACAAATTTTATCACCGAATGCTAAGTTTGAGCTCTCTAACTCTAACGGCCTTAAGAGGAGGTTGGTTTAAATGAAAATCGAACTTAACAGTTTTACAGAAACACAAAAGTTTATTTCATATAATAAAATGCATTTTCAAGTTGGCTATGAATCATAATATCAGTGCTATGAATTTCATGAAAAAATCTGCTTCCATAATTGCACAAAAAGCGATCAAAGTTTCAACTTCGAACTAGTTTTTCTCGAAAATTATGGATAAGAGAAATTTTTTAATGGCACTGAAGGACTCATTTTTTATGCGTCTACAAACATACAGAATCAAAATGCGAAAGAAAGTAATTTGCGCCAGTTTTTGCCCATTTTTGTTTCAATGTGTGCATAAAATGTGACAATTGTGTTGCTTGTGTCTTTTTAGTTGTTTTCTTAAGCATTTATTGTAAATATCATTGTGTTTTCTCGCATAAAGTTCCGTGGGTTTGCTTGATTCGACCTAATAAATTGAATAATTGAATTGCATTATGCAAACTTCATACTTGTGCTTCTATTCAGATCGAAACATGACAAAAGTCGTGTTATTCAGCAATTTGGTCGCATTTACTTGTAATATTTAAGTTTACATGTTAGAGTTTGAGTGGTTTTGAACCAAATCTAATACTTTATTCTAACCTTAATTAATATCAATATTTGCTCTCACAAGTTGATTATTGACTTTGGTGGTCCAAATAAGACCTAACCTAAGCCCACCCAGTCTCAACTCTCGACACGAAAGTTAAAGCGTTTGCATAAAATCTTTTGAGTAAAAGCAAAATGATTTTTTCAAAACTGTGGATCTGAGAAGTTTTAAATCGTACAAATGGATTCAGTTACCATGTCCCTACAAATCAATAGACATTTTCACTCGTTGTACCCATTTGTGCATAAATTTGATAATGTCTTTTTAGTAGCAAACATTCATTTGTTTTCATCGCTAAACTTGCATAATTAGCAAAAGCGCATTCAGAATGTGTTTGAGATTGAATCCAAGTAAGACTGCGACTTAATATGGGCAATCGATTCGTCATCCAATTATTAACTTGTATACATTGTATAATAAATACACAAATTGATCAAACACTTAATAAAACCAAATATTGAACCAGTCAACATTTACTCGTCATAAAAGGGGAAATACGGTGCAATGGTTTATCTCTGAATTTTATAGCAACAGATACAGTATTAGTCTGATTCAGGTAGAACAGAATAATCCATGAGAAAATACCTTGAACTACTTCTTCACAATCATTATAAAGCACTGCTATCAAATATCCAATATCACAGTGAATAAGACTAACAATCTTGATAAACATCGACAATTTAATGTCAACTTATTCCCTCTGTCAACTTATAAATAACTTCCACATATTGGTTGTTTTTGATCGTGTTTTCATCCTTTCTAGTACAAAAGTATCTCAATCTAACTGTAACTTCATAAAGCACCTAACATTATTCATGAACTGATTAAATGCTACTTAGATCAACGTTTTCTAGTTGAAGTTTTATTTTTCAATCAAACTGAACTCAACATTTATATTATTAAGGATTACAATCAACTGTCGCTACAACTATCAAAATGCTTGATGTTTCAACTGTTCTTGTCACTGGTGCAAACCGAGGAATTGGTCTTGAATTTGTTCGTCAACTAGCTTCACTGGAACCTAAAATCTCGCATATTATTGCTACTTGTCGAAACCCAGATGCTGCTAAGGTAAGAAATCAATTTTATTCCTTTCAACGGTAAGTTAAATTAAAAGACAACCATTAACTCTTTGTGATTCTATTTTCATCATCATTTAGGAACTGAAATCAATAGCCGAAGCAAACAACAATGTTCACATATTGAAACTGGGACTAACTGATTACAATTCCTATGACGCCTTCTATGCTGAAGTTGAAAAAATTGTTGGTGAATCAGGTTTGGACTTATTGATAAACAATGCTGGAATAGCAATTCATACGCTTCTAGATGAAACTACACCCGAAGAGTTCATGGAAAATTTCGAGATCAATACTGTCGGAACCTTCATGTTAACCAGAAAATTAACTCCTCTCATCAAAGTTTCTCAACGCAAATTAATTGTGTATATTTCATCCACCGCTGGAAGTATTGAAAGGGCTAATGCAAGCTTCGGCTATCCTGCTTACAAAGCTAGCAAGGTAATGTTGAATATATTTAGAATAGAATTTATTCTAATTGCAACTAATAAGTTGTTTAATAATACTTATTTCTTGTCCTTCTCCAGGCTGCTCTTAATATAGTTACTCGAACGTACGCTGATTATATCAAGAAGGATGGTATCACTAGTGTAATCTTCTGTCCTGGTTGGTGCAAGACCGACCTTGGCGGATCCAATGCGATTCTCGAAACGGATTTTGCTGTTTCTAGTTTGATCAAAACCATCTCGACTCTTAACGCTGAAAATAATGGTTGCTTCCTTAATTATGAAGGAAAGCCCGTGCCTTGGTAGTCATTTTTGACTATCGCAATTTTCAGAATAGATATTTATTACAATTGTTGAAACTGTAGAAAAATAAAGTTTCGATTCATAAAAAAATAAAACAAAAATACGTTTTTTGGTCTAACTGGGAACCCAATAAGTTTTGTGAGATCGTGATTGTGACTCTCAATGCGAAATGTTTTTTCTGACTTATTATATTTGCTGTCTCACGACAATTTTTTTAATATTTTCACATACCAGATACATGTAATATAATTTTTGGTAATAATAATATGGCCTCTATCAAGAAGGAGTGATCTACACACCGTGCATTTCTTCGAATTTCGGTCTGATTTTTTTAACTATCAATATTAAATAATCACTATCAATAAACTTGATTTAATTTTCTTTATTGAGATATAACCCAATGAAAATGACGAATTGCGAAGCCCCCCGAACAGTTTCAATCAACTATTTTACGAGTGATGCAGAATCAACCAGTGCGGTAAGAGTTGACTACTAGAACCAACAACATTGAATAATGAATAAATTTTTAATATTAAAAACAATAAAACTTTCTAGTAAACTTTGCTTAACAACTTTGCATTGATTTTTGCGAAATAACTCTTTGAATATAACAAAACTGCAAACGAAATGAGTATTTGAAAAACGCTGAGCATGGTTATAGCGTAAATATCGGCTAAGCCATAGTCAAAAATGTCTACCAAGGGACAGTCTTTCCTTCATAATCAATGAAGCAACCATTATTTTCAGCATTAAGAGTCGAGATGGTTTTTATCATACTAACAACGCTGTCAGCTGTCTCAAGCGGTGCATCGGGTCCACCTAGGTCAGTTTTGACCACACCAGGGAAAAACATTACACTTATGATACCATCCTTCTTGACATGATCACCGTAGGTTCGAGTGATTATATTAAGAGCAGCCTAAAGTTAAAAAAGAACGATAAATATTGATGATTAAAAATATTTGTTATAAAATATCTATTTTCTGTTATAAGAATCAATGAAGCCCTACTTGAATCCACATAACCATACCTTTTTTACAATCCAAAGGGATATGTTTTCACGAACTAAACACCACCCTGATTCACACCGTCCGTCACTACTACCGATTGCATAGTTAAGTGATAAACTTTACCTGTGGCTGGTAAAATTAAATTATTATTTCCTAATACACATCACAAGATTTACTAAGTCCTTATTACTGTCAATTTGTTAAATATTTCATTTTTCAATGTTTAACATTTGGTATGGGAAAATACTCTATTCTTGTAATTTAGGTGTTTGGTTTGGAATTTTGAGGATGATGTGGACTCAATTAGGAGCCGAATGAATATTTCAATTTACCTTGCTGGCCCTGTAAGCAGGAAAGCCTCCATAGCTTGCATCTGCACCTTCAATACTTCCAGCGGTAGATGAGATTGCAACAATTAACTTTCGTTGAGAAACTTTGATGAGAGGAGTTAATTTTCTGGCTAACATGTAAGGTCCGACAGCATTGACTTCGAAATTTTTCATGAACTCTTCGGGTGTTACTTCATCAACAGATGTACGAATCAATATTCCAGCATTGTTTATCAATATGTCCAAACCTGATTCACCAACAATTTTTTCAACTTCAGCATAGAAGGCGTCAAAAGAATTGTAATCAGTTACATCCAGTTTCAATATATGAACATTATTGTTGGCTTTGGCTTGATTTCAATTCCTATTATATAATAAATCACAAAAAATTATTTCAATGTACGACAAAAATCACTAATTTCTTACCTCAGCAGTATCTGGGTCTCGACAAGTGGCAATAATGTGCGAGATTTTAGGTTCAAGTAAAGCTAGTTGACGAATGAATTCTAGACCAATTCCTCGGTTCGCACCAGTGACAAGAACAGTTGAAACATTGAGCAACTTTATATCGTTATTTCCATCGGTATAATTAACGGCATTTAATATTACCTCGGATTGATTAAACTCCGATTTATATTCAACATCACTTGCAAAATTTGAAGCCAAACAGGCTAAAAGTATAATTGAACGAAACATTTTTCTCGATGAAACGATTATATTATCGATCAACTGTGTTAAAATCAATTGTTTTAATATTTTGACTGTAGTCAAATGTTGGTTTTAATTCTCAATAATAACAATATTGAGTTTGGAGTTGGTTTGATTTGAAATATGAAGGCTTCAACGTTTTCATAGTTTACGCAAATAACATTTAATCAGTTCATAATTAGATTATATCGATTCGAGTAACATTTAATCAGTCCATTAATAATTTTTGGTAGATGATAAAGTTGATTTTTTGTCCTTTTGCAACTTTAAACCAGTTTAATCCAGTTAAAATTAAATCACGTTCTCGGTCGCCCATGATTATTTGTTCAATTTCAATAAGAACAATGATAAAGTTGTATTGTAGTGATTAAACATATCATCATATGATATTAATATTAGGGTGTATTATTCAATATTTTTGATCTTTTGTAAAATCCAGTGAGGAGGCATTTGCTGATCGTATTAAAATTTATCGGTGTTTTAGCGATCAGAAATCTTTAACTTTGTCGCATTGGCAATATTTGCATGTACTATTTGGCATGTCTTTACTAGCTTGCAGAAAATGGCCTCGAATTCGTTAGAAAAGACGAAAACTGTCAGACTTTGCGAGAGGCTGGTTCTATTGAATATGATGTTATGCTGAATAAGTCAAGGAAAGAAATTTAGCTCCGAATATCTCTAATTCTAGTCTAAATTGGGTGAAATCATCAAAAAAAAGTAGCTAGTCGTTCTGGAATTAATCTGATGGAGTGTATTCGATCAAATTTTACTATTGTACTAGATGAAGAATCAATCAAACGATGAACCAGAACAAGAAATAATTGATCAAACAATCTATACATCTATACAATATAACAAGTTTAATTACGATTTAATTCCTTCGGAACAAAAAACAAGTACACTGACGGAGATACAGCAAAAAGTATAAATTTTGCTTGTATTCTCACAGATTTATTTCATTAAATTTAAATTACAGCAAGATATATAAATTGATTGTTATCGTATTTCTAACGATCAGTCATAATCGTGGGTTCCACTTGTTTTATTTAATGCTTCAATTTTTATGCCACTGCAGTAGATAATGAAACAAAAAAATTATATCTGGGGTTTGATGAAGATTACTGTGAATTGATTCAACAAGAATTTTAGTTGCCACAAACATAAATCGATTGTTTTTGTACAAATATTGTAGGACTCAGTAAAGTATCTGTCGTCCCTATAAAACGTGAAATTTCGCAACTCATTGGACAATGATTTTAAACGATCAAAAATATTCATATCCACTCGGTCTGAACGTCCTAAGGATACTTCACACATACGAACCATCTCAATATCATCAATATAAGCGTCCAGTAAATTTTGAAGTTCCTCTCTATCGAAACTGGAGCGTAAATTCAAATGCAAGTAATCGAAGTTAGGAACTTCCATATTATGGCTAACATCCTCCATAATGCCAACGATTTGCGAGTAATTTTCTAAAACGTCACCAATTTGAGTGTTATTTGAATCCATAGCTTCCAAAAGTAATTGTAACGATTGATTAGTAGTATTTAAAAAAGTTTTTGCGTCTTTGCCAATCGATTCTCTTTCGTATAAAGTCCTGACTTGATCGATTCGTCGATTTACCAATGAAGTTATCAATAGCTTCGGTATATCTTCATGAGGATATAAACCTTTAATAAATTCCAACTCGCGTAACGTTAAGGATAATGACACATTGATCACAGCAACTAATTTAAAATGGATAAAGATGTTATAAGAAATGGAAAAGTCAAGAAAAAATGCACAACTTACATAAAAAGATGAGTCCGATCGTAGCTTTCATTTTGGTTAAAATCAGTTCGTCAATGTTGAGCTTACAAGTCAATACAAGTTAAACTGTTTCAGAACAACGTGAAAAACTTTAATGAATTGAACTGATCTGAGCTCGTCTTTATATCTACCTGATTTGTTCAATCATATCATTGATGAACAACTTATCGCTACATCTATCATTGTTGCTTTGTTTTTTTTATTCCAACTTTAAAACCCTTCAAATAACATTTAATCAATTCATAATTAGATTATATCGATCCAAGTAACATTTAATCAGTACATGAATAATGTTGCGTACATTATAAAGTTGCTTTGTATGTTATTTTGCAACCTTCAAATCATTATAATTGAGGCAAAGTCGAATCACATGCTATGGCCGCCCATGATTATTTGGTCAATCTCAATCAGAACAATAATAAAGTGATTGAATTGAGTAAAACGATATGATTAAAAGATAAACAACAATGCTTCAAACATTTGAAATAGTGTTATCAAAGTAGTCGATAACACAGGCCATCATCTTATGATTGACTATCAAATGAACCCATGTCAATCCGTGGATCACCATTAATATCACGAGTTATAATCATTGATTGTTGCTCATTATCGTGACCTTTATTAATGTCATCCAGTGAATATTATATAGCATAGATACATGTATCTGCCAATTATAAAGATATTATTAAGAAACTAGAATAATTCTGAAAAATCCAGCCTATATAACAACCTTGAGCATGATAATGTTTTGAAAATGGAACGGATTGATTATCAAAGGTTACATCAGGAAAATGAGTTTCATGAAAAAATCTGCTTCAGTAATCGAACAAAAGCGATTAAATTTTAAGATATGGACTTGATTTTCTCGAAAACTGTCCAAAATAACACAAATGGAATCAGTCAGTATACCTCTACGAACCCACAAAGTACCAACTTTAAGTATTATACTTTAATATCAGCAAGATAAATCTTCTTCTTGTTTTCATCAAAATCGACTTGAAAATCTAAATAATCATGCGACAGTTCTTTCATATATTTTCATTTAATTTTCGTTGTTTTTCCTTTTTTTACTTTTCCTTTTGTTTCTTGCTTTTGCAAATTAATCTTTGTAGCAAATTAGTTCAAGGTATTTTATCCTGGACTATTCAGTTCTGCCTGAATTTGAATAATATCTGTCTCATATTCATTATATAATATGAATATAGTCTGTATCTGTTGTTATAAAATTTTAAGATCTCTGTTTAGTTGGAGTAAAATATTGATTGGCTCAATATTTGATTCGCTTGATTAGTCTGTGAGATCTATTCCTACGTCCATTGATCATATTCAGTAGTCAGATTTACTACAACTATTGCCTCCAATATTTTCATTAACTCGCAAAAATTTAATCAGCGTTCAATAAATTAACCAAAAACGATTTTTTCATATACGTAAATTAATAACTTTATTATTGATGTATTGGAGCTTTAATTTCGTTACATTTTCAACAATAACAGTGACAATTTATTCTGTGAACTGTAATAATCCAAAATGATCAGGCACCATTACCATGGGACAGTGATTCCCTCATAATCAATGAAGCAACCATTATTTTCAGCATCAAGAGTGGAGATGGTTTTAATCATATTACCAACACTAAAGGGGATTTCAAGTACTGCACCGGGTCCACCAAGCTCAGTTTTGACCCAACCTGGAAACATCATTACACTAGTAATACCATCCTTCTTGACATGATCACCGTAGGTTCGAGTAATCATATTAAGAGCAGCCTGAAGTTGAAAAATACGATAAATATTGTGTTTGTAAATAAACGTATTAATCACTGATTATTTGTTATTAGAGTGAATTTTTCAATATTACCTTGCTGGCTCTGTAAGCAGGGAAGCCTCCAAGTATCTCACTAGTACTTGAAACACTTCCAGCGGTGGATGACATTGCAATAATAAACTTTAGATGAGAAACCTTAATAAGAGGAGTTAATTTTCTGGCTAACATGTAAGGTCCGATAGTATTGACTTCAAAATTTTTCCTGAACTCTTCAGGAGTGACTTCATCAAGAGGTGTCATGATCGCTATTCCAGCATTGTTTATCAATATGTCCAAACCTGATTCACCAACAATTTTTTCAACTTCAGCATAGAAGGCATCGAAAGAATTGTAATCAGTTACATCCAGTTTCAGAATATGAACATTATTGCTGGCTTTGGCTATTGATTTCAATTCCTAAATGATAATGAAAATTAAAGTCAAAAAATTATGTAAATGCATCTCAAAGTACAGAATCATTAATCTCTTACCTCAGCAGTATCTGGGTCTCGACAAGTAGCAATAATATTCGGAATTTTAGGTTCCAGTGAAGCTAGTTGACGAATGAATTCAAGACCAATTCCTTTGTTTGTTCCAGTGATGAGAATAGAAGAAACATTAAGCATGTTGTTATGGGTGGCATCACTTGCAAAAGTTGAAGCCAAACAGGCTAAAAGTATGATTGAACGAAACATTTTTTTCTGATGAAACGAGTATATCAATGATCAACTTAGAATCAATTTTTTGAATATTTGGATTGTAGCCAAAGGTTGATTGTAATTCTCAATAATAATAATATTGAGTTTGGAGTTGGTTTGATTTGAAAAATGAAAACTTCAACTCGAAAGCAAACGTTTTTATAGTCAACTCAAATAACATTTAATCGGTTCATAATTAGATTATATCGACCAAGTAACATTTAATCGTTCATGAATGCTTAGGTACATTTTAAAGGGACAATTAGAATGAATAATTGAATGAACAATAGATTAAAAGTAATCAACATGTGAACATTAACGATGAATTGAAAGATGAAATAAATTGACAATAAATTGCCGATGCTTATCAAGATTTAATTGTTAGTATCATTTAGTAACATTATAGAACCATCTTCAATAAAATCAAGATTCGAGGATAGAAAATTGAACAAAAAATCGAAAATTAAAACAAATCAACAAATCAATGATGCAATTATCAATCAACCTAAAGCTGTTGAGTGTTCTGATTCGCTAGATTGAAAGAATTGCTCGATTGTAAAAGACGGTGACCAATAGATCATCCATTGTAAATTAGAAAATTGATTACACAGAACAATTAAGAATCGAATATTGAACCAATCAATATTTTACTCAAAATGAAATGGGAAATACGAGGCAATTGTTTATCTCTGGTTCTAGCCATAGACAGAGTTGTAGTTTTACAAGGTTTTTAGTCAGATTCAGAGTAGTCCAGGAAAAAAATACCTTGAACTACTTCTTTACAAACATTATAAAGGTAAGAAAATGGCACTGCTATCCAATATCGCAGTGAATAAGACTAACAATCTTGATAAACACCGGCAATTCATAACTTCCATTGATTGCTTTTAATCTTGTTTTTTATAATTTCTAGTACAACAGTATCTCAATCTGACTGTCACTTTATACTGAACTCAACATAATTCTTGGAAAGTTGGATGAATGATAAACTTATTGTGCACCTCTACTTTAGTTATACCCGTCAAATTACCGAGATTTATTCATGAACTGATTAAATGTTACTCAGATCGATATAATCTAATTATGAACTGATTAAATGTTATTTGGGTCGACAGTTTATTCTGGAGATACTTTGAAAGTGTCTTAAATCTAAATTACTTATCCGAAATTTGTCATTCAGAAGGCTATCTGTAGAAAAAATTAACAGATTTAATTTGATTTGGTGTATCAACTTAGCTAGGAAAAGTTCATTTTTAATATTTTACAAAAAATGCCAAATATAAAATTTCGGTCAGCAAATATTTACTCAGAACTCTGAGCTATCACGCTCATGTGGTTTTAAATCCTTTAGATTTTAATTTCTTGGCTCATCTAAAGTCACATTTACATGCTCAAAAATTTTCAAAAGATAATAATTTTTAAATTAATTTTTCTACCATAAATGTTCAATATCTTTCAGATGCAACCTCTTCAATATCGACAGTCCTCAGCAAGAAGATGACCCCGTTGAAAATGTCATGAATTAATTTCCTAAATCTAGTGGTCAAGTTGAGCCCATTTTCAAACAATACAAGCTATTTCCAGCTATAAAAGGTAAAGATTATTGTTTTTTAACAAGGCAACTAATATTTCTGGTTGTTTTCACCTTCTTTGAGAGATTTTGGGTTCTAATCTTGATGAAGCAATATAAATGATCTTGACTTTTTAATTGAAATTTTTGAAAAATTTTCTTGAAAACTAATTGTTCTAAACTACGACAATGATTGAAAATCATTCAATTGAACGTTTTTAATCGCATAAAATCAAAAAAATTTTTAGTCAAAAATTCCAAATCATTTAAATTATTATAATTTACAAAAAACACCAGGAATCGATAAATTGACAAATATCGATTTGATTGAAAAATTCCGATTCAATATCAATTATGTAATTTTGTAGCATCTCAAGTAGTGATTGAATAGTTCTTAACAATCAATATGAAGGTGAGAAAACAAGATTGGTATCTTATAACAATATCACAGCAAAATAAGCCTGAAAGTTACAATAAACACCGTCAATTTAATGTCAATTTATTTCATCTTTCAGTACATAAATAACTTTCAAATATTGATTGCTTTGAATCTTGTTTTTTATCCTTCCTAGTACAATAGCACGTGATTCTGACTTTCACTTTATGATGTACCTAACAGAATTCATCTGATTAAATGTTACTTGGATCAGCTATAAATCTAATCATGAACTGATTAAATGACATTAAAGTAAGCTATAAAAACATTTTCTTTCTAGTTGAAGTTTTCATTTTTCAAATCAAACTAACCCAAAACTTAAGTCAGCTTTTATCATCGATAATTACAAACAACCGTCGTTACAACAGCCAAAATGCTTAATGTTTCTTCTGTTCTTGTCACTGGTGCAAACCGAGGAATTGGACTTGAATTTGTTCGTCAGCTAGCTTCCTTGGAACCTCAAATCTCTCATATTATTGCCACATGTAGAGACCCAGATGCTGCTAAGGTAAGAAAACACTGCTACATGTATTTGATTGTACGTTAAAATACATTCTTAGTAATTTTTGGGATTTTCATTTTTATTATCATTTAGGAATTGAAATCAATAGCCAAAGCCAACAATAATGTTCATATATTGAAACTGGAGGTAACTGATTACAAATCTTATGACGCCTTCTATGCTGAAGTGGAAAAAATCGTTGGTAGCTCGGGTTTGGACATATTGATAAACAATGCTGGAATAGCAATCACTACACATCTCGATGAAGTCACTCCTGAAGACTTCATGAAAAATTTCGAAGTCAATACTATCGGACCTTACATGTTAGCCAGAAAATTAACTCCTCTTATCAAAGCTTCTCAAAGAAAGTTGATTATTGCAATTTCATCCAGCGCTGGAAGTATTGAAAGGACTAGTGAGATGTTCGGAGGCTTTCCTGCTTACAGAGCCAGCAAGGTAATATTGAAGCATTCATTCGAGTTCTGATTGAGACCACATCATCCTCAAAATTTCCAAAGCACACAACTTGAGTACAAGAATAGAGTATTTTTCCATACCAAATTTAAAATTTTGAAAACTGAAATATTGAACAATTTAAAGTATTTTGGACTGAGTACAGTATCTCGTGGTGTGTATTAGGAAATAATAGTTCAATTTTACCAGCCACAGGTATCGTTTAACAATGCGCATCGGTTTGTAGTGCGTAATAATAGATTTCTTTGAGCTGTAAAAAAGGTTTGGGTGTGTGGATTCAAGTAGGGTTTCATTTATTCAATATTTAATCGTCAATATTTATCGTTTTTTTCTAACTCCAGGCTGCCCTTAATATAGTTACTCGAACATACGCTGATTATATCAAGAAGGATGGTGTCACTAGTGTAATCTTCTGTCCTGGTTGGTGCAAGACTGACCTTGGTGGATCCAATGCGATTCTCGAAACGGATTTTGCTGTTTCTAGTTTGATCAAAACCATCTCGACTCTTAATGCTGAAAATAATGGTTGCTTCTTTAATTATGACGGAACGCCTGTGCCTTGGTAGCCATTTTTGATTATAACAATTATAACAGATCTTCAAAAATATATTGTTATTACAGTTTTTGAAACTAAATAAAGTGTTGATTTATTAAAAATAAAACTAACAAAAATTATTAATTTTATTTACCTATCAGTTTTTATTTCGCTTAACAAGGAGACCCAAAAGTTACCAAGACTGATTGAAATGAGATGGATATTATTCGATAGAACATGATAAATCATGAAAAATCTTACCAAGAATATACAAATTAAACCTAGTAAAGAATGTCTTAGCTCATCATACTTTATCCAATCATCTCTATATATCATTCATAGATAAATGCTAGTAGCAAGAAACAAAAAAGAGCCTTATTTGACACCAAATATTAAAAACTTGAAAGATGTTGTGTTATGAAAATTGTTGAATGCAGATTAAGTTTTCTCGAGTTAATGTAAATATTGTGAGTAATATTGAATTTAAACAAAGACAAGGTGTTACTGGACTACTAAATATGGATACAAAAATTGATCACAGAGAATAATCAGAAGAATCAAATATTGAACCAGTTAATATTTAAAGTCACCTAAGAGGGAAAATACGGTGAATAAGACCCAAAAAATTACAATCAACACTGACAATTTAATCTCAATTAGTATCAATTTTCAGTTCATGAATAACATTCACATATTGATTGGTTTGGATCTTGATTTTTCATCCTTTCTAGTAACCTGTGAGGAAAAATTATGTTACAAATACTCGAATTTCTATTAAGCTTTATAGCTAGAAAGCTGAAATTTCCAGGAGATAATGACCAAACTTAAGTCAATACTTGATTTGAATCTGAGTGCAATCCGCATTATAGTTAAAAAGTTATTCACCATTTACGATTTTTTGGACTGATCTTGCAAGCTCGTATTATTCAGCAAAAATCTGCAATAACTTTCTAAACTCATAATTCAGGGCGATCTTAAAGCGTGTAGGTACTGAATTAACACAAGTTGGAATTACAAGAGTCAATTAAATGATTAAGTTAATTTAATTGTCGCTCAGGATTCCGAGTAATTAATCAAAAGAATCAAAATTAAGCTCAAAAAATTCAATGATAGGTATTTTGAAAGCCTCATGGATAATCTCAAATTTAAAATGAACGAGGTGTGGACTAGAAAGGATTGTCCTACATACAAAAGATCCTCCGACCACTGGCTATCAATAGAGCCCTAATTTGAAAATATTGGTTACAACGGTACATCTTTCTTTCACTTTACAATGTATTATATAAATAATGTAATATAAATGCACCCAACATAATTGAGCACATCTGATTAAATGTTACTTGAATTAGATATAATCTAATTATGAACTGATCAATGCTATCCAAGTCAACTATAAAAACGTTTGATTTCTAGTTGAAGCTTTCATTCTTCAAACTAAACCAAAACTGAAGTCAACATTTATATTATTGTGAATCACAATCAACCGTCAATACAACTACCAAAATGCTTAATGTTTCTTCTGTTCTTGTAACTGGTGCAAACCGAGGAATTGGTCTTGAACTTGTTCGTCAACTAGCTTCACTGGAACCTAAAATCTCTCATATTATTGCTACTTGTCGAAACCCAGATGCTGCTAAGGTAAGAAAACACAGATTCAATTTTTTTGTACATTTAAATTTACATTTGTGATTTGTGATTTACATTTTCATTATCATTTAGGAATTGAAAGCAATAGCCAAAACCAGCAATAATGTTCACATATTGAAACTGGAAGTAACTGATTACAACTCTTTTGACGCTTTCTATGCTGAAGTTGAAAAAATTGTTGGTAGCTCGGGTTTGGACATATTGATAAACAATGCTGGAATAGCAATCATGACACCTCTTGATGAAGCCACGCCTGAAGAGTTCATGAAAAATTACGAAGTCAATGTGATCGGTCCCTACGTATTAGCCAGAAAATTAATTCCTCTCATCAAAGTTTCTCAAAGAAAGTTATATATTCTCATGTCATCCATCGCTGGAAGTATTGAATGTACTAGTGAGATACTTGGAGGCTTCCCTGCTTACAGAGCCAGCAAGGTAATATTGAAAAATTCATACTAATAACAAATAATTAGCGATTAGTAGGTTTATTTAGACACGTCAATATTAATCGTTCTTGTCTAACTTTAGGCTGCTATCAATATAATTACTCGAACATATGCTGATTATATCAAGAAGGATGGTGTTACTAGTGTAATGTTGTTTCCTGGTTGGGTCAAAACTGAACTTGGTGGACCCCATGCGATTCTGGAAGCAGATTTCGCTGTTTCTAATATGATAAAAACCATCTCGACTCTTAATGCTGAAAATAATGGCTGCTTCATTGATTATGAAGGAAAGACTGTCCCTTGGTAGGCATTTCTGGTTATCGTTATTTCTAGATTGATTTTTATTACAATTATTGAAACTATGTTGTCTTAATGTACTAAATTAAGTTTTTAACGAAAAATTTCACCGCTTGAAAGTTAACTCTTTACTTTATTTCGAATCCTTATAATTCTGATCTCGGTCTGACCATTTTATTCGTCCCTCGCATTCAACTCCTCACAATATAAGTTTCATCATTGGTCATTGATTTGCTTCGTTGTACTGACTGATGTTGCATGATGTTTTGAAAATTGTAATGTAGATTAGATTTTCTCGAGTTAATGTAAATATTGCGAGTAATAGTGAGTTTAAGTTGATCTAAAAGTTATAAATATCCTGAATATGGGTGCAAAAATTGATCACTCAGAATAATCAATATTTTACTGCACCTAAAAGGGGAAATACGGTGCACTTATTCATCTCTGATTTAATCTTTAATAGCAACAGTTACAGATACTTTAAAGTACCCGGTTAAGGCAATCATTACATTTAGTGTCTTTAGAGCAATTTTCGCTGTAGTTATTTGTAAATTTTTTCAAAATTTACATTATTATTATAATTTATGTATAGCATTGCTATCTGAAGAAATATCACAGGAAAATAGAACTTAAAATCATGATAAACACCGGCAATTTAATTTGAATTTTTTTCAACTTTCAATTCATGAATAACTTTCACATATTGATTGCTTCGCCTTTTGATTTTGTCTTTTCTAGTGCAACAGCACCTCATTAAGACTGTACCTTATAATGTACTCAACATGATTGCTGAATTGATTAAATGTTACTTGCATTAGCTATAAAAATATTTGATTTCTAGTTGAAGCTTTCATTCTTCAAACTAGCCCAAAACTGAAGTCAAGCTTTTTATTATTGAGGATAACAATCAGCTACCAAAATGCTTAATGTTTCTTCTGTTCTTGTCACTGGTGCAAACCGAGGAATTGGTCTTGAATTTGTTCGTCAACTAGCTTCACTGGAACCTAAAATCTCTCATGTTATTGCCACTTGTCGAGACCCAGATGCTGCTGAGGTAAGAAATCGACTATATTTATTTGTACGTGACATTATAATACATTAAAGATATTTATTGTGTTTTTCAACATCATTTAGGAATTGAAATCAATAGCCAAAGCCAACAATAATGTTCATATATTGAAGTTGGATGTAATTGATTACAATTCTCATGATGCCTTCTATGCTGAAGTTGAAAAAATTGTTGGCAACTCTGGTTTGGACATTCTGATTAACAATGCTGGCATAGGGATCGTCACACCTCTTGATGAAGTCACACCTGAAGAGTTCATGAAAAATTACGAAGTCAATGCTGTTGGACCTTACGTTTTAGCCAGAAAATTAACTCCTCTCATCAAAGTTTCTCAACGAAAGTTAATTGTTGCAATTTCATCCACCGCTGGAAGTATTGCGGTTACTAGTGCAATAGGTGGAGGTTTTCCTGCTTACAAACCTAGCAAGGTAATATTGAAACATTCATCCTAATAAACAATAATTTTTGATTAGTGGGCTTAATTCATAAGTCAATTTTAACGCTTTTTTCTTACTCCAGGCTGCTCTTAATATGCTTACTCGAACCTACGGTGATCATGTCAAGAAGGATGGCATCATAAGTGTAATGTTTTGTCCTGGTTGGTTCAAAACTGACATGGGTGGTCCCAATGCAATGCTTGAAACAAGCTTCAGTGTTTCTAATATGATAAAAACTATCTCGACTCTTAATGCTGATTCTAGTGGATCCTTCTTGGATCATGAAGGGAAGACTATACAATGGTAGTCATTTCTGGTTATTTGGCTATTTTTAGATTACATTACATCATTACAATTGTTGAAACTGACGAGAACATCAAAGCCTCCATGCATTAAAATTAAAACTGACAAAAAATGGTTCTTATTATTTCTAACAAGTGGTCACCAAAAGCTGATACTAATACTAGACCATCACAACTTCAGAATTAAATGTTTTTGTGTTCACGTGAAATAAAATCTATTAAAAGTTAACCATGTAATAAACTATTTTTAATTGTTCTGTGGAAGAAAAGCATAAGCAAAAACAATACTTGATTCACATTTCTATTGTTTTATTTTGATTATGTAGAGGCCGGTTAAAGATTATTTTCGTATATTAATTTATTATTTCAATAATTTTTGTGGTTCAATAATTTCAAGTCCATGGTAAGACCTGAGTTTAGGGGTTAGGGAATTTTGCAGCTGAGACAAAAGTTATGCATAGTTTATTTTAAAAACAGTTTTTACGGTTTTATAACCTTATTGCTCTTCACTTGTTTCGGGTTTCGATCATTTGCAATTGATTTCATTTTGTGATAAACAATTGAATCATCAAATCGGGCAAAATGATACAGTCAATTGAACCTTTGATGGAAATCTATTCTTATTGATGGGAAGTTATAATTCAAGTCATCAGAAGCTTGCATAAGTATAGTTTAATCTACAATCACTTTCACTCAAAACCATAACTGTTCCTTCAATTCTTGTTGAAATTTCACAAAATTTACCTGTCATCATTTGAAAAATATTTCTATCAACCTACACAAAAGCCATCTAACCTGAACAACATTCTCTATGTTGCTTTACTTGAAAATTTCAAGAAAAAGATTAGATTTTGTTGACAGGAAAGGAATAAGATTGCCATCAAACATATTTTTTGTTTAGCACAATCAGACAAACAGTAATAAATAAATTAGTTAAATAAAAAATACAACAATGAAAATCAAGTTCTAAATATTCATCTCAATCATTGCTTACTATTTGATTACCTATTGATTACTATTGGTGGATTCTTTTGATAACTTTAACATTTAGAATTAAAATACATAATTTTCTCGCAATATTGATTTAAGGAATGAAACTCAAGAGGTGATAATATTTTTCGGCAATTACGTATCAAGATGAATATTTAGTAACAGAAGATGATAAACTCAATTCCCAAGGTTGTATTATTTAATATGTATAGATTCTATCTAATCATCGTTTTTGAGGACCAGTTGGCCGTCTTCCTCGACCTAAAGGATCTTTAGGATCGATAGGTAGACTCGGACGAACTCCAATCCCATGGTGTTGTTGTTGATAATGTTGATGTTGTGACTGTTGGTAACCTGATTGTTGCTGCCCAGGAGTACCATGATGCTGAGACGAATGTTGAGATTTTTTCTGTTCCAATCCAGCAGCAATGTATGAAAAAACACAGAGAACAGCATAACATATTTGGTCAGCCATCTGAGATCGATATTTTCGCTGAATAATTTGCCTAGTTTTGGGATCTGAAACAGAAACAATTCAAAAAACAAATATTAGTAGTGAAATTAAATTTACTCAAGCAGGGTTGTTAGCGATGACTATCTAATTACGGCCAAATGTGGCGAGAAAAACACCTTGAAAGGCGGAATGAATGAGCTCTGGTAATAAAGCGGTTAAAAAACTTACTGTATTCCTCGAGGACGAAAATTCCTCCTTTTTGAGTAAAGCACTTGCGAATGTTTTCCAGACGCACGAAAAACTATGCCCATGAAAATAATTTGAAGCAATGAAGTTATGATGAAGATAGTAACCGAAGAGAAAGCAAACAAAAAAAAAGAAATACTAATTAGAATTTCTGTGGCAATAAAAACACTTTCCAAATTCAACTTTAATCAAATGATAAAGAATGGGCTTTATAAGGTGAAAATGGTGGAAGGAGATTAAAAAACAAAAGGGTTATTCGGATTAAACAAGATTCACTATCAAAAAACGAAAAATTAAGCATAAATAAGAAACAATTGTTCAAATGCTTAATGATTGTGCAGCTCAACAGATTTTAAACTGTAAGAACAAGTTTAATGGCGAAGCCTGTTGGCGCCGAAACAAAAGAAAAGATTAAAAGAAGTCTCATAGTTCAACTGATGACTTGTCCTGGTTTTTTCCAGACTAGATGTAATGAGTGTTGCTGCTTCTTATACTCAAATTATTTAACGACTTTTCTAAATTCAAAATTGCTAAATAAATTAACGGTTAAATATTCAAGTATCTAATTAATTGGCTTAATTAAGTCACAAATGGTCACATAATGAAAAGCTATTGTTCTGTTATCTACTGCCTTCAAACTAAACATGTGATTGGGTAAGTAACCATTTTGTTTGCTTTTTTCATGATAAATTGTCTGAATATCTTTTTTCTTGTTCTTTTAACAGTTGTTTTAGAATATGTTGAGCCAGGATCTTGAATTACAATCATGTAGAAAACCATGCTATTGTTGTGTTAATTAAATCATCAATATTCTTTAGTGTAAGTACAAACCGTTTTTCTGTGGTATGTAATCCATGCTTTTATATAACTTTGTGCAAGCGAATTGATCACAATGAAGGAACAACAAAAGAGAAATTGTATTTTTAGCTGAAAGACTCAACACCAATTTTATTCTAACCATGTAAAGTAATTGAAATAAATTACATATCTTCTGTTGCTTTTAACCGCCAATTTATATTTCTCTTTACATTAATCATATTTTAATGAGCTCGCTAATTGACATTTTTCTTGTTTTCCTGACTTTAAGATGTTTTAATTCATTTCATTTTCCTTATACTCATTTCTCTTTTGTTTTTTTTCTTGCAAATAGGAAGAAGATTTTGCAACAACCAGTGGGAAAGTGGATTTAAGGAATGCAAAGCTTTCAAACAAGGCTTATTTACAAGCATTACCTAGAACCATATCGATTAAACACAGCAAAATTCAAGGTAAATTGCGAAAATGATGGTTGATTGAATGCTTAGGTGAATAGGGCTGAAAGGGTGAAAGCAGAATAAAATGATAAAAAGAGTGGATTATTCGGGAAAATGATGGTAAGAAATGAAAAGAGTAAAAATTAGCATTAGGTAAAAAAGATAGAGAGAAAATAGATGAAAGTAAATGATGAACTACTAAATATTCTCTAAGGAAGTTAACTTTGGAGATGGTCAGGAAAATGAGTCAGAAAGAATGAGAGAAGAAAGGATGAGGTTAAAATAGAGAAAACAGATTAAGTGTAAAATAACTACCTATAAATCTAATAGCAATCAAATATTAACTAAATGAGTACAAGGATTTAGGGTAAGGGAATGGAAGTGAAATCTCACTAAAATCTAGAAAACAAAAAACTGGACATTACTTTGTTTACGTGAAGAATTGTTTAAATTTGTTGAGATAATGCTTTTAGTATATAATCCCAAGTAAATGGATTCAAAAATTGATATTAATTTTTTTAACAATTGATTGTTCTCAATGTTACCAAGAGCCTGACAATTTGAGCAGCATTTGCCACAAAATCTCTAACATGTAAACCTTAAGCAATTGGACTGATTGACTTTTCTTTCTTCAGTTTCTTCTAGGTTCTGCAAAAGCATTTTATCATCTCTAGAAAAGCATGGAAGGATTTCCAGTAAAGACGCCAGGAAGCTTCTCGTTTTTGTTTGATACCTGATAATTTGTTTTATTTCAATGAGAGTAGAGAGTTGAGGAAAAGTGGAAACAGTTGAAGGCAAAGTTTGGAAGGTGTCAAGGAAGCGGATGCAAAGACTAATTTCAGACTTTTCAAGGTACAACAGGATATTTGACAAGAAAGGGAAAAATTGTGACAATAAAAAATAACGAGGGAGGATTGGAGGAATTAACGTTTATAAAGGAGAAAGATGGTCGGATGGAGAGTTATACAAGGATGGGAAAGAAATGGCAAAAATGGACAAGAGCAAACACGATACAAACTAACTACATTGGTACTACTACAACTACTGTTACAATGAAAAAAACTACCGAGTCACAAAGGTTTCTTGTGTTCACTTGCTTGCTCAGAGGTATTTCATGATATAAAGTTATATCAAACTTTCAATTTGTAAAATAGTAGATAAAGGATTGTTAAATATGATAGTAATTCAAAAAAAGGGAATTGTGAATACATAATGTTAGTGTTTTTGTTTAGTTTTGTGAGTGTGAAAGTGTGTAAAATGTGTAAATTATGTGATTGAATGTGAAGTAAAAAAAGAAAAGATAGAGATAGTGAGGTAGAATAAATGTTAATTGTTTGTTGTTAACGAATAATACCTCAAAGTCCTGGGTATAGTTGGAAGATGATCAATTTATCAGAATCATTTATCCCGTTTTACAACCCGTTAAGATGGTTTTGTACGAATGGACAGTATATAAAGATAGAAAGAGAAACGTAGGTAAAGAAAAGTGTTGGAAAGGTATAGAAATGAAATAATTGGACAAAAAATCGAACAATAATAATAAAGAGAAATGATAAGGAAAATAATTGAATTAAATGGAAAGAAACATAAATTTTTATAAGGATTTAGAAGAGAAGGATTGAATTGGCATGGAAACAGGAGGAGAAGAAGAAGAGAAAAGAAAGAAAACTTCGAATTATTATACGACATTCACAGTTATTAAGTTTAATTTAATTTGCTTTTTCAGTAAAATCTACCCAATTACTTTATCTCTAATAATACAAACTGATTAAGATTATGAATCGGCCAAATGATTCAAAATTAATTAAATATCTTTTTTCGTCCCTTTTATATTCAGGAAAACAGGCTAATCTCATGTTTACTGGAATAAGAGTCAGAAATTGGATGTAACTTTTTTCTGAAGACTTCAGGATAAGATAGTAATGAATAAAAGGTAATAAACAAAGGGTAAGTGATGAGGAGATATTTTTCTTTCTGACCATTGTTCCTAGATTATTGTTGATTAACTGTTGAATTGAGTTTTCTTTTTTTCCGGTAATTGATAAGTTGGAACAATGTCTTGATAACTTTATTTTTTTCTTGTCTTTTCAGATTCAAGTTGTTGTTCAGGGAGTAAATTAGGACAAATGGAGTGGGAAAGAAATATTTTAGGACCATCTCAAAAGTCTCTTCACTTGGAGTTAATTTTAAAGGTGTTTGGCGTTGATTATCCAACCCAAGGGTTAACAGATATGTCTTTAGAACTGAAATAACTATATTGGCAAAACCTGGACAACTTGCGACTATTTTCTCAAGAATCGTAATTTTACATGAATACAGTTGTGGTACTTATTAAAGATCAAAATTGGGATTGGCGAAGAAAAATTGAAAGTGATGAAAATGAAATTTTCAGGACAATTTTCATCCTTGACTGATAGAAACAAGACAAAAAAGGAATGGAAAACCGAGAATTGATATAACGAGACATAACCATGGAAACAAAAAATTAGATCAGGGAATTTCATTTTCTTTTGTTTATCAGTTTCGTAATGGAGTTTACTCTTTTGATTATTTTTTTGTATCATAGTGTGAAAAAAGTAAAGGTAATGATGGTAGAGAATAGACATGGAAGAAACAAGTAATTGAATCAAATGGAAAATGATTTCTTTGATTGTTTTGTTTTGATCGTTCGCTTGTGTTTATTAGCTTTAGTGAATGTCGCGATTTGGAAAATCACAAAGATGGGATTTAGCCAAATGGATATATACTTTTGTTTTCGTGCGGATGCATTAAAAAGAATCAGGTTTAACAGAGAAATTATAGTTATGGAAGAAAAAATTTCATGAAAAGGTTTATAGATAGGATTAAGTTTCCAGAATGATAGATTAATGAAAGATAATTAGCATATATTTTTTCATAGAATGACTTCTGTTAAAAATGAATTCATTAAAATTGAATTATGTTAACAGCAATCTTTTTTTGGTGCTTTATTAATTAAATAGTAAACTCTGATTAAACTAGAAAAAAGGGAAAAAACGATTCCTACTCATCATTGTATCAATTTCTTGTCTGTTCAAGTCTCTAATCTATCGAGGTAACAAAGAGTTGAATTGTTGTGCCTGTTAAAAAGAAGCTGCATATTTAATAATTAATGATAAAAAATTATAAATTAGGAAGCATTTCATTCTATTACTCGTTTTGCTATTATCAGGGCTGTTAGTAATTAAACTTGTTTTGAGGAATCCAAAAAAATGAATTTTCTTCTCCTGAACAAACTAAATGTTGAGGAAGAAATTGATGATAATCAAGATAATCAATCAAAAGGTGAAAAAAGGAGAAGAGATTTTTGAGTAGGTCCTTTCTTAGCTATCAAAATCAGGTAATCTATCAGAACATAGGACTGGAAATCAATTAAAAACAATGAACAAACAAGAAAATATTTAAAATATTTAAGTCCAACCAGAAAAGTTAGAGAATATTTTTCTTGTCAAAGTGTTTAAGATATTCAAGTTACATGATAATAAACTGATTTTGACTTAATTTTTAAGAATAATTTAATAGTTTCTCTTTCTCTTGATGGTTGAACAGTTGGTAAATTAATGAAAACAATGGCCTCCTTTTCAAATAAACATTTCCTAATCTTGCGAGTCGAACTCTAATCAATATTTTCAACATTAATAGTTGATAATTTAATATATTGATTATATTGGTTGTAATAATTGGTTTTAATAATATTATTCTTATATTTTTTGCAGATTCATTAAGCTAAAATGGGTCACGTACCTTGCTATAGGCAAAGAGGAGTCCAACTCCCTCCATACACACTTGCAGCAAGCCTCCCTCGCCTGATTTCATATCCTGAACCGGAAACTCACCACCGAGCTCCGTTCCTAATAATGAATGGACGAGAAAAAGATACAGAGAAAATTAGAATTATTAATCAAATTATTGGTGAAGATAAACCTGAAACTGGTTGCAATACAATCTGATTAGATTGTTATTTGGTTCAAGGCAAAAAATTAGGATAACATGATATTACCAGGTAAGGCACCAGCTCCTTTTGCTGCGGCTCTTTCCATTGCATTTTTTATACAATAGTAAAGCTCTTTGCATTTTTTGGTATGATATTTGTGTAATTGGGTCATTCCCCCGTTTCTCCGCCAAAGGCACAGAACTTTGTTCTTAGGGGAATAAGTCATGTTGACCAGTCTCTCGTACCACCAGCGTTCCACTATGGTTCCGTTTATGCTTCTCAATATGAGACCATCATCACGTACCTCCATGAACAACATGTCACCAGATGTATCTGTTCCCATGTGAATTGTAAAGGTTTGACGATGCATTTGACGGCTGGCCAAAGGTTTTAAATCAACATCATTTCCATGAAGGTTTTCTATCTGTTCAAGTAAACTATTCACCTCATCTGAATAGATAACACCAATATGACATTTACCAAGTAAACGACGAACTTTACGCTTAATCTCAGTTACATCAGCATTCACCATGATCATGAAGGCCGTCATATTGTAAAGTAAGGTGGACAGTAATCGATCCTCTTCATGTTCCAAACGTTTCTTGTCAATGTCAGATAAAGATCTATACCTATCCATCATTTCTCCTGGACCTTGATCCATTCCAACAGATTCTCTTTCCTGTGAAACTGCATCCAGAAAAGCATCCTCCCAAAATTGCATCTTATCCCATAAAGGTGACCTATCTTTTCCCAACAAACCTTGAAACAGATAAGTTCGAGGTGGTTCAGAGGTAGGAACGGTTGAGCCAATGAGATTACCTCCATGATATCGGAAACCAGTACTAACACTACTTTTACTGCTCCAAATACTTGGAGCACGAGATTGCCTTCCAAGATCCTATTAAAAGTCAGAGATTGAGATAAATCAGAATAAATTGTTTATAAGTAAATTGAATGAACATTAAAGTCGTATCGCTTGATTTAAAAATACAAGTTCAAATTAACTTACCGTATCTAATTCACTATCAGAGTATGTTGATCTACAAAGTGATTGGTTTAATCTTTGACCAATGTAATAAGTTGGATTGACTGTCATTGAACCTGATTCACTGGCATTACAACTTGTCGCAACTGTTTCTGTCCCCGCCTCAGAAACTTCAGACTCGATGCTGGTTAATCTTGATAAAGGAAGACCTTTACTTGAAACTTGTTGTTGTTGATGAGATTGAGCCAAAGTACTTGATTCATCACTTTCTGATGCTTCTGGTGATGGAGTTAATGCTAAATTAGTTGACGTAATTGGTAATGTTTTAACCGATGCGCTTATGTCTGAAGTTGGTGTTGGTAAATCACCCATTCCCGCTCCACTGCCACCAAGTTTGTTGAGGTTATCGCTACTGCCAAATGGTGAACTACTTTGACTCACGGACGCTGTTGTGGCAACACTGGATTCTCCTTTATTCCCATCTTCTCCAGAATCTTTTGCCCAATAATGGGTATGAGCAATTTCAAGAACGCTAAAAGCGCTCGCCATTCCTCCCAGTCCATTGTGCATATAAGACTGTTCCAATCCATGAATCATGGCTCCTATTAATTTGAGCATTCCCTTCCAAACTGGTTTACTCAAACAAACGTCTTCAATGTGATCATCTGGACCAACCTTTCTTTCAAGTGTCTTATTCAATCCAGAAACTACGAGATTGCGATAACTCTCTTCTTCCATTAACTTTTTGATTCGATTTAATTTCAACCAGGAAACTCCTTCTCCTTCTAACACCGAGTTAACCACTTCTTTCAAAAATTGTTGATTCTCACTGAATCAATAAAGTAAAGAAATTAATCATTCAATAAATATTAAGTTCAAGTAAATTATAGTTATTCAGGATGGATTGCTTACCTGTGAGATGACCGTGATTCACCTGACTTTGATAAAATATCAGAAGGTCGTCTTTGTCTATTCGTATTATTGCTATGTTTAATTAGGGACGTTCGTTCAACTAGACCTTTACGACCTAAAGTATGGAAATAAAATGCAATGTAAAATATTATATTGAGTTTTCTTAATTTTTGTGATAAAATATTAGCTGACCTTTAGGGAATGGACCAAAACGTTGAGCCTTTTCACTCATTTTCTCAGCTAAACCACTAGCCTTGGACCCAAAAAGACCTGATAACATATTGGACGTTTTATCAGCAAATCCATTAAAATCATTACTGACACTTGAAATGAGAGATAATGATGAAGTAGAATCTGAACTTCTCCCGTGAGTGGAATGAGTCTCATCTCGATCTTGACTATTTCTCCACAAATCTTTAGCTTGCTCTTTCATTGGTTCACCCAGAGCCTGAAGATTTTTGAGCAACTTTTTACGCCCAACCTCTTTCTTGGTAGCTTCAAGAGCACTTTTACTTGCTCCAACAGCTGCAGCTTTCGCCTCCCTGGCTACCTCTTTAGCTTCCGATTTAAATTTATCAAGAAAGGACGAAGGAGAAGTTGAGCTTGAAAGACTTTGAGATGCACTTGTACCGCTAGGAATGGTATTTGCTAAAGGCCCCGTTCTACTGAAAACACTGGATATGCTTATGGTTCGACTTAGAGTGGGTGATGAGCTAGCAGAGTTACTACTTTTCTCTAATGAGGGTTCAGCTGAGAGAGGACGATGATCAGCTAAGGCAATCTTGTGATGTTGTGGTGTACCACTTCGACTTTGACTTGACCCAGTGGTGGTAGACATTGCACCGGACTGAATACCTGAGGTTGTTGAACTTGTCATCTCAGTTACTTTGTTGTTCTCCAAACCTTCCAATTCAATTGGACTTCGTGAAGATGATTTATGATGAGGTTGAGATGAGAGAGATGAAGAAGATGATACAGAAGATTGCGCTAGTTGAGGCTCTTGAGGTGATAAATTCAATTTACTCGTAGATGAAGGAGTCAATGTTGTCGGAGTTGACCGTAAAGTGGTTCTACCTTCACTTTCCTCAGTAAACTCAATAGACTTTGCCTCATCATCATCATCAACAGCATTCTCGTCATCATCTTCATCAATTGATTGACTACTTGTCGATGAAGAGGAGCGTCCAGGAGATGAAGAAATTGACCTTCGACCACTTCGACCACTTTCCTCTTCCTCTCGTCGATTGCTTCTATTAATTTCATGAGTAGGTGTGGATCTACGGGAACTTGGGAGTTGAAGGGTTGATGGTGGGTGACAAACAGCTTTAACGTCACAAAAAAGTTGACTAGAAGTGGAATCAATAACATGGCCTGGAAAAATGAAAAAATAAATTGAGTTAAAATAATTGATCAATTGATCAATTGAGCCGACTATTTACCTGATCTATTTCCATCAATATCGCTATTAACAAGTTCAGTGACAAAATCACTGAGAGATGAATAAGATGAACTTGTACTTCCATCAGATTCAGTTGAACTATCATCTGAAGTACCCTGAGTTAATTGACTAGTCGTTTCTCTTCCTTTTGTCAGCGAGTCTCGTCGGAACGCATAGAAAAGTGGTGTTTTAGGATCAGACCAACATTTGAAAACAATTGGATCCAATTGATGACTATACCACTTGGCCTTATCGCCAACAATTGATGGATCAAAGACTCCTGTATGTACCCTCAAGAAGGCAACATTGCTTGGACTTAAAGCCCATTCAGCAAAATATTCAACCGCCTAAATTAGAAAAGCAAAAAGTGTGTTAAATGCTGTTCTTTCTAATGATTGCTTTAATTGTTGTTAATTGACTCACCTGTGTTCTAACAAATTTTTGTAGGAAGACTGATGTTTTAGGTCGAGATTGCAGGAAAGAGTTAATTTGAAAGGCAACAACTGGTCTTGGGTAAAGTTTAATGGTTCGTGTGTGTTCAGTGAAATTTGCCAACAATGAAGATGAATTAAAGAAACGAATCATGGCCACTCGAGTGGCAACATCAACTGAATCGACATCATTTCCAAATATGATTCGTTGGGATGAGGGCGATGAAGATGGAGAAGAGAAACTGAGCCTTTCAGAGACATTCATACTTTCAGGGTGACGGCGATCTAAATTTTTCAAGGGTTGTGGACTCATACTCATTGAGTGTAAAGCTTGTTTCAAGTGATTTGCCAATATACTTGTTTCTGGTTCGGGTAGAGGAGGAAGATCATCGGCTGCAGGAGGTTTAAGCACTCTGTTTGAATCTAGATCAACTAACCAAACATCATTGGGCAAACGAAAGTTACGTTTGAACATTAAAAAACTCGCTGGAATACCGATTATGTATGGAGTTGGAGCAAGAAGTAACTGGTTAAGATGGTTAATAGGTGATTAGGTGGTGAAAGAAAAGGAAAAGTGCAATTGATATTGATGATTTATTAGTAAAGTTAATTTAGCTTGCCAAGAAGCTTGTTAGTTGGAAATGATTAATTTTACTTTTTCAATTTTTCCAAATTACTTACCTGTTCAGCAGATTTCATACAAGTTGGTAAAAGAGGTATCACAGGAAACATGTATTCAAGCGGATAAATCATAGTAACAAAAGCCATTACACTCATGGACAAGGCATTATAATCACGAGATTGTAAAATAATTTTGTGCTCCAATAAAATGCAGGTTAATACTTTTAAACAAGTTTCCACTCCCAACAGTTCTAAAGGTAAATGCAACGGAAAATCGACCAAAGAAAATCGAGTGTGATCAGGAAGTGCCAAAACCAAAGGGTTGATGAAATCTCGGGGTAAAAACTCCATCTAGAGTAAAGAAACAAATCAGATTAATAAAAACCCACACAACTTGAAGACATTTTTGATTCAATTGAATTTCCTTCTTTTTTCAATGTAATCATTTTATTAAAATATATTTTTAGTTGATTAACCATTAATATCTTTGATATCACCATGAAGATATCACTCTATAAGCTGTTGATATTGAAATAGGTCACACCATTATCAAGTAAAGAGATGATCAGAATTTTGCATTCAAAATGGCATTGCTTTTACGTCTTACAGCAGATAAGTCAATCATGATTAATTCAGAATCTACATGCCAGAAATATCCATAGAAAAGTTGAAAGTTGTTGAAATAAAGTCAGAGATCAAATTATCATAGACATTTTAATGAGTAATCGTTGAAAGACTCTATAATCCTTCAGCTAAAATTGATTAAGATTACTGATGAGACCATTAAGAGCAAATTGAAAATATATTGAGAATCTATTAGAATGAACATAAATCGCAGTTCATTGATTGAATCATCAGAAAAATTAGCTATCCATTGAACTCCCCAAAAAACACTCAAAATTTGATATTCATTACATGTTTCTAATAAAATAAAATATGAAATGAAAATATAAAAAAGTCAAAACTGTAAATTGATCAAAGACAATTTAAAGAGTCACTTTTGTATTTTTGAGTGTATATTGGATAAGAATTTTTCCCTGAGTTATTTTTCAACGCTATTGGCATTTCAACCTTCATTATAATTCAATCAAATAGGATCTATTTATGATAACAATTTCTGAATGTGAAAAGAACTGCAATTGAAATTTTTTCAACCAAAAGATGAAACTGAAATGCGACATTTCTTTCAATTTTATTGAATACAAGTTGAAATCTGGATTGAAGAGATAAAATAATGTCCATCATTGTTATAAACTCCATGTTTCCTTTACCATGTAACATTCAAATACCTTTATAGACGATTTAAGAGTTGCTGTGAAAGCAACATCACTTTGACCTACTTCTATAGTTTCTTATTTTTTCACTTTATTCTTGATATTGTGGCTCTTTACAGTAACAAGTAAATTCAATAAAATAGAGACTGAAATAATTTCTAGCTGGCTAAAAACTGTTCCCATGTTTGTCCACCAAACAAACGAAATAAGAAACTTGACCAATACAAACATAAATAACCACCTAAGGGTAAACAATATTAATCAAGTTTCCAATCAAAATGCATCATGATTGTTAAGAGCCTAATGAATCAACCACCAACAGTGTTCAGCATAAAGATACAATTAACCAGTTTCTGGTTAAAATAGCTTTCGAATCATAAAATCATTGAATTCATTGGAAATTTTTCAATCAAATGAATTGCACAAAAAAGAGTTTTAAAATCAATTTGAAATTAACATTAAAGGTAATCAATGAAGGTAACATCAAAATTGGTCTCATTGCAATATAAATTAGGAAAAGATATTTTCAAGATTCGTCAGAAAATGAAACTTATCATTTTTTAATGAATTTTCATGGTTATTAAGTTCTGCTTGATATTACAGATTTTTTCATTGTTGTCTTTCAGCTATTTGGCAAGAGTTTCTTATTGTTATTCATATTATCGATCTGTTTCATTTCTCAACAATCTTTTTTTAGAACCAATGATAAACAGAGAAATCGATGAAAACTGAATTTCTCTTTGTTGTTTCATGAAAACTGATTGATGGTGAAATCAACTTAACTTATTTCTTACTGTAAATAACCAATCAAAAAGCCATCACAAATTTACCAATGCAAATGAAACCAATTTTCAATGCAACTTCAATGTAAACCATTTCCATCAACTTTATGTATCAACAATCAATAAGTTAAATCAACAGTTTTCATGCAACTCTCATCAATACTTTCATCTAAACATGAAGATCAAGTTATAACAATAACAATGAATTACCATTCCAAATGACCATTTAATTAAGATTGTAATAAAGATGTTTCACATTTCCTCTTATCATCAAAGTTAATTAGGTTTCATTTAATCAAGAATCCCTATTTATTGATTATCAATAACCTAATAATGAATCTCAGGATAAATTGTGATTGTGCGTTTTCCGTATTTGCAAATGTGTTCATGAAAGGAAAAGGATTCAATGATTCAATTTGGATAAACTCAATTCATCATTCACATCGTTTACGTTTAATTTTACTTTTCTCATGCAAATGAATGAATGGATTCAATCAAAATTTCCAATGATAATCGAACCATCAACATTGAAAACTCAATTCAACACAATTTTTTCCCTTTCATACTTTCACTTAACTTTTCCAGTTAAATCACATTCACAATTGTTTAGATTAAATCATCCAAATTCAGGTTAACATCATGGGAAATAATGAAATTGAAATTGAAATTGGCCAAAAAGTGTGAAAAGAATGTTGAAAATTGTTGCTTTAAAATACCATTTAAATTGTAAGATTAACAAATTGACAAATGTTGATATTGTTGAACATATAAAAAGCAATGAACAGCAACTTGCTTCAAGTGTATTCAATGAATAAATTGGTTCAATTTTCAAGAGATAATCAATGAGATTTATATTGTGCTCAATAAACTTGTCAAATTTCTTATTTAATACAGTAATATTGAACCACCATTTTATGATAAATAACATGGTAGTGAATAAAGGTTGAATTCAGTGAAATTAAAGGCAATCAAATGAACAGAATCACTTCAAATTTTCCTTCCAATCCTATCATTTTTTTGATACTTTTTTACATTTATTTTACTTTTATTCAAGACTTCATTTTGTGGTTCAAATTTTCAAGAGCCTTTCAAGTAATCTGTTTGTTTTGTGAAAATTTTGCTTCATTTGATATCAAAGAATCTTGTGGTTCAACAGTAAATGATAATGTGTTGAGCAGTAAATGATAATATGTTGAACTTGAAATGAGCATTCATTATTTGCTAATCAAGTTAGCTTTTCCAATAATAGTTGACAATCAAAATGGGTTGAAATCAATTATGACTTAAATTGAAACATCTGTTCAAACAGGATTGAATTGTTATTTTGGTTGGATTATTCAAATGATATGTAAAGATGCTTTGTTCAGCTTTATCATTACGATCTTGATATCTATCAATGGGCCAATTTGCTAATTTATTGATTCAATTGTGTGATGAAAGGTGATTTGTTTTTTGATAAATCTAGTTATTTGTTGGTAAAATAAAGATATAAGGAAACTTATTGCCATTGTGAGACTGGTTGGTAATGTTAATTTGTCGATGGTAATGAAAGACAATTCAGGTATAATAACTGGAAGTGTTGAAATGATAATATTTTACCCTTAAGTGTTGTATTTTGGATACAAAATATGGCGATGACAAGTTTCATGTTCAACTGAATATGGTGACATTAGAAAGGTTTGCTTCAATGTTGATAATTAAAATGCTGATCATCACTTTCAACTTGCCATTAAAGATATTTTCCTATTTTTTTTATTTGCCTGACATTAACACACATTAACTGAATGTTATTAAATTAAATGCTATTCACAATTGGAAAGCACTGAAGGGAAAAAAGATGCAATAATGGTTAATTCAATTTACACAATTACAGCATTTAATATTAATAACCATAAATTGTAGCTTATGCTGGTTATAAAGTGTTTGGTAAACTGATCATTTCTGGTAATTCAATTGAAATCAAAAATGACTTTAAAAATAATACCAGATTCAATTAATAATTCAACATTTGATTCTTACCTCTACTTTGGTTTTACCAGGAACAGGTACAGGTGCTGATAGAAAGCGAAGTAAAAGTGTTTCAATGTCCTTAAGATCGTTGATCATGGCTGAAGGTATTTCAACATTATCAGGTAAACCACAGGTCAAAAGATTCCAAACCCAGTCTCTGAAAAGATAATCAAGAAAAAAAGGAAAATTGATTTGGGTTATTAGCTGAGATTGAAGGTAAAGTCAGGATAAGAGTTGAATTGAAATAGTGTTGATAATATACGAATACATGGACATGGGAATCAACAGAATCTAATTTAAATGTATAACATGAACCTTAATGTCCAACTGTAATTGGAGTATTGGACCGTTTAATCTGCAATGCAATTTATTCTTGTTCACTTGATTGTTTGATTGAGGAATCAGATTCAGTTCATCAAAGACGGAATAAAAAAGAAGAAGAAACAATAATGTTGATTGAATACAGATTGACTTTCAACCATTGGTTATACATTTGAATTGAGCTCAGCTTTGGTCTTATTTCCCCATGAATTCAGTGTTGATGAAAAACAAAATCACCTCAACATTGAATAAACATGAGCTAAGGCAATGACGCCAATGTAATGCAAATTTTATGGAGATCTATTTTTTCTTGCCTTTTACAATATTAAAACCCAAATTAACCTGACTTTCTAACCCAAATTTAACCAGTTTTTTGAGGCTTTTTAAAAATTAAACATTCAACAAAATAATTTATAATGTTTGTCAAAAATTGAAATCATTTTATCAAAATTATTTCTATTAAAAACATAGTTATTATATTATTAATGTTACTGCTCTTTTAGCATCATCATTGTTGAACCTTATCATGCATAAGTTAAATTAATCTGCTCCTAGGAATATTGAATCAGAATGAAAGCGTAAAGAATGAAAAGATAATTGAGATAATTTTATGAAAATTAATCAACATTGACAGAAACAGTTTGATAATTATAAGTAAATGTGCGAGTTGATCATCAAGAGCAACCATTTGACCTAACATTTAAGGTTACCAGTTTTGGTAGTCTTGAAAGAGTTAACATTCATTCCCATTGGAATTGACAGCAATTCATTTAATCATAATTATACCAATCATGTACTCTTTTTATCTGTATTCACGTTTTTACCTTTACTTGTCAGTAAAATTGAGTTGCTTTTCCCTGTGAATATTCAATTGAATTTTGTAAATTATTGTCAACCATTAGAATTGGCAAAATAACAAGCAAAATGATAATGAGAGTAAATCAATTAGAATGGATTAAATTAACTTTCAGATTAATTGGATTTTACTTTTCACAGATGAACTTTTTGCATTCCATTGATAATCTTTATGAATATTCAGAGAGATATTTTTGGCAAGATCAGATGAAATCCAAGTAAATTAAAGTGATAAATCATTCCTTTATGATGAAAGCTAGAAGACAAATTTAATTACCAATTGAACTTATCACTAGCCAGACTTGATAATAGACATTTCACTTCAAGCATTGATATAATTTGTCAAAGGAAAAGGTCAAAAGTGAATCTTTTCAAGGGAATATTTTTCAATATAAAATGACCACAACAATAAAATGTCCTCTAAATGTCAATCCATGAATTGGGAATAAAATAAGTTGCATTGAATGGATAGGTTAAAGTATCAAATTAAGGGTGTTGAAAGTAAAAGATATCACAGTGGGATTGAATGTTATTTAACAGCTAAGTTTGATAATTATAAGGTTGTAAGGTTGTCTAAGGTGAGACTTACCTTTTTAAATACTTTGAGGAGGTTCGCTGTTTGGAATGCCTTTCATTACAATATTCAATTGATTTTTTAATGATGAAAAGGCAATCCCTGAAGGTCGAGAAAAATGGATGATGGCTTATGATACAGATGGAGGTTAATGAGTTGATGTACGATGATTGACTTTTACGTCTTTTCCGAGCTTTAATCGATTTCTCAGATTCTTTGGTTCCATCTTCGCCTTGATTTTCACTCCTTCCAGTAACACCTGAAATACCCTTATCTCGTTTACTTTCACCGCCCTCACTGGTTCTCCTTTCCTTCTCATGACCTGTTTCCTGGTCTTCATCGTCTTCACCCTCGTCTGATTTTCCATAACCAGGGTTTTGGCCCGTACCACTTGCCAGGTTATCTCTGTCTTTGCTTGATAACCGGTGTTCACTTTTACCAACCTTCTGGTTTCATTTATTGGTTGACATGAAAAATAAGAAAAAAAAAAGATATTACTTTCTATTAAAAGGTAAATATGATTGGTATTAAATGATCAATCAATAGGAAGTCACAGGAATAAGCTAACCCTGAAGGAATCAAATCAAGAGGAAAGAAAAGAGATAAAGAGTAAGATCATCAGTATCATCATTTTTGCCAGTAAAATCAAATCAATTTTGTATTAATCATTTATTCGGAAAAATTTTCTCCTTTTGTTGCTTTCGATGGTTGATTTTTTGATCACTAGATTCATCTAATTCAACTTTTGTTGTCAAAAGATTGATAAGATTGCAGTTTACAAGAAAAGGCAAATATTGTTTGCTCCAATGATCAGTCTGATGGTCTATCAATTTTGAACAATCCAATAACCCAAATAAACCTAGGGTCAAGTGTTTTTGTCAAAATTTATCTATTGTTATTACATTCATAACATAATCCTACACTATTTTCATGGTAAAAAGGATAATGTCTGCCATTGGTATATTTAAGTTAATTGTAACTTTCTTTGCCTGATCATTTCAAAACTAAAAGACCCTTTCAATGAACATTTTATTGATATTACATTGAAACGTCATCCATGAGTGATTATTTTACTTTCAATCAATACTTATGCTCGATGTTATTAGACATGTAATGTTATTGTTTCAAATGGTTGAATCAACAATAGAACCGTTGGATTGAATATTTTTTAAATGGCGGTTAATTAAGAAAAATGAAGAAGACGATAAAATTTTGTATATTAACAATTAATGACACGTTGAAAAGATTGACAAATACAAATAACAGTAAACAGTAAATCATAGAGATATGTGATTTGTTTCATCAATCATTGGAAAAGGTTCAAGGCTTTTTTAGGTAGAGTTTTAGGAAATAGGTAGGAAAGGTAAAAGGAAATTAGATTCATCATGAATTGGGTAAAAATGAACTAACCTTTGCTTCGATTGTTCGGTAGAAGTTGATACAATTTCCATAACGAACCCGATTGGTATCTTTTTCGGTAAGGGCAAAAACAAATGAATTGGTTTCACGAAGGTTAAGGCGTCGGTGACCAACGGTACTGCAACCTTCAGGTTGACAGAAGAAGACGACGTCAAGTGGTAAAGCAAAATCTTTATGGTCTTCTATTGGATATCTTCGAAGTAGTTCAGGTACATTAACTGAATTATGGCTAGAAGGATTTTTTACACCAACAATAACAATGTAATCAACCAGTCGAGGGCAAAAATATTTACTATTCACAGTCTCAACCATGTTTGGTGGATCATTATACTCTCCAAGTTGGTGAGGATGTTAAATAGCAGATTGGAAATATTGATCATTAAGGCCTCGCTTAGTTGATAAATTTTACGTGTACATTATATTAACAAAAAAAAATCTTATTCTTTGGGTGAAATGATCAAGTTGACAATAGGTTTAAAGGCAATGGAAGACAAAAATTTTATTTCAGATTAAAGATGGCGCTTGCAAAAGCATAAGCGAAGCCAGGCTTCGCTTAATTTTACTTCTAGACAAATGAACAATCAATAGATGGCATTGTCAAATTACTTTTTTGCCTCTAAAATACAGATTAATGAGCATCAAAGTAAATCAAAGGTTTATGTAATTTGATCTTCTTAATTCATCTATAGTTATATAATCAAAATTCACCGAAATCTTAGTTTAGTTAATCAATGGATCCATCAAAATGAGATACTGCGTGGACAAAAATAGGTTGGAATCTTATTACATTAACAAGTAAAAGCAACCCATGAAATGTCTGAGTTCATCTTGTTGTTATTTCAACTCCATTTAAGCCTTTGAATGTGCATATAGAAATGATCATTTATCATTTGATTTGAATATTTTTCTACTTTCTTGATCCAAAGTTCAGTTAAATAGCTTTGTTTCAATTCATATATAACCATTATTGAATACTCATTAAATCTACAAGATTTATAATGGCAACCAATAGTCTTATGGCCATTTCATTGTTGCCAGTTGAAGGCATACTTGAAAGCTTCAGTCGGATGTCTAAAGCAATTTTGAGCTGTCATTTGATTATTTATATATTATTTACATTATTAGTTTTGTTATTCTTAGCTGAGTGTTTGGCTAAAAATGACAAGTCATCATGTTATGCAAGAAGAATTCAATTAAATCTTATTGTAACTCATCGACAGCTATGATTAAAGCATCATTAGTAACTTGTTATGTTAATACACTCCACTATTCTCTTAAAGAAACGTTTTTTACTCTTTCTTTCTCGACTATCTCTTACTTTCTCTCTTACTTTTTTAGAAGAAAGGTTTCCTTAAGAGGGTAGTGGTGTGTAAGTGATAAACTGGGAAATAACGTGGATGATAAGAAGGGTGAAAGACATTGATTTGTGTATTTTGTTTGGTTTGTTTATTAGAAAATAGGACGAAAAAATATCAGAGAAGATACAAATTGAGAAGGAAAATTGTTGATTACGAGGTGTTTCTGGTGTTGGTCTGATTTCTTTTCGTCACATTCAATGATTAAGAGATAAGCTGGTTTCGTTTTAATGTAAAGGCATCTAATGTTATAAGTATTAATTAAATGCTGGCCAAAATCATCAACTATTGAATAACGTCAGACTCGGGGTAAATTGAATTGTCTCTTTATACAATATACACAAAAAAGTTAGCTTCTTTAGTCAAGAGTTAGCTTCTTGCGATTCCAAGGGGGGCTGTTTATATGTTTGGCAAATCTAGAAGTAAAATACATTTTATCCCAAAGTAGGTTTGCTTTATTAACATCAACTTTACTATATCATCCATTGAGTATTTACTCCAATGACTGGCATCTGAAATGTCAATAAGCTGACAGGATAAAAAAAACTAGGATAATAGGTGATAGGAATTAGCATTTAACTTACATCATGAGGGGAAAACAATTCTCTTGACTTTTTTTAACGTCCAACATTGGGTTAATGATGAGTAGAAGAAGAAAGATGACAAAGAACAGTAAAATATGGAGGAAAATCTGTACATAACTAATAATTAATTTTGTTTTTTGTTTCTCAGGATCACAAGCAATGTAAATGGTCTGTAAAACATTAGAAAGATGGAAAGAAAAAGACAAAATTTGATCAAGGAGAAGCCTTGAAAAACGAAAAGTTCATCAACAATTATGTTAATGGTTTAAGAAGAATAAGAATAAGGGATTTTGTATCATGAGGAGATAGAAAAAATGATTACAAAATAACTGTGTAAGACTGTTTTGTTTTCATCTTAATTGGAGATAACATTCTGTTAATTCAAGTTGTGAGTTGTTTTGCTTTCTTTTTTGTATTAGCACTTTGTTGTTTCCTGATCAACTAGATCTTCCTCTTCCTTATTTGTTTGATATTTCTTTAGCTTTATTAATTTCTTTAATTATATTACCATCACCTTAAATTTAACTCGTTTGGTTTCCTCTTAGAATCTGGTTGAGTTTTGTTTTTTGATTGAATAAACGAAGCATCTATGTTGAATTTAAGTTCATGTAATAACAGGTGTGTATTACGGTAGCTGATTACATGCTCTGATCTATTACATGAAGAAGTTTGATATGCGTGTTTAAACTAATTTGTTAATGAATCGATGGTAGTGTTGATGCTGAGTTGGCGATGGTAAAATTTAGTTACTTGTTGACCATGATTGATTGAGATGAGTTTGGTCTTCGAATGAAAATTATGGTGAGTTTTGTTTTTTGATTTGATTTTTAAATCAATAATTATTATTATTAATAGAAGTATTGATTGTTTATAATAGTCACTTATTACTCAATGGTGTTTCATTAGATACAAACAGGGTTTTGTTTAGCTAAGGTTTCAATCCGTCTCCAGGCTTCCTCTCTAGCTTTCTCCTTCATTTTTTCATCTTGCACTTGATTTCTGTAGCTTTGAGCACATTCATCAAATAATTTTTGATTCATCTCGGTGAAAAGTTTTAGCGCGTTATAAACCAATCCATGAATTGTTTTATTCCAATGGGTTTTAGAGTTTTGAAAAAGAGCAGGGAACATAATTGGCAGGATAGTTTCAACATTGTCCGATATAAGGGACATGATATATTCGTTGTTGAAATAGTATAAGGCTCTTTCAGCAACTTGGAAATGAGGAGATGAGACACATTTAGCCAGCTGACGGAAAAGGGGCGACATGACTTTTTGAAATTCAGGAGGTTCAATAACATCGAGAATCTCCTCCATTTCACTTAAAAACATAACTTCTTTCGGAGAATGTACTTTGGGCCAAAATTTAAGTAGACTTAGAATGACGTATTCTGTTAGAGTTGAATCTTTTTCAAGAAATTGTACCACACAATAGGCTAACTGAGGATGATAAACACTAACTGATTTAACCTTGTGTAATGGCATTAATACTTTTAAAAGGAAAGTTTTATGCTCATCTTTCAATGGTAATGCAAATCCGTTAATGATGCTCCCAAGGATCTCCAGTAGTTCAGCTATCCCATTGTGACGTTCAGTTTCATAGATAAATTTGTAAAAAATATTATTGATTTGTTTTCTAATATTAGCTCGAAGACCCAAAAATTTGGAATAAATACGATGTAAGACAGTTTTCAGGAAATCACGTTCCCTTGGATCTTCAGAGTCAAATAGGTCTAATAACTTTGAAACAAATCGAGTGTCAATGTATTTTTTAGCTGTAACAGGAGAAAAATCGCTGCTCTCTAATAAACGAAGAAAAAGTTCATAGACCAATTGAAGATGAGGCCAAGAAGCTTCCAAAGTAGGTTCGTCTTCTTCTGGATCAAACTCAGCCCCTAATGGATTAGATGAGGGAGGAAGAGTACGAAAGCAGTTGATTGCAAACATTTGAATCAACTCAGGGTACAAAGCCTCGGTGATGACTCCATGGCTTAGATCAATAAAGCTAACCATTTCAGCCAATGTAGCACGTTTACTCTCCTTTCCTTGTAGATCACTTAAAGGGTCAACAGTAAAATCATAAATTACACAACATTGATGAATTTTCTGAATGAACAAGGATTCGCGTTCATTTATGGGTACTTCAGACAAGCTCATATTAGACCTTTCACTATTGACACTGTTGGTACTGTTCGAACTGTTCCGATCACCGTTACGATCACTGTTACCGCTAATACCACCAGTTCCACTGACATTTGTAATATTATTTCCAGCTCCTCCTCCTCCACCACCTCCACCACTGCCACCACCACTACCGGCACCATTTAAATTATTGCTGCTATTCATCTTGGTGAATGTTTCTTTACCCGAATCTTCATCAACACCTTTCCAATCATCACTTCCATTTCTGTTGATATTTCCATTATTTGTTAGAGCATTGGGGTTATTAGAGCCATCAATATTAGACGACACATCATTAGGATCACTAGTGTCCATGTCGTTAGTTAATTACTTATGAATGGTAAACAATTGATTCAAATGAAAAGAGTTATTGACATAAGTAAAAGTCGTTGTCAATAAAAGAATATCCTAAATTGCAAATTACTTGCGGTTCGCTACATGCATTGCCATCTAGGGTTTATTTTGTGTAATATTATGCTTTTTTGTCGGCTACGCTAATTGTTCAAATGTTAATGTTTTCAAAAAATAAATGATGAAATTTCGGTTAAAAGGTTTCAAATTTATAAATTCAGGTCTAAATAATTTAAATAAAATAGCAATAAGCAAAACAGAGATCTGGTCATGAAATTGATTAATACGGTATTTACATTATATAATAATTCATCCTGTATTTTACAATGTAATTTAATTTAATTAATAGCACTAATTCAAGAAACAGTCAATTATGAAATACCATTTTTCAATATTTACAAATGTCGAAATGTTCAAACACATTTGCATAACATTTCTGAATTTTAATCGATCACAGCTGTTATTGATGATTGTGGGTTAAGATTTTTGAATTAAAATCAATTTCAATTCGTAATGAAGTCCAGACAAAAGGTCCTTTATTCCATCTAACATCTTTTTGTTAGTTAGCATTTAGATTCAGATTCAGATTCAGATTGTATATTGTAGATTTGAAAAACTCAACAGTTAAAAATTCAGCTGTACTAAATCAAATACATATGTATATCCATTCTTGAGAATACCTCATAAAACTCTTGTAGCAACTCGTAATTTGGCAGGATAAGCTAAAGGGTTTTTTCCCAGTTCATCTTTAGAAGGAACAAATTTACAAAGAGAAAACCATTTTTTGGAAACAATAAAATTCATCTGTTCATCTGTTGGTTCATGAAGTCTAGAGTTGTACAGTCTTGGAGGCTCGTGGGTCAGCGGATGATCGATATCAACTCCTTGGAAGTGACGCTTTACCAAAGTATCTTCTTGTTTTGTATATGAAATGACAGCTAACTTGCCAGAGGCCGATGCTCGGATTTCGTCAGAAATGGCCTTCATATTATCGGAATTGTTTTTATACAGATTTGTAACATGCTCATCTCGATAAAGGTAACTTCTCATTTTGGCTATCCCATAGTAGAGCTCATTTAACTCATTATTTACAAATATCCTTAAAGCTTGAAAAACTCTGCTGGCTGATGTACGCTCTCGCTCAACGTCTTCAATTATTCTACCAGCGGCTAAGGAGTCAATAAGATTTGCTAATTCAATGGTGGATGAAATCCTTTTCATCATTACTCGACAATCAATGATAGCATTGGCATATTTAGCTGCAAGCTTTTCATTTCCATAAATTTTGAAAATCTTAGTCAAGCTCTCAACATCCAGAGAGTTCACGACATCATCAGCTGTTAGTGAAGTGAGTGAATATTTACCATCCATTCTCATGTCAAGTGGACCTTCTGCACTGAAAGAAAAACCTCGAACAGGATCAGCAAGTTGCATAGCTGAAGGACCTAAATCCATGATGATACCGTGAATAGATCCTGGTTTTATATTGTGTTTGGCCAAAAGTCCAGGTAACTGACTGAATTTTGCCAACAAAGGTATTACCTGCCCTTTGGTTTGCTCAGCCAGTCTATGGGCATATTTATAAGCAAGAGGATCTCTATCCATTCCAACTATGCGAATATCTTTTCCAGTTGCTAGAAGGTGCTTGGAATGGCCACCGCTTCCAAATGTCATATCAATAAACAGCTGACCATCTTGTGGATTAAAGAGCTCAACTATCTACGGAAATGAGGCAAAATTAAAACAGTATGCAGGAATGATTATTTTTTATGCATTAAAAATTCAAAATTGAAAATCTTTCTATAATCGTCTTGATTATTGATTTAAAATGACGAGTGAAACTCAATTGATTACAATGAAAACATCTAACTTACCTCATTGGGCATTATTGGTATATGAGGAGCAAAGTCTCTTTCATCTTCATCAAAATCAAATGGCCTTTTAGCCAATTGATTTGAGAAAGAACGATATCCAACATGTCTTGATGTCCTTACAATATTTAAACACGAAATAGGAGATAAATTTGAATTAATTAACTCTATAAATGGTTTAAACCTAATCATAATTAAGGCATTTTATGCTTTCATCAAAAAAGTATGAAAGCACATGCTCCAGACTGAAAAAGCATAACCATGTGATTCCAAAATTTTAAGCTAAACCAAAACAAACTAATCTCTTCATCTGTTTCCCTTTGTTCCTTAATTATTTGATAAAATTTAATCATAATGAAACTTTTGACCCATAATATGTTGACTTCTCGTTGTCTTAAAGGAGTAACTAACGGATATCCCTTGAAAATTGTGGTAAGTCTCATTTTCTGTTCTAGTTTGCTACACATGTTTTCCTTGCACTGTCTTCTATTAACATGCTGTCCTCATTTTTTTCCAATTAGGCTAACGAAGTTAAAACTGAGAATGTTGATTACAATAGTGAATTTATTGCCAGAGTCATTCCCAAAGTCGATTGGAAAGTATTGAGTTCAACAGCCTCAGATTTCGGCGTATCACTACCTGAGGAACCTCCAGCAGATATTGAATCAAATGAAGATATGCTCCGTAAAGTGCATCACGCTCTACTTGAAATTGAAATCACCCAAGGAGATTTAATTTGTCCTGAAACTGGACGCAAATTTCCTATCAAACAAGGAATCCCAAATATGCTTTGTAATGAAGATGAAGTTAAATAAATAGCAATTTCAAGGTTAATTTCATTCATTGTTTTGATTGGATTGGACTGAGTTTCATTGGTTAACACAGAAATGACGAATCGTAGGGATAAAGACTGATTATTTATCAAACATGAAGTTTTGAATTTTTATCAATAGGATTCAAACACTTAATGCTTCGCAATGAACGACTGTTCTGATAACCTCAAATCAATCAAGCAATGGGAACCTTTCATTGGATATCTCTGGGAAACCGAACTTTTGACCGATCTACAAATTCGTGTTGACCATCATTTAAGTTGATGCTTAAACATGGATAAAATGATGAAATAAAATAAAAATGACTTCTTTATCTGAACGTTATCAGTGGCTCATTTCGTGTATGGCATCCAGAAATTGCCAACTTCATCAATCATATTTCATTTGAATCTTCCTCTGGCATCATTACCAATCCGTCAACTATTGCTTTTGGTGTGAAATGTTCAAACTATTACGTATTACAATACACTAGTAGTCAGGGTTAAGTTAAGAAAAGTGGAGATTTTTTTCATAGTCGCCATCTAACAAGAAACAAAAGTACCTTTAAGATCGAATTTAATTTTTCATAGATTTCATTTTTTAGTGTCTCTAAAACGGTAAATGCTCGAGATGGCGACACTTAAAAATTAACTTAACTCTGACCCTTTTTTGTTAACTTAACCCTGACTACTAGTGTATCTTAGATTATTGATTATTTTTTATCTGGGATTTGAGCTGTTGTCATAGTTAAGGTAACTGTAATTAAAACAGTTTCATTGCATCCCAAACCGTAAGCTGATAGTGAATCACCAACGGAGTATTTAATACATTTCTTGATAATGTATTACGTATTTTCAAGACATGCTTTACATTAATCTAGGATTAGCGAGTATGCTTGTTATATAATGATGATCTCTGGAACAATAAAGGATGCCAAGAAATCTCATAACATGAGGCATGAGGTTTGGTATAAATACCGTCTTTATCTCCAAATAAATGAACATAGATCATGAAAGCTAATAAAAATTAGTTTAGTGCGCAAGAGAAACATTTTTTGCCTCATTAGAAACTTCATCAACACCCTGTAGTTAAGCTATTTTATAACATTGATTAGTTGAAGGACAAAAATGGTTACCTAGTTAAATTGTGATAATCAATATGGTGAACCCAATGATGCAGCTAAGGCCTTCAAGGCTAGACAGTCGTCATGCATATTGAAGTGAAACAGCCGATTAAAGTTCAAATATTTTAGACCACCGAGCGATTCCTGGATATCCTCCAAAAGTCTGGTCTTACAAAGTTTTGTGAGCTCAAATACAACACAGTGGAAATCAAATCAAATGTGAAAAATAACCATGAACCAACACATAAACAGAAAAATCCAGAATCCAAATCCTCGGTCCAGAGTCTCTAAATCACTTACATTGTTAGTCATAAATTGACTCAATCTCAGCAAATATGCTTTCAAGCAGCAAAATTCAATCAGATTAATCAAAGCCTATCTAAAGTACACAATTAATGCACTTTGATCTTAATAATGTAACACAATGTCTATAAACATTTTATATACAATAACAAATAAACTATCAATATTATGACTGTTATAACTTTGACTGAAAAAAGTCGTCAGATGTCAACAGGTGAAGGCTAGGCTATGAAATGTTTCAGTGAAAATATAATAGTCTTTTCTTAAATTATGAAGAATTGAAATTTACCTTTGAGGTGGACCAGAACCTTTGAATTGACCTTAGTTGAGGTATATCAGATGAGTTTCATCTTTCTTAACAAAGATTCAAAATTCAGCCTTTTTGCGATACTTCATTATCTTGATATAAAGCTAGAGCAATGTAACACACTAGGAATCATTAGGAAACATTAAACTCCAAAACATTAGGAGTGTTACCTTATTATATAATGTATTCCTGACAAAGGGTTGAAATTTTGATTAATTAATTGCAAGTCAAAACATTCTGACAATATTGATGATCAACAAAATTTGGCAAAAAAACCAGTTTCAAGTTGAAAAAACATGTTTCATCAAAAAAACATGGTAAATTGTTTTTTGTAATTTCGTTGTTCAAACTCAAATCTAACATTGATTTGTCCAGCATTGTATTACCATTATTACCTGAAGGTATTAAAGTGTGCAAATGTTCATTCAGATAGATTATTTTTACAAATGTTGCGAATAAAAACAAATTATCAATCTATTTTTGAATACTAGTTGTTGTCAATTGGCTTGAAATAATCAACAACTAATTCACTTGAACAATTGTTCATCATTATTGACATCAGTGTTTACATAAATCTAATTAAATTAAACACAAATAGCCAATACAAAGAAAATAAATGGTCATTCACGTTGATTGCAAGGTTGAATCTGAACAAACTGGTTTGTAATATTATAAGTTTATTTTGGTTTTAACTTTCATGCAAGTTTCTAATTGGGAAGACTTCAATATCTTCACATTAACATCTGCATACATAATTTATATATTAAAATATATTAAGTCAATGCACCAAAATTATGGATAAACTAAAAGGACTCTAATGGCGATGATTTACAAGCATAAAATTTTTACTTGATTGAGTTGAGAATTGTAGGATCGCCTTTTTCCTAACATTCACCATTTTTAGAGGCATTTTTCACCAAATTGTCACTGATATTAAGATATGGTCAGTATAAAATTGGCGGATGTCGGTAGTGGTAAAGGTTACTAAAGGCCAACTTGAGCAAGCGGCTAAAGTGAGGGTTGGTACTAAAAAGACACAATTATCACATTTATTCACGAATTGACACTGCTCAGAAAAAAGGGTAAAAATTAGTTTCTTTGAAATTTAGACTCTGTTGGTTTGTAGGGATGGTCGGTTCTTAGATTTTATTGTGGGCTATAACAGCATATAACTGAATACCGAATAAAATCTGAGCTAATTTATTTAATAAGGAAGATTCCTCCAACGCAAAGATTATATCTTTACCTCAAGGCAAAATGTTATTAACTGGATTCTCCTTTGTTTTAACTGTACCTGTAGGCAAAAGGGCGAAAAGTAAATGTTATTAAATCAAAGGATCATTGAACAAACAAAAAGCTACTTCGACTGGTTGACCAAATATCAAGGATAACGAGGTTGATAGAAATTTACCTTCATTTTGCTGCTTATTCATTGGGACTCGGCAAATGAAAGCGTTCCTGGCTTCACATGAAATATCATTTCCAATAATAATGATCATCCGTTGAACCAAAACCTTTGGACGCAACACAATCCTGGTCTGAGAAACCGTCATCACTCGGTTGTTTACCGTATTTAATGTTACTTCCCATCTTTTGCCAACCATTAAATCAATCTAACCAGAAATAAACAATCCAAAATACGATTAAAATACAAGATCAATGGTCAAACTACAAGCGAAAGCATTGAAATTGACGTAAAAGTTCGTGAAACTTCAAACCAAATAGACTAAACAATAAAAGATTTTCATAAACAGTCTAAAACAGTGCATAAGGTTGTTAAAACAAATCAACACAACTATCACATTTACACACATATTGAAATAAATGGGCAAATTAGGCTAAATATTGATTTCTTACAAATTTAGACTCTGGTGGTATGAAGAACCATGAAAACTGAGTCCATTAGTGCTTTTAAAACATTTATCTGATGAAAGGTTTTCGAGAAAATCGAAGTCAAAGTTGAAACTTAGATCGCTCTTTCTACGGTTATGGAAGCAGATTTTTACATGAAGCTTCTGTCACTTATGTAGCTTTTAATGGTCAACCATGCCATGAACTTATTTTGGTAAATAACATTTTCTATTTTGTGTAAAACAACTTAGTTCGATTTTAGTTCAAACTGACTTATTTCGGTGACCGTAAAATTTAGAGAGTTGAAAATTATTGTTTGGGCACAAAAATTGTTGCTCAATATCATGGATAAAACACTTTTTTCGATATATCAATTGTTCTCTTGATTTTGGCCTTTGGACTAAAAACTTTGAGTCTCGATATTCGAAGATGGCATCAACCACTATCTCCATTCTTTAACAAATATTAGGTTCCTTATGGGT